GGTGAGTCCCATGGGCTCGCAGGAAGCACTGGTAGGTTGACCGGCACTGCAGGAAGCTGGTATGGAGAACTGCATTCACTTTGCGGAAGCTCTAGATCTTGGGGACCCGGTCCCAACGTGGGAGAATTCCACGGGCTTGGTGGGAGTTGCGGTAGGTTTGACGGCACCGCGGGAAGTAGGTACGGTGAGGTGCTGCGACTCTCAGGCAAATCGGCATCGAGGGGGCTCGGTCCCAGAGTTGGGGAATACCATGGGCTCTCTGGAAGGTCAGGCAGATCGTTGGGAACAACCGGGAGCATGTATGGCGAGCCATCTCTGGTGGATGGCAGCGACAAGTTCTGTGGAAGCAAAGTTGGCGAGCTCGCGCGACTCTGCGGAAGCATTGGCAGGTAAGCCGGCATCGGGAGGTCGTACGGCGACGATGGCCTGCTCTCAGGAATATCCACATCGAGGGGGCTTGGCTCCAGGGTTGGCGAGTACCACGGACTACTGGGCAGTGTTGGAAGATTTTCTGGTACCTCCGGAAGACTGTACGGGCTGGCGGGCCAGCTTTCTGGAAGTTCCACCATTTCGGGCGCATCCTCAGGAAGGAAGTAAGGAGATCTAGGTTCGCTAGGTGAGCGAGACCAATCATCGGCAAGCAAGACGGGAGAGCCACCCGGGCTCATGGGAAGAGGCGGTAGATACCACGGCAAAGCCGGAAGCTCATAGGGAGACCCAGGTCTGCTTGCAGGAAGGGGGACATCCTCGGCACGCAAATTTTTGCGAAGAGGTTCCCTCAGAGCACTGGCAACGCGACGCAACGTCTGCTGCTTCTTCTCTTTTTCGAAAGCCTTCTTCCAAAGACCGCCATATACCAAAGGCACACCGCCTACGCCGTCATCTGACACTGGGGACGCCATCCTTGGCACATCCGTATTTCTTGCTTGTTCGGTAGGGAAAACCGGCGAGCTCTCTAGCGTATGCGAATCTAGCCTCGATGATGGGAGCGCTGACAAGTCCGATGGAACTGCGGGAAGAACATAGGGAGAACTCTGATCACTCTCGGACAGGGCATCTTCAGACAGCAAGGTTGGCGAATCGGGAGGGCTCTCCGGAAGCGGTGGTAGATACCACGGTAGAGCTGGAAGCTCGTAGGGAGACCCAGGGTTGCTATCTGGGAGCATCACATAATCGGGCTGCTGAAGACGGAGGTAGAGAGGAAGCTCTTCCTCACCATCGCTCTGGGCCTCCGAAGAACTGGCCGACCACGTAGTCCCGTTATAATCATAGTGTGCCTGTTGAGGTGATGATGCTGTCGACGAACCCTCATACTGTGTCAGTTGAGTCTCGAGAGATAGGTCCCCCGGAATAGACATGTGTGACTGCGGTGACTGGTTCGGCGAACCGAGAGGGCTCTCGGGAAGAGGTGGCAGGTACCACGGAAGTGCAGCAAACTCGTAGGGCGATCCAGGCCTGCTTGCAGGGAGGGGAACATCCACGGGACGCAAAATATCTCGTAGAGAAAGGTTGCTGAGAACCTTCAGCACCGTTTTCTTCTCTTTCTCATGACGGACCGCTTTCTTCCAGAGACTACCATATGCGAGAGATACGCCACCGGTTTCGCCATCATCTTCTTCTCTATCCTTCTTAACAGCAGTGATCGGGGTTCCGGCAATGCTGCTTGGCGACTTTTGCGATAGCTGTATGGGAGAGCCAAGAGGGAATCCGGGGGGAGTATGCTCATAGGGCGAAGCGGGATTGCTGAGCGGAAGGGTCACATCCCGAGGCTGCTGTACTTCGAGGTGAAGCTTCTCCGGAACACCTTTCTGCAACTGCGGCAGCTGCGTCGGCGAATTGGCTGGACTTTCCGGCAGCGGCGGTAGGTACCAAGGCACGCTGGCGGGCTCATAAGGCGAACCAGGATTGCTATCCGGTAGTACGACATACTCTGGCTGTTGCAACTTCAGATAGAGAGGGTATTGTCTCTCATCACTGTCCACCCATTCCGGTGATGCCGCCCACCACGAGTATTCCTCTTCGTCATCCATGTTCGTTGACCGGGGCGAGCCTAATCGCGAAAAGCCGATATTCTCCTGCTGCTGCTCCGCGAAAGGCAGGTTCTTCGAATCGCTGTCTTGCAGCATCTGTGTGGGTGAACCAGGCGCGCTCTTTGGTAGAGCAGGTAGATACCAAGGAAGTTCTGGCATTTCGTAGGGCGATCCAGGGTTGCTATCCGGGAGCATCACGTATTCCGGCCGTTGCAGCCTGAGGTGAGGAGGAAGCTCCTCTGCGTCCTCCAACCCAACCATTCTCGCGACGTCGTCCTCCTCCTTCTCATCTTGGGTGGCGAACGGGAGAGACACTGCAAATGGTGACTGCGCTGGCGAACCAGGCGCGCTCTCCGGTAGCGATGGAAGATCCCAAGGCATTTCCGAGAGTTCGTAGGGCGAACCGGGTCTGCTATCCGGGAGCATCACGTATTCCGGCCGTTGCAACCTGAGATGAAGCGGGAGCTCCTCTGCGTCCTCCAACCCAACCATTCTCGCGACGTCGTCCTCCTTCTTCTCATCTTGAGTGGCGGACGAGAGAGACACTGCAATAGAATCCGTTGGCCGCGATAATTGCGTTGGCGAATCGGGTCTGCTGTCTGGTAGCATGACATACTCCGGCCGCTGCAGTCTGCGATGAAGAGGAAGTTCCTCTGCGTCCTCTAGCCCAACTATTCTCGCGACGTCGTCCTCCTCCTTCTCATCTTGGGTGGCGAACGGGAGAGACACTGCAAATGGTGACTGCGCTGGCGAACCAGGCGCGCTCTCCGGTAGCGATGGAAGATCCCAAGGCATTTCCGAGAGTTCGTAGGGCGAACCGGGTCTGCTATCCGGGAGCATCACGTATTCCGGCCGTTGCAACCTGAGATGAAGCGGAAGCTCTTCTGCATCCTCCAGTCTGACCAATCCAGCAACATTGTCCTCCTTGTTCTCATCTTGGGTGGCGAATAGCCGAGTCTCCAGAGTGCTGTCGTGTAACTTCGGCAGTTGGGTACGCAAACCCAGAGCTGGCAGAGACCGCTGGATCTCTTCAACTTCGTAGGGCGAACCGGGCCTGCTTTCTGGGAGCATGACATACTCCGGCCGCTGCAACCTGAGATGAAGAGGAAGCTCTTCAGCATCTTCTAGCCCAACCATTCGCGCGACATCGTCCTCCGTGTTCTCATCTTGAGTTGGGAACGGGAGAGACACTGCAAGTGGTAACTGCGCTGGCGAACCAGGAGTGCTCTCCGGTAGCGATGGAAGATCCCAAGGCATCACCGAGAGCTCGTAAGGAGATCTAGGGGCTCTATCCGGGAGCATCACGTATTCCGGCCGTTGCAGCCTGAGATGAAGAGGAAGCTCCTCAGCATCTTCTAGTCCAACCATTCTGGCGACGTCGTCCTCCTTCTTCTCATCTCGAGTGGCGAACGGGAGAGTCATTGCAATAGAATCCGTTGGCAGCGATAATTGCGTTGGCGAACCGGGTCTGCTGTCTGGTAGCATGACATACTCCGGCCGCTTCAGTCTGCGATGAAGAGGAAGTTCCTCTGCGTCCTCTAGCCCAACTATTCTCGCGACGTCGTCCTCCTTGTTCTCATCTTGTGTGGCGAACGGCCGAGTCTCCAGAATACTGTCCTGTAACTTCGGCAGTTGGGTACGCAAACCCAGAGCTGACAGAGACCGCTGGATCTCTTCAACTTCGTAGGGCGAACCGGGCCTGCTATCTGGGAGCATGACATACTCGGGCCGCTGCAGCCTGAGGTGAAGTGGCAGCTCCTCCGCATCCTCTCGAGCAATCAATCCCGCAACATCATCTTCCTTCTGCTCGTCTTGAATTCCGATCGGCAGACTCTTCGGAGCAATGTACGGCAAAGCTGGCAACTGCGTCGGCGAATTGGGAGCGCTATCTGGGTGCATAACATACTCCGGCTGCTGCAGCCTCAACTGGGGGGGAAACGCTTCGATATCGTCCACTTCCTCACCGTGAATCAGCAGTTGTGTAGGCGAGTCGATCGGGCTCTCTGGCAGAACGGGTAGCCACCACGAGACACCTAGAACTTCGTAAGGAGATCCTGGGTTGCTGTCGGGCAGCATCACATACTCGGGCCGTTGCAGCTTCAGGTTCAGGGGCAGCTCCTCTTCATCGCTAACGCTGAGGACTCCCGGGGAGGGCGTTCTACCCAGCTGAAGCTCAACGTCGGACTCAAACTCGCTGGACATGGCGGGCGAAGATAGGTGCTCAATGATGAGCTGGGCGTTCTCCTCTTTCCCCTCTTCTGTGTGGAGGTTGAGGTCAAGGTGCTCCGGAAGGCTGGGCTGTAGCCGCAGCAATTGGGTGGGCGAACCGACGGGACTGTCTGGGAGCATAACGTACTCCGGCTGTTGCAGTCTGAGATGCAGGGGAAGCTCTTCGACATCGACGTCCCCATCATCCCGAAGCTGTGGCAACTGAGTCGGCGAATCGATAGGACTCTCTGGGAGGTCCGGCAGCCACCAGGGAACACCCGGAACTTCGTAAGGCGATCCGGGTCGGCTATCGGGCAGCATCAAATACTCTGGGCGTTCCAGCTTTAGGCTAAGCGGAAGCTCTTCCATATCGGCGTCACTCAGGATAACTATCGACTCGCTGTCCGACTCATACGCCGTTTGGTGCGGCTCGAGAGTGGGAAAAGTACCATGCAGCTTGGGGAGCTCGTAGGGCGAAGTTGGGCCGCTCTCTGGAAGCTGCACGTATTCCGGCTGTTGCAACTTGAGGTGGAGGGGATACGCTCTCTCCTCACTCTCAATCCTCTCCGGTGATTCCGCCCACCACGAGTACTCCTCTTCATCCTCGGTATTTGTTGACCTCGGGGAGCTGATCAATGGAAAGCCCTCTTCTTCCGCGGTAGTAACAGGTGATTTTGGGGTAGTCTCGGAAGTGACGGCTGGTGCTTCGGCGGGGCACGGCAAGGATGATTCCTTCTGGGATCCAATTTCTTCCAAACGGTGCTGGGGCAATTTGATCTCATGTACTAATACATCGTAAGCAATAGCCGGTAATACAATCAACAGAGAGGAAACACACTGGAAGACTTCAAAACATCAGGCTTTCCCTCCGGCAAGACGACCTCGGAGGGCTTCTGCAATGCAGGTGACTGACCTGGCAAGACAGGCTGTGTCTCGCCCGGCAACGAAAAACGAACAGATGGCAAATCCCCAGGTAACGTCGAAGACGAAGAAACATAATAAGAACCGGCCGATTTAATACTGCTGACGGGCACAAAATCTAAAACATGAGAAAACTTTCCACCCTCCTGCTCCTCTTCAACATCTGACAATCTATCTCCTCCCCTCAACTTTCCCTGTACAGCTGCCTTTTTTTCTTCTTTTCTACCACTCCTGTTGCCCGCAACCTCCTCGTTGACGTTAGCCTATGTTCGGAAAGGTCCCAAAGGGAGGCAATATCCAAACTGATAGCGCAGGATTCAAAGCAAAGGGAAGGACAGAGAATTAGGAGGATACCTGTTTGCGTCCTGCAACCAGGGCAAAATCATCTTCGTGCAACGAGGAGGGGGCAGTAGCAGTAGCATCAGAGAGCTTCTTCACCTTTTTCTCATCTGCAATCTTCATGGCTTTCTTGGCCATAGATCCCTCCTCCTCCTCCTCTTCCATATGCTCCGGCTGGATTCCAATCTGCACGCCGGGGAGGACAACACCGTTGTTGCCAGGCTGCTGCTTCGCCTGGACGTACGAGGCCTCGTCGATGTCGCTCTCACTGAGGTCCTCGACTAGCTCGGCAGCGCCGTTGTCGTCCAATTTAACACCCTCTTGTTCCTCCTCAGACGACGACTCTTCCACTGCCTCACCGGCCTTCTTCTGCTCCTCCTTTCTCATCTTCCTCCTCTCCTTCTTCTCCCTCTTTCTTTCGCGCTCGGCTCGCTCCTTCTCCTTCAGCGCCTTCTTCTTCTTGCGCTCTTGTAGCTTCTCCTTCTCCTCGAGATATGTGAGGATATCCATCTTCTTATTCTTCTTCCCCTCATCCCTCAGCTCGCCACCTCTCAGTCCCAAACTCTTTTGCTCCTCTTCAGTGCGCTCGATCTTCAACTTGGCAATAAGCCCATCAAGATCCTCGGCGAGAGTGACGGTGCCGGAAGCAGAGCGAACACGACCGGGCGTCCGTTCCGCCGAAGTAGTGTCTCCGACATCGGAGGAAACCGACGATTCCCTGTTGCGGCGCTTCTTCTTGGTCTTCTCCTCGCCGTCCTTCTGTACCCCCTGCCAGCTCTCGGTAGATGAGTCGCGCTGCAATTGAATTTTGCTGTCGAGCTTATCGCTGAGGCTCATGTCCGAGGTGGATTTCTTGAGTGACTTTTCGGAGCCGGACTTGACGCGGCGAAGGCTGCTGGCCTTGGTGGCGGCGACGGCGACGGCGGCGGTGGTGGGTGCGGGGCTGACAAACTTGCCTAAGAAGCGACTCCAGCTACCGTCACCACCAGATTGCTTAGGCGTCTCCTTGGTAGGCTTTGAGGTAGAGTCGACGACCTCGGTTTGTGAACGAGAGATCTTCCGGCGAACTTGCTGCTTCCCCTCTCCCTGCTCCTCCCTGAGCCGCCTCTCTTCGCGACGTGCTTCGCGGCGCTTCTTGCTAGCTGCCTTCTCCTCCTTCGTGCGGTGACGACGTCGGCCCTGGCCAGCATCTCCTCCACGGAGACCCAACTTCGGGCCTTCTTCACCCTGAGCCGTCTGCTGGCCTTCTGCGAGAGACGCTCCTTCCACATCCTCGCCTGACAATTCTCCATCGGAATCGGAGTCCGTACTATCGTCGTACTCCCTCTTGCTCTCGCGACGGCACTCGAAGGCTTCGAGATCATCGATGCTGGTGAGCACGGTCGAAGCCGCACCGCGGGAAATGACGGAGTAGGTGGTTCCAGATTCAGCCGCAGTTGTGGTGTCGCTGAAGGCAGACGAAGCGCGGCGTTGACGGCGTGACGGCGTGTTAGAAACCTCGGAATTGGGCTGTGAGAATGAAAGGGGGATTGATGCGCCCCAGCCTGGCTCAGATGTCGTGTATTCCTCAACCGGAGTGGTCAAGGGACTGGTGTGCATCATAGCGGTGGATGATGGCATCTGGATGTCGGCGGGGTATTGGCGCGGCGTCTTCTGGTCCGTCTCGTCTGCGATGTATTGCTGCGTCTGGCTCTGGCTGCGGTCGGCATACCGTTGCTGCCTGGCTTCCCATTCGATGACCGCGGGCTGAGAGCTGTAGCTCTGGGTGGGCCGCGGCCTTACAGGAACAGCCTCGCTGTGCTGGCGTTGCTCGTGCTGGCTCTGGTCGGCCTGGACATCATGCGACTGGCGTACATTCCACTCCTCCACGGCAGTCGAAGAGTTGGGGATCCGCCCTCCCTGTGCCGGCGTAGTATCCTGGTGTCGCTCGTACTCGAGTGCGGCTGGTTGGGGTACATAAGGAAGTTCAGCACCTGCGCTCGCGAGATACCCGCCCGACGTCCATTCCTCAGAGGGTGTTGCCGGCTGTGAGATATAGCCTCCAGTCGTCTGCGTTGGCGCAGGCATAGCTACCGATGTCTCGGTACTCTGGTATCGCTCGGACAGTCCTTGAGCAAACTGAGCAGCGCGGATTGCTGCCTGCTCCGCTTCCCATTCCTGAACCGCTGGCTGAGAGCTGGAAACACCCGCATTCGCAAGATATCCTCCCAAAGCCAACTGCTCGGTAGTCGTGGTAGGCTGGGTGATGTAGCCGCCAGTCGTCTGTGTTGGCGCAGGCATAACTGTTAATGTCTCGGTGCTCTGGTTTCGCTCTGAAAGGCCTTCGGCAAACTGAGCGGCACGAATAGCTGCCTGCTTCGCTTCCCATTCCTGAACCGCCGGCTGCGAGCTGTAGCTCTCGGCTGTCTGGACAGGAGCATTGTAGGCGAGCTCGACACCTGCGTTCGCGAGATACCCACCCGACGTCCATTCCTCAGAGGGTGTTGCCGGCTGTGAGATGTAGCCTCCAGTCATCTGGGCTGGCGCAGGCACAACTGCGGATGTCTCGGTGCTCTGGTGTCGCTCTGAAAGTCCTTGCGCAAACTGAGTGGCACGAATAGCTGCCTGCTTCGCTTCCCATTCCGCAACGGCAGGCTGAGAGCTGTAGCTCTCGGTTGTCTCGACCGCAGTATTGTAGGTGAGCTCGGCACCCGCGTTCGTGAGATATCCTCCCAAAGTCAACTGCTCGGTAGTCGCGGCCGGCTGAGTGATGTATCCTCCAGTCGTCTGGGCTGGCGCAGGCATAACTGTCAATGTCTCGGTGCTCTGGTTTCGCTCTGAAAGGCCTTCGGCAAACTGAGCGGCGCGATTTTCGGCCTGCTTCGCTTCCCATTCCTGAACTGCAGGCTGAGAGCTGTAGCTGCGCTCCGCTTGCACACGGGTGACAACATCCTCGCGAGCATTATCCTGGCGACGCTCGTACTCCTCGGTCTCCGTGGTCTGCAGGGGAATGTAGGGGAGCTCGGCACCTGCATTTGCAAGATACCCGCCCGAAGTCCATTCGTAAGAAGGCGTTGCCGGCTGAGATATGTAGCCCCCGGTGGTTGGCATCGGCATATCAGTATGTTCTGAAGTCCCAGTGGTTTGCTCGATCCGATGTTGGATGGCTTGGGCATTGACGGCTGACCGGCGTGCTTCCGACTCATGAACAGCAGACTGGGAGGTGTAACTCTGGGTCGCCTCCGCTGGCAGAGGGACAAATGCTGGACTCTCCATAGTTTGGTGGTGCTCGTACTGTTCTGATTTAGTGTGCCGAAGAGCTGCCTGGCGCGCATTCCACTCCGCAACGGCAGGCTGGGAACTCTGTAGAGAAGCGGCAACATCGACGGGCTGGGTACGTTCTCGTTGATCTTGTACCGACTGGGCACTGTGAAGCTCAAAGCCAGTGTTCGCGAGGTATCCACCTGCCGTCCACTGCTCAACCGGCGTCGCTGGCTGCGAGATGTAGCCGGTGGCTGGCACAGGCATGGGAACAAATGCTGCAGTGCCGGTGGCTTGCTCATATCGGGCCTCAGACGTCGTCTGAGAAGTCTCCGCAACCTGATGATGCGTACGCTGATTCCACTCCGAAATGGCAGGTTGTGAGCTCTGGATGGTGTCCTGGTGACGTTCCTGTGGCTCGACGGCCCTGTTCTCAACACCCGTGTGCGCGAGATACCCGCCCGAAGTCCACTGCTCAACGGCTGAAGCCGGCTGAGAGATGTATCCGCCAGTTGCGGAGGCTGGGATAACCGCCAGAGTCTGGGTTTCCTGGCGATGCTCGGACTGCGCATTTTGGGCTGCATCCACGGTCTGGTTATACTGCTTAGCTGAAGCCTGTTGTCCCGACGCCCATTCCTCAACGGCAGACTGGGAGCTGTAGCTCTCCTGAGTCGTTTCCACCGGGAGCGCGGTGTGGTGTTCAATCTCTGCTCCCTGATAGCGTTGCTGATGCTGGGTCTTTTCAACTTGTGCCTGCTGCGCCTCCCACTCCTGGACAGCGGGCTGGGAAGAGGAAACTAGATCTATTGTAAGCACTTTGCGCAATCTGGACCTCCAAGATAAGGGAAACTCACATTGTTCGGACTTAGTCTGGCTTAATTCGGCGCCCAAAGGTGGGGCGCCCACGTTCGCGAGGTGTCCACCCGAAGTCCACTGCTCAACTGGTGTGGCCGGCTGAGAGATGTAGCCTCCAGTGGTGGGTGAAGGCATTGCGACATATGGTAGGGTGCCTGTGGTCTGATCGTATCGGGCACGGGTAGCGCCGGATTCTGACGCCTGCGAGACATGAGGCGGGCGCTCGGTGGCGATTTGCTGACCGGAGGTCTCATGGTACGTGTCGGATTGGTGGCCCTGGATTGCTCCCTGGGTAGACACCCGCCCCCGAATCGCTTGTGCGTATGATTGAACGGGAGTAGTCCCAGGACGTTGTTGTTCCTGGGTTCTCCCCTCTGACGCGGAAGCTCCACTCTCGACGTTCCGATGGCTGCTGGAGCTCCTCTGATGGCTGACCTCCTTGATCGCCGATCCGTTCTCGCGATGCTTCTCCTTCTTCTCCTTCTTCCCCTTCTTTGTTCTCTCTGCGAATTTGTACTCATTTTCGTCGCGATCACGGCTGTGCAGATAACCTCCGCGGAGTCCAAGAGCGGTGAACGCCTCCCCTCCCTCTGTAGTACCCTCACGAAGCTGTTCCTCTTGTTCCTCATGGTCACTTCTCTCCTCGGCAGAGTGCTCGCTCTCCTGCAAATCCTGGTGCTGTTGCTCACGGCGTTGCTCAAGCTTGTGTTGCTGGGTCAACTCAACCCTCGAGGAAGACGAAGGACGAGAATGGTCCCGACGTGTATCGAGTCCGACAGTAGACGCGGTCTGCCTTATATCTTGACGCTGCTGTTCGTGATGACGCTGCTGGCTAACTTCAACCCCCGAAGGCAGCATGGGAGAGGTAGTGAATTGAGTCCACTGCCCATCCTGGCGCTGCAGCTGCTGAGTGGCCTCAAACGACTGGCGTTGGCTATCGTAACGTTGCAGTAGTTGCCGTGCATCAAAGGCCGTCGACACAGGAGAGGAAGCGGATTGCTCCCGACGTTCCTCAAACCCCGCCGCCGACGCAGTAGAGGAAGCGAATTCCTCCCGATTCTCCTCAAATTCCGCCTGTTGGCTGATTCCAAGCCCCATCGGCCCGGTTGAGGGGGCGTACTGCGACTTTGACTCCTCAAACACTGCCGGACGTTCCTGCTCGTAGGTATGGTGCGACTTCTGGTATTGCTGGGAAACCTCAGGCACCGTAGCGAACTGCGTCCGCTGAGCGACCCGGCCAACCTCAAACCCTGCTGACGTGGAAGGTGCAACAAACTGGCTCTTCTTCGGCTGATCGAACTCCGAAGGCAACATGGGAGAGGTGGTAAATTGTGTCCACTGCCCGTCTTGACGCTGCAGCTGCTGAGTGGCCTCAAACGACAGGCGCTGGCTGTCATATCGTTGCAGTAGCTGTCGTGCATCAAATGCTGTCGACACAGGAGAGGAAGCGGATTGCTCCTGACCTTGCTCAAACCCCGCTGCTGAAGCAGAAGAGGTAGCGACTTGCTCCCGCCGTTCTTCAAACTCCGTCTCTTGGCTGATTCCAAGTCCCGCCAGCCCGGATGAAGGGGTGTACTGAGACTTTGACTCCACCGACGGATGTTCCTGCTCGTAGGTCTGATGCGGCTTCTGATACTGCTGAGAAACTTCAGGCATCGCAGCGAACTGCGTCTGCTGGGCGACCCGGCCAATCTCAAACCCCGCCGACGTGGAAGGTGCAACAAACTGGCTCTTCTTCGGTTGATCGAACCCGTATAGCAGCGAGAGTGAGGTAGTGAATTGAGTCCACTGCCCATCCTGACGCTGTAGCTGCTGAGTAGCCTCGAACGACTGGCGCTGGCTATCGTAACGTTGCAGTAGTTGCCGTGCATCAAATGCTGTTGATACGGGGGAGGTAGCGGATTGCTCCGGACGATGCTCAAACCCCGCCGCTGAAGCAGAAGAGGTGGCAGATTGCTCCTGACGTTTCTCAAACCCCGCCGCGGACGGAGAAGAGGAAGCAGATTGCTCCCGACGTTCCTCAAATTCCGACTGTTGGCTGATTCCAAGCCCAGCCGGTCCGGTTGAGGGGGCGTACTGAGACTTTGGCGCCTCAAATACCGATGGACGTTCCTGCTCGTAGGCCTGGTGCGACTTCTGGTATTTCTGCGAGACCTCGGGCAACGTAGCGAACTGCGTCTGTTGGGCGACCCGGCCAACCTCAAATCCCGCCGACGTGGACAGTGCAACAAACTCGCTCTTCTGTGGCTGATCGAACCCCCATGGCAGCGCGGGTGAGGTAGTGAATTGGGTCCACTGCCCGTCCTGACGCTGCAGCTGCTGAGTGGCCTCAAACGACTGGCGCTGGCTGTCGTAACGTTGCAGTAGTTGCCGTGCATCAAAGGCCGTCGACACAGGAGAGGAAGCGGATTGCTCCTGACGTTTCTCAAACCCCGCCGCCGACGCGGAGTGCTCGGTAGTCTGGCGCTGCGGTTCCTGGCGATGCTGGTATAGCCGTTCCTGGGCAGTCTCAACTTCCGCGACCACATCAACCTCAGCCGCCACCTGCTGACTGGCTCCAACCTCCGCCGAACGACGTTCCTGCTTGTATTGCTCTTGTGCTTGCTGGCTAAACCTTGATGGCAGTGAGGGTGAGCTAGTGAATTGGGTCCACTGCCCATCCTGACGCTGCAGCTGCTGAGTGGCCTCAAACGACTGGCGCTGGCTGTCATAACGTTGCAGTAGCTGCCGTGCATCAAATGCCGTCGACACAGGAGAGGTAGCGGGTTGCTCCTGACGTTTCTCAAACCCCGCCGCAGACGCAGAATGATCGGTAGTCTGACGCAGCAATTCCTGACGCTGTAGTTCCTGGCGAAGCTGGTATTGTCGTTCGTTGGCGGCCTCAACGTCTGCGCGCACACCGACCTCAACCACCTCCTGCTGACTGGCTCCAACTCCCGCCAAACGACGTTCCTGCTTGTATTGCTCTTGTGCTTGCTGGTCAAACCCCCATGGCAACGTAGGAGAGGTGGTAAACTGTGTCCACTGTCCATCCTGCCGTTGCAGCTGCTGAGTAGCCCCCAACTGCGCCGATGTCGCCTGACGTTCAAACGTCGTCAATTGGCGTTCCTGCTCGACGTTCTGTTGGTGCTGCTGCTGGAGTTGTTGGGTTGTTCCAAACACTGCCGACGAGGACTGGGTCTGCTCAGCTCCCACCGATGCCGAAGGGGCAACATATTGGCTTGAGCTCTGGTGTTGGCTATCGTAACGTTGCAGCAGCTCCCGTGCATCGAAGGCCGTCGATACGGGCGAGGTAGCGGGTTGTGTCTGTTGGCTATCCTGATAGGCATGCTCGCTTTTCTCGTACCGCTCCTGCTGAACAAATCCCGTAGGAATCGTCGGAGAAGCCTCGACCTGTGTCCACTGCCCGTTCTGCCGTTGTAGCTGTTGGGCAGCCTCAAATCTTACCGCCGACTGGCGCTCCTGATCCTGCTCCTGCTCATAGTGCAGTTTCTGTAGTTGCTGCTGCGGCTGCTGCGGCTGCTCAACAAATCCCGTCGGGATCATCGGAGAGGCAGATAACTGTGTCCACCGGCCGTCCTGCCGTTGCAGCTGCTGAGTAGCCTCCAACTGCACCGAAGATGCGTCACGCTCAAACGTCGTCAATTGGCGTTCCTGCTCGATGTTCTGTTGGTGCTGCTGGAATTGCTGAGTTGTTCCAAACCCTGCCGACGAGGACTGGGTCTGCTCAGCTCCCACCGATGCCGAAGGGGCAACATATTGGCTTGAGCTCTGGTGTTGGCTATCGTAACGTTGCAGCAGCTCCCGTGCATCGAAGGCCGTCGATACGGGCGAGGTAGCGGGTTGTGTCTGTTGGCTATCCTGATAGGCATGCTCGCTTTTCTCGTACCGCTCCTGCTGAACAAATCCCGTAGGAATCGTCGGAGAAGCCTCGACCTGTGTCCACTGCCCATCCTGCCGCTGCAGCTGCTGCGTAGCCTCGAACTGCGCCGAAGTTGCTTGACGCTCAAACGTCGTCAATTGGCGTTCCTGCTCGATGTTCTGCCGGTGCTGCTGCTGGAGTTGTTGGGTTGTTCCAAACACTGCCGACGAGGACTGGGTCTGCTCAGCTCCAACATATTGGCTCGAGCTACTCTGTTGCTGGCTATCGTAGCGTTTCAGCAGCTCCCTTGCATCGAAGGCCGTCGATACGGGCGAGGTAGCGGGTTGTGTCTGTTGGCTATCCTGATAGGCATGCTCGCCTTTCTCGTACCGCTCCTGCTGAACAAATCCCGTAGGAATCGTCGGAGAGGCCTCGATCTGCGTCCACTGCCCATCCTGCCGTTGCAGCTGCTGAGCCGCCTCAAACCTCGCCGCCTCAAATCTTACCGCGTCTTGGCGCCCCTGCTCCCGCTCATGCTCCTGCTCCTGTTCGTACCGGCGGAGGTGGTGGGTTTGTATCGCGGCGCGGTCAGTTCCAAACCCCAGTAGCTGACCGCTGCGAAAACCCGCCGATGCCGATGCCGACGCCGCCTGAGAGGCCGAGACCTTCTGGCTATCATAGCTTTGGAGAAGCCCCTGCGCATCGAACGCCGTGGACACAGGAGAGTCGGGGACCTGCGTCCGCTGGCTTTCTTGCCGCTGGTACTCGGTCCGCTCATACGTCTCATCCTCGAACTCCGACTCCAGCTCCGACTGCGGCACCCTCCTATTCGCCCGCTTCTTCCTATCGTTTTCAATCTCGTCGAAATTCGACAGGAACGCTGTCGTCCCCGGCTTCTCACTACTCCCATTACTCCCATGCGCACTCCCATTACCATTTGCAACCCCGCCATGTCCATGCTCCTGATTAACCACCTTCCTAACCACGCCCTCGGAGTACCCAGCGGCCTCCGCGGCCATCGCGGTGATGGCGCGGAACTCTGCGGCCTCCTGCTGCTTAGGCGTAGGGGTGACGACCTCGGGCTCATTGAACACGTCGAGTTCCGACGACGGCTTCGATTCGGCAAAGTAGTTGACTGGCGCGGGCGCGCGCGGTGTCTGCGTGGGCGTGGTGCTGCCGGCAGTGTGGTACCCGCTCGACGAGATCGAGCTGCTGCTCGTGCTGGCGATGGATTGTAGCGTTTTGAAAGATGGCGCGGCGGGGCGCGGGAGACGGCTGGTGGATGCGCCGGCGGTGGTAGCTGTGGACTTGTCAGCGCGTGATCACCGGACGGGGAGGGGAGTTATACCTTGCGATGCGGAAGCTGACGCTTCAGGAATCGACGATGTCGATACCGCCGCCGACGTGGCATCCTTCAGTTTCTGTGCTGCCGCGTACCAACCGAGCGTGCCCTTCTTCTTCTCGACGGCGGCGGGCGTCTTCTCTTTCCAAAAGGAACCCCACCTCGACGGCTTCTTGGGCTCCTTCTTTGCGTCCTCAGGGGAGGATGGTGGGTGCTGGTCCGTCGCGTTCGAGTCGAGCGAATACAGCGATGCGGTCTCGGACTTGGTCGACGCACTCTCCGTGCGCTTGAGTATATGCTGCAACCGCTCCCTTTCCGAGTCGAGCGACTTGCGCTCCGTCTTCTCCTCATACGAACCAAACGACGTCCTGCGTTCCACGTCCACCGTCTCATGCTGCTGCTGGGATTCCGCAACGCGGAGAACCTGCGGCACACTCATGACCGGGGCAATACTCGGCTTCGCGGCGGCAACGGAGGGGATGCCGGGAGCACGGAACTTCTCGCTGCCCTTAGTTCCCTCAACAAACCCACCACTCCAGCGCTCGTGCTTCTCTTTCTTCTCCTTCTCCTCCTCCTCCTTCTTGCTATCCGCGGACTTGATCTGCTCTAGCTGCTGGTCCACCTCTTTCGCCATGGTGTAGTACTCCTGTCGCGATCCGCCAGTGCTCTCACTATGCTCAACCTGTGCGCGCTGCGTCTCCGTCGTCTCTCCCACTTGCCGATGGTACTGCGCCACACGTGCGGTCTCCTCGGATTTCTTGACCTCCTGCGCGACCTGGCCGGAGTAATAGCTAGCATTCTCGCCGCCAACGACGCCGGCAGACGGGAGTTCGGGTCCGTAAAAGACTTCACTCGATGGCATAGCCGGCATGGCGGGCACAAAAGCATTGCCATGATTCGACTCGATGCCCGCGACGGGGTTGAACGCAACGAACGGCGGCATATCGGTCGGCGCGAAATCATCGCCAAAGTCGGGTTCTGCGACGACAATTTCCAGCTCCGCGGTGACAATCTCCGGCTCGTCGCCGAGAGAAGGCAGGTCCGGAACGTCATCGGGGCCACTGATGGAGATAGACGGGGTCCCGGGGGCGGTCATGACGGGGTAGACAGTCTCCGGCGCGCTGGACGGCTCATGAGTCGCGCCGCCAAAGTAATCGCTACCCTCGCAGTGGACCACGGGGACAGTCATCGCGGCGCCAAACCTCGGCGTGGGCGGGGTCTCGATGAGTCTGGGGACCCTACCAGTCCAGTTCTCCCAGGTGCCGAAGCGATCAATCATAGCCTCCTTCTCCTCGTCCGTGAACGTGATAGCCTTCTTCTTCTCGTCGGGCGTGTCCTTGACGATGGGCCCGAGCCCGAGCTTCTTGCGGACATACTCGACCTCCTGTTTCCGTGCCTCGGCGCGCTCGGCTTCGCGGTCGCGCGACGAGTCGCGCTGCCGCCGTCGCTCCTTCTTCTTGTACTCGTCCGAGCTGCGCTCGCGGCGCCGCCGATCTTTGACGCTGCGCTTCTTCGCTTCCGCGATCATGGATTCGAGCTCGGCTTTTTGCCGCTCGAGCGCAGTGCGCGAGAGTCGGTTCTCTTCCGTCTCGTCGGATGAAGAGACCACTGAGGTCGACTCGAGTTTCTCTGTAGAGGTGACGACTTGTGTGCCTGATGGCTGCGCAGTGGAGATCGTCGTCTCCTGAGCCTTGGCCTCGGCCGCCAGCTGGATCTGCCGTTGCGTCCAGGTCTGCTTTCGTCCACGCTCCTCGGCCGCATGCTCGCCACTCGCAGATGTGGAGCTGGTGTTGATGATAGCCTGATCGCGACCGGACGTGCGTCCCCTGGATACGTCCCGCTGAACGCTCTCGGAGGAGGAGGAGGAGGAGTACGAGTGCAGTTCCTTCGTAGAGGAAGTAGTAGTAGCCGTAGCAGTAACCGACTCTCTCCTCTGCTTCTGTACCAGCCGCTCCTTCTCAGCTCTCAGATACCCCAGCCGCCTCGCCTCGGCCTCCAGCAACTCCCTGCGTCGGCCCTCCTGCTTCTCCCTCTCCGCCCGCTGCTCGAGCTCAATCTTCTCCTCGATAGCGAGACTCTCGCGCCTCCTGCGCTCGTCGATCCCCGCCTCCAGCGCCTTCCTGGTCCTCTCCGCCTTCTCATGTTCAGCCCTCCACAGCTCGGCCTCCTTAACCTCACGATCTCTCTTCTCGCGGGCAATCATGGCGGTCCTAATCGCCGCCTTCTCGAGCTCATTAACCCTCGCCCTCTCAACCTCCTTCAGCCTCTCAAACTCGCGAATCTTCTCCTTTGCGAGCTCATCAAGCCGTCTATCATCCTCGAGCTTCCGGCGTATCGTGTCCTGCCGCGCCTGATCCGCCAGCTCCTGATCGCGCCGCGCCTTGACCGCCTCCGCTTCCAGCCGCAGCTGGTCCGCGGCGATGCGCGACGCGTTGGCTGCAGCGCGCAGCCGCGCACCCGTAGATATCGGCGCGGCTTTGGCCGCGAGACCGGCTTGTCGCACGGATTCTTGCAAAGACATCTTGCCTGTGGGCATCGGAGGCGCACTGTCGAAGTCGATAAAGTGCCGTGCTGGCTGCTGGAATGCCCCGATTGCCGCTAAAGTGGATGCGCCGGCAACGAATTGCGATGATGACTGCGAGGAGCCGGAGCTCGAGGACTCGGAGATCGCGCCGTGCGAATATTGTGAGGAGTGCCCGGTCCCCATGAATGATCCTCCTCCTACTGCTGCTCCGCCAGTGAATGCCCCTGAGCCGGTGGTCGCTGATGATCCGCCTTCGGTCACTGTCCTCGATGCTGCTCCACTGCCTCCACTTCCTCCTCCAATGAGTTCTCCACGCATGACCTCTCCCATTACCGCCCCTCCTCCTGCTCCCCCTCCTGCTACCATTACCGCACCAGACGACGAAGCCTCTTTGCTCCGCCTCACCTGCGTCTCCGTTTCCGTTTCCGTTTTTGTTTTCGTGATTTTCGTCGATGTAGATCCGCCTGCCACTGTCCCTGCCACTGCCCCTGCCACTGCCCCTGCCACTGCCCCCGCTCTCCTCCGTGAAACATGCCCCTCATCCTCCGAGCTATCATTACTCGAACTCGAGCTCGAGTCGGAAGTAGAATCGCTGGACGAGGCCTCAGAAACATGTCCTGCAGCCGTAGACTGTCCGTGTCCGTGTCCGTGTCCCTGACCGTGACCGTGAACGCGCACGACCGAGGGGGCCGAAACAAATGCCTCTGAAGATGAAGAAGAAGAGGGTGATGAATGAGAAGATGAAATATGAGTATGAGAAATATGCTGATGAGAAATATGAGAATGTGAAATATGAGATGTGTGAGAAGAAGAAGTATGCTGATGGATATTATAACGAGAAGATGAAGAAGAAGAATTATTGACTACACTATTATCTACTACTACTGCTTTCTCCGCCGCCGATGGTGGTGGCGGTGGTATCTGCTCGTGTGTCTGCAGCGGCAAGGGAATGGGCCGCACTCCCTCACCGGACACGCCAACGCGCGTCACCAGCGTTGACGGCGTCGCGCCGGTGATTACCGTTGCCTTTGTTGCTGTTGTTGCTGCTGCTGACCCCGACTGTTGATACTGCTCATGATGCTGATGTGCGATTTGTTGTACCGACTGCTGCTGCTGATGTTGCTGCTGGTGTTGATGTTGTTGCTGCTGCTGCCATTGCGGTAGATAGGGTTGCTGCCCGTATTGCGCTTGCTGCTGCCCGAACTGCGTTTGTTGCCCGAATTGCCCAAACTGCGCTTGTTGCTGTTGCCCGAATTGCTGTTGCTGCTGCTGCTGTGGAAAAGGTCCCTGGTAAGAATGTGTTTGCTCACGCTCACGCTCAAGCTCAGAGATGGAAACGCGCGAACGACGGTGCTGGGAGGAGGAGGAGGAGTATTCTGTCGCGAGGAGGGGGGCGGGGACGATTGCGGAGGTTGAGGAGGTGGAGGCAACATTGACATTGGTGGTGGGCTCGAACCTTGATGTAGTCTGTTGTTCCTCACGGGCCCGAGGGGTGGGGGCGAAGGTTTAGAAAAATCCGGTGATACAGATACGGGGGTGGGGGGAAGATGACTTAGACATACCTGTTTCTGCTCCAGTCCTCCATAAGTGTGCTCCCTATACGAGGACGCCGACCTGCGCTCGCTCCCGTTCCCGTTGCGCTCTTCGGCATAGACCCCCGCGCCCGCACCTCTTGTCGTCTGCTGCTTCTTCTTGCTGCTTCCGCCGAAGCCAAACAGCGCGCCGCCCAGCGCCGCCACAGCCGATGCGCGTCGCGTGGGGCCCCTATTGCTAGGGCGCGTGTCGTCGCTCGACGGGGTGAGGGAGCTGTCGGAGCTATACGATTTTGGCGATTTGTTGCGGCGGCCGGCAGAACCACCAGCGGCGACGGCAGCGGCGGCTCGCGCGCTGGTTACTGCGGTAGAAGTAGTGGTAGCAGTAGTATTCGCGCGGCGCAAACCCAGTGTCCACCAGCTGCGGCCGCTGGACATGGCAGTAGTGGTAGTATTGCGCTCCTCCTTCCTCTTCTTGACGTCGTGCGCCACGCCGCCCTCGAACAAGCTGCTCCCCGAGGAGCTGCTGCGTCTCGAGCCGACGGAGGAGTCGCCCATCCAGCCGCTGCTACTACTCGGCGCACGGTAAAGTTTTCCGCCGCTGGACGAGCCATAGACGGAGGTCGAGGAGTGGCGCCTGTTGGCCACGAAGCCGGAGCGTGTGGTTGCGTTTGCGCGAGTGCCACCCGTAGAGTTGTGACGGGTCAGCGCGACGTCGCTGTAGTTGTACCCGCCGCCAACCCGGCTCGACGACCCGTTGTTCTGCTGCTGCCGCTTGTCGATCACCACGTCCCACGAGCTGCGACGCTCGCTCTTCTTCGACCCCCACAGCGCGGACTTGATCGAGCCGGCCATCGAGATCGGCGCGGGCTTCTTCGGCGAGAACGAGCCCCACGGCATTTCCGGCGAGGTTGAGTAGAGATCACCGTACGCGAGCGCATCCGACGATGCGACCGACGTCGCTTTCTGCTTCTTCCTGCGACTGAAGAATCCTCCGCCGCCGCTGGTCGACCGCGAGCCGACGGACGAGCCGTAGGCGAGGCCGTTGTCGGAGCTTGAGCTCGGCGCGCTAAACACCGAGGATCTGCTCGAGCTCTTGGAGTGGTAGCCGCGCCGCGATTTGCCCTTATCCTTCTTCTTGCTGGCGCCGCCCCACAGGCTGCCCATGATGGACGACGAGGACTTCGAGTGCTTGACGCTTTGGTACACGCCGTCGTGCGATCGCCGTGAGCGACGCGCCTGCTCCTCCTCCTCCTCCTCTACGTAGTAGTGTGGGTGTGGAGTGCCGTCCGCGCCGTACCCCGGATCGTAAAAGAGAGTGCTGGACTTCCCCGCGGCGCTTCCGCCGGCGTGGAGGCCGGCGGTCAACGACGACGACGAGTGCACAACCTTTGTCGACGACGATGAGTGCTTGATCATGCTGCTACTGCTGGCGGTGGTAGTGCTGACGACGCCGAGCGCTCGTCCAACCCTTCCAAACAAGCCCTGCGATTGCTCCGCGCTCCGAATCTCCTCCTGTCTCCGCCGCCGACTCTCGATCTTCCGCTCGTGGCGGATCCTGCGGTACACATGCTTCCTCCGTCTCGACCCCGAGGACAATCCCGCGTCGTCACTCGACGAGTCCGAGCTGGAAGTGCTACTGCCGGTTCCATCGGACGAAGACGTGGACCTCCTCCTCCTCCTTTCGCCCCAACCCCTCGGGCTCCTCGGCACCCACACGCGGCGCTTCGCGTCCCACCGCTCACTGACATGATGCTTCCTTGGCGCATCGGCGGCGGACGACCCGGGCTCGAAGCAGTCGCGACACATCCCCTCGACCTCGGCCCACGCCTCAAACTGGCCGATCTGCTCGCGCTCCGACTCCTTGAGCGAGCGCCAGATCCCGCTGAGACTCCGGCGCAGCCCCGTGCGACTGTGGTGTGTGTGCGTGTGTTGGTGCTGGACCATGGCCAGGCTGCTGCTGCCGCCGGAGGAGCCGGACGCCGCGAACGGGTTCTTGCCGCCGCCGACGAGCTGCATCGAGCTGGAGCTCTGCTGCATGCTCTGGCTGTGGCCGTTGTGGTGGTGCACCAGGTGGTGCTGGTGCTGGTTGGAGGAGCCGCTGCTGCTCGATTGCCCCCCCATGTAGCCCGCGGTCGTGTGCGAGAGCGAGTGCGCGCTGTTGCTCTGCGTCAACGCGGTGTATGACGCTCCCGCCAGCGGCCCGGTGGTGTACGGCGACACCTGTGGCACCGGCACGGGCCTGTATGTGGATGGCAGGCCGTGGGGTGCACTGGGAGTGGGGATCGGTATTGGCATTGCCGACATTGGTGTCGATGAAGTATGTGCCGCTGTATTTGCTGCTGTAGCTGTAGCTGTAGTGGTTATTCCCAGACCTCCGCCGCCGTTCAAGGTCTGGCCATAGTATGACGAGTTAGCAAAGGGCGGGGGCTTATCATACGTACCCGACGTAGAAGTACCATCAGTCGACATGTGCGCATAGACCGAGGAGCTCGACGTGTTCACGTTCGCGTTCGCGGCGCCGTTGGACTTCGCTGCGGTTGTAGTTATGGGTGTTACAGTGGTTCCCGTTGTTGCCGCGGCCGGAAGAGGAACCGAGCATGTGGTAACAGCGGACTGACCGCGATCGGCTGTTTTGGTGGTGGTGGTAGTGTTGTTGTTGCTTGCTGCGGAGAGGCCGCGCGGGAGGAAGGGCTCACTGCCGGGAGCGGTGGATTGTTGTTGCTGTTGCTGCCCTTCGGCGCAAGGGGTTCGTGATGACTTCATGGGCGACGACATATCCGGCGATGGTGATGGATTATCGTTGATGTCTCGTTCGAAACAAGCACAGAACTCTCTCGAGGGAGTCGCGCGTTGATTCTATGGCCGCTATGTATGTAGGAAAATATGGACGCGAATCTGGACGATGCGATTGGCCGCGGAACGGGAGGAAATGGATGCTAATAACACAGAAGGAATTCGAGGCTCGCTTTCGTGGATTGGATGAATGGAATACAATATGTAATACACAGGGCAGGACGCGCGCGCGCGGAGTTGGAGGGCGTCTATTCGTTTAATAGTTGGGGGGAAGGGTATCGATGTGTTTGGCCGGCCGTTCAGGAGTAGTAGAGTAGTAGTAACAAGCAAAGCAAATTGCAAGCAAGTAAATACCGTCTGACCAATTGCTAGCAATTGCGGTATTGGTTGACGGGTTGGTCGCGTCTGTGTGGGCTCAGTGTGATGTGATTGGGCCCGCGTTCGTTCAATTCTTCTTCTCGGAGACGATGTGGTTGGTGCCGATGGATGGGTCAGGGAGAGGAAGGCAGGAAGGCAGGAAGGCAGGAAGGCAGTTCTCGTCTTCGTGTTCTTCTTCTTTTTCTTCAAGGAGGCCACTTGAGGGAGGCGATGTGCATGCAACGGACTTGCGTGTAGGGTAGGTCAAGAAGGATGATGTGGATGGGGGTGGAATGATGGATGATAGGCAGCAATGCGAACGGGGAGGACAACCAGTGAGAGGGCGGCTAGTCGCAGTTGCGTACCGGAGGAGAAGAAGAAGAAGGGTGGCGGCGGTGGAGGGTGGAGGCGGCGATGATGATGGTGGAAGAGGGTGATGGGTGTTTGTTGACGGCCTACCTACTTGGAGGATGTGTTCCTACTAACCAAGATCTCTCCGTCGAATCGAAAAGGCCAAGGTGGGTCACGGTAAAAGCGACGATAATAGTGCACAGGAAAGCGTGGACCGTCGTTATGCGGTGCTCCAAGGGGATATAGAGTGGTCTGCGTCGGATCGGGGTCAGCGTCTGAGTGGCCGCGGGACGGTAAATTGCAGCAGAATGCTCCAGGGACTTAGGGACTCTAGTTACCCGCAAGCAGGCAAGCTGGTAAGCTGGTAGGGGCCGCGTAAAAAGGGTAGGGGATGGATCTAGGTAAGGTCAAGAATAGGGCAAAGGCCAGTAGCCGATGAAGAAAGAGGAGACGAGAGGGAGCCACGGCACAATGTACCCTAGGCAGGCGAGACGGGCTGAGCTGAAGAGGAGGAAGAAGAGGAAGGACCTCAGTGGCGAATCGAGTATGTATCAGCTCGGGATACGGTACGGACAGAGGCAGTAAGAAGACGGGACAGTGGAAGGTCGGCCCGTGTTCGATATCTCTCGGTCAAGCCACAGTTCTTCAAGGGATCGGGTTTCCGTTTCTTCGTTTCTTCGTTTCTTCACGATATATATCTCGGGCTTCGGACAGGAAACTAAACAGAATACAATAACAGTCGTAAGAGGTCGTGAATGGTCGTGAGTGGTCTTGAATTGTCTTGAATTGTCGTGATGGTCGTTTATTCGTTTATTCGTTATTCGTTTGTCCGTTTGTCGGTCTGTTCGTTTGTTGGTCGTGCAAGAGGTCGTTACAGAGTTCGGATTCTCGGAAGCGGCGATAATTGCGAACAAGTCAGGCTGCTACGAGAGCACGGAGATGATTGGCAATATCGCGAGGATCATATGCAAAGCGCGTGTGGGTATCCGGACAGAAGTGGCGCAGAGCAGAGGATTCCCGCAGTGAGCGATAAATCAGGGGCGGTAACGAGAAGGCGGGAAAGGCAGGAGGCGCTGGGCAGGCGGGAAGGGGCTGTGGTGCAGGAGAAGGCGGAGATGGGAAGATCGGAGAAGGGAGAAGGCGGCTTCGTCTCTGGCTGATGCTGCCTGCTCGTCCAGTGTACTAGTACTAGGAGCAGTTAGTATTAATCGTACGAAAGAAAAGGAGGAAGGAAGGACGGAAAAAAATCAAAAAAATCGACACACGCTAGAGCTGAGGGAGCTGCAGGCCAAATTGCAGTGCAGCCGATTAACGGTAAGGTGTCGTTCATTAGAGGTTCCTCTAGGCGACGACGGGATTGGTCGTGAGGAATCTGAGCATGGAGGTAAATACGACTTGCGTGGGTCTGCAGCGTATCAACTCCGTAATAGAGACTAGAGTAGGGTAAGTCAGTAAATAAGTGGTTAGTGGTGGGCTCATGCACGCCATGCACACTTACGAAGGCGGATCGCAGCAAGCAAAGACGGGGAGGAGACCGTTGCTTCTGCTGCTTCTGCTGCTGCTGCTGGTGATGCTGCTGAAGATGCCTGCCAGCTGCTCGAGACTCGATAGACGAAATGCGGCGGGGCAGTATCGGCGTAGGTGTGTCGTTGGGGCGATTTCTTGTCTGGCTGATGATCCCTCCCGCGATACATTCATCACCGATCGGAACAACTGAGTGCAGCAAGCAAGCAAAAGCACATGCAAGCAATAGCAGCAGCAGATAAGCATTGTAGATACCACCGCATTCAGATGTTTGACGAGTGGCGCGAGCGGAGGAGAAGAAGATCAAGATGCGCCAGCCAGCCAGCAACCCGAATGGCTTTGAGATACCCATACCTCTTGCTCTTCTTCTTCTTCTTTTCTTCTTCTTCTTCTTCTTCTTCTTCTTCTTCTTCTTCTTCTTCTTCTTCTTCCTCTTCCCTTCTCTTCTCTCCTTCCTCCATCTCCTTAAGGTTCCACATACCACATCCTTCATCCCTAGTACAACAACGACAAATAAAATAAAAAGCTTGCACCACCTTGCCTGTCCCATTGGCCCCACTCGTCTGCGTCAGCAATCAAGATCACTGGGCCAGTTGAGTCCCCCCTCCATCCCATCCGACGTGGCCCTGCAATTGCTCCAATTGGCTGTTGCGGAACGCGAATGTCTGCGTTCAGGTGGGTGAGGCGAGTGCAGAAACCCAGCCTGCCTACCAGCCAAGCATGCGGATATCATGCGTTGCGTTGGGAGGGAAACCACTCCCTCCCCCCCGACCATCCCACAGACAAACGCCCCTTCTACCCTCCCACTCCCCCCTCCGTGTGGCGACGAATAAGGACTTTCCCGGCCTCGTGCATCCGTCCGCCGAAGGTAACCCCAACGCCAGCCAGCCAGTCAGCATTCCCGAACCGTGATGGTGTGCAACTCCCCGACCGAATAGCGCGCTTTTTCAGCTGAGGCAGGGTCAGCGGGGGCGGAAATCCTCATGTCGTCGAGTGTTTGTGAGGTCACATCCCAGCTATTCCAAAATGCTATTATGTAGTACCCAGAATCCTGGATGCCAATCGTTGCCGCCAAAGTGAGACAAGAACGAGTGCGAGGTCGAGATGCGAGACAATGCCATTGTCGAGTCATGTACACTCACTCGTTTCTCCAAGCGCCCACCGTCCCCTCGCCTCCCCGCAATTATCGCCACGGCCAATGAGCCAGAGATGGTGGGGCCAACTATGGGCTTCTAGGTCGTACCGCTGCATATCTTCAAACTCAGGGGAACCCACCACCCAAAAGCATGCCAGAGCATGTATCCCATCTCCGACCGAGGTGAGCGCGAAGGGAGAGAAAGAGAGATGGCTGTCGACCAGAAGCGCCCCTCCAGTCCAGCAATATTGACCTCGCCCTCCTCCGACCCCTCCGACCCCTCCTCCGACCATCCTCTCTCGCAAACACCCATAACCCAACAGCCCTCAAGTGTACCGGCGTAGGTGTTACAAGGAACCGCTCCTCACAACCTCAGCTCGGACAATCTGGATCTGGATCCTCTTCCCGTTCGGCAACGCATCGGACGTACCGGTATTCTTCAAGGTTCAGCTACCTAGAGAAGCGAAAGGTGGTATACGGTAGCTCGCGAGCGAGCTCTCAGCTCCACATACGTAAGGGTAGCTATAAAAAAAAAGAAAAAAATTAATCAGAAGATGTCGGACATGTCGACCACGAGCCTGGCAACCGCGCTCCACGGCCTCGGCATTCACACGTCCGAGGAGGAGAGAAGACACTCCACAGCCTCAACCGCGTCCACTCCGATCGAGTACTCGCCGCCGGCAACACCCCCGCCCGCCGACGCCGAAGACAAGAAAGACCGCGATCGGATAATCGTCGGCATCGACTTTGGGTACCAAACCACTCCCGTCCCCCTCCCCCCGCCCAGCTCAGCAGTCCCCCTAACCCGGCCCGACCCAGAACCACCCACAGCGCCCTCGCCTGGGCCCACACCAGCACTCCCGACGAGTACGAGGTGATCACGCAATGGCCGGGGCAGTCGGGCAAAGACTGGGGCAAAGTCCCGTCGGACATCTCATACAACACGGGTCGCTCGCCATCACCGCCCGCGACCACCACTCCCACCCCCTCCTCCCTCACCCCGTCCCCCGACACGCTCTCCTTCAAATGGGGCTTCGAAGTCCCCGCGGCGGACCCGCAAAAGCTCAGCTGGGTAAAGATCCTGCTCGACCCGTCACAGCCGCGTCCGACCTTCGTCCAGCCCAAAAAGTCCGTGTTGCCACCCGGCAAGACGCCCGTCTCCATCGTGACCGACTACCTGCGCGCCCTGCGCGCCTACACGCTGCTAACGCTGACGCGGCGCCTGGGCGCCGAGGTGGTCGAGACAACCCCGGTGGAGTATGTCCTCACTGTCCCCGCCGTGTGGAGCGATAAGGCGCGGGCGACTACGCTGGAGGCGGCGGTGGCGGCGGGGCTAGGCGGGGTGGAGGACGAGGAAGGGGGCGGGCTCAGACTCATCACGGAGCCTGAGGGCGCCGCGGAGTATGCGTTGCGAAGCTTGAGGCCGAATACGCTGAAGGAGGGGGACTGCTTTACGGTGTGTGATGCCGGCGGCGGCACGGTCGACCTGATCACGTATACCATCTCGTCGCTGCAACCGCTGCAGCTGCAGGAGGTCGCGGTGGGAACGGGCGCGCTCTGCGGTGCGGTCTATCTTGACCGGAGGTTTGAGGACTTTGTGGCCGAGAAGATTGGTAGGGACAGGTTTGAGGCTATGGATCCTCGCGCCAAGTTCCAGATGGGGCAGTATTGGGAGACGTATATGAAAAGAGAGTTCTCGGAGAAGGTTGCTGGCGACAACGACGATGATGACTTTTGGGTGCCTGTGATGGGCGTGCCGGATACGGACGACGGAAGGATGCGCGGTGGGTTCTTGAGGGTTTCGAGGTGCGCTTTCGTCCCATACACTACGGTATATAGATGTGCTGACCCGTCGCAGAGACGAAGTACGCGAGATCTTCGCGCCGATCGTGGCGCAAGTCCTCGAGCTCCTCGGGGCACAAGTGTTACAAGTGCTCAAGTCAGCGCAAAAGCCCGTCGGCGCAATCCTTCTCGTCGGCGGCTTCGGCAGCAGCGAGTACCTGTACCGACAGATCCTGTCCTGGTCGAGCGGGAGCATCCCGGTGCTGCAGCCGCGCAACGCATGGACCGCGGTGGTGCGCGGCGCAATAATCCGCGGCCTCCAGGGCGACACCGTTAAGGCCCGCCTGAGCCGTCGCTACTACGGCGTCGTCCATGACGCCAAATTCGATCCCCAGAAACATGATGACGTGGAAAAGCAGTGGCACCAGCTGCGATGCGAGTGGGTCGTCAGGAACAGGATCCAGTGGTACATCCGGCGGGTATGCGCCCCGTCCCGCCCCCGCCCCTTCTCCCCCTCCCCACTGACCATCCTTCCAGGGCGACGTAACCACCTCAACACGCACGCTCTCGTTCGCGTTCTACCGGACGATCGCGGCTTCAGACATAGTCGGCGGGACCCACGCGCTCAAGACGGAGCTGTGGGTATGCGATGCCGAGACCGCGCCCAGCAAGCGCGACAGCACGGTGCGGAAGCTGTGCGTGATGGAGAGCGAGCCCGTCCCTGTCGAAAGGTTTGTCAAGATGCGGAATGAAAAGGGCGACGTGTTTTATCGCGTCGATTATAGCCTCGACATGACAGTCACCGGCGGCGCAGTGGTTTATGAGATGAGTATGGCGAAGAAGGGGGTCAAGGGAGTGAAAGGGGAGAAGGGGACGAAGGGAGAGAGGGAGAAGGTAGGAAGGGTCGAGGTGAGGTATGAATGAATGATGACGACGATTCGCGTATTAGAGTTTTGTTTGTTTCCCCTCTGGTGAGGGGGCATTCTGATGCGTCATAAAATATGGTTCGGCTTGGGTTAATGGTGCGCGACGATTTTGGTCAAGATTTTTTTGTGGATAGAAATGAAATGTAATATCTATTCTGCAGCGCTCGTATGCAGTTGGGCGGCTATGGATAGGGCGTGGTGTTTGAAACTGACGGGTTTACTTGTTGCACTCGCATCGAGCATGATCGTTGGCAGTGTTCATTCATTCACCTAGCATGAATGTCTGCAATGTTTCATTCAATCGCTCACTCGCCCAGAACGATTCGTCTGCAACGCCCCATTCCCTCACATTCGCTCACTCAGCACGATCGTCTGCGGTACCTATTCACTCTTACAACACAATCGTTGGCAAGGTATCATTCAATGTTCCATTCAGTCACCCAGCACAAAACATGAGGATGGTCTAGATTACGTATGAATGACGACGAAGAGTGCGTGTGCGATTCGCGTATTTGAGTTTTGTTTCCGTCTTGGAAGAGGGGGCGCATTTTGGTGCGTCATGAATTATCGTTCGTTTTGGTGATGGTGGGCGAAGATTTAACGATTTATTTGGTGATAGAAATGAATTGTAATATCTGTTTTGCTTCGCTCGTAGGGAGATGAGCGGCTATGGATAGGGCGTAGTGTTTAAATCTAGAGGTTTTTAGTTGTTTCACTCTCACATAGCATGGTCGTTGGAAGTTTCGATTCACTCTCGCAGTATGATGATCTGCAGTGTCCATTCAGTGTCCCATTCACTCACCCAGCACAAAACGGTGGGATGTTCGAGACTAGGTATGGATGACGACGACGAGTGCGTGTGCGATTCGCGTATTTGAGTTTTGTTTCCGTCTTGAAAGGGGCGGGGAGGCGGCATTCTGGTGCGTCATGGATTATCGCTCATTTTTGATATTCGTGGGATTATTTTTATTTTTGAGAATAGAAACGAACTATAATGTCTACTTTGCTTCGCTTGTATGGAGATGGGCGGTGGCGGATAGGGCGTGGTGTTTGCACCTGACTGGTTTACTTGGTCTGCTCACGCAGGATGGTCGTCGGCAGTGGCCATTCACTCTCCCAGGCTCCCAGGCTCCCAGCGATCGTCTGCAGAGTTTCATTCAACATCCCATCGAATGCCCATCAAATCACTCGGCACGATCGTCTGCAGTGTCTCATTCAGTGTCGTATTTACACCCGCACTCGTCTGCAATGTCCCATTCAATGCCTCATTGACTCATCCAGCACAATCTTCTGCAATGATGTCAGAATATTAGACCTCCGGAGATGACGATCTTCCTAGCGCACTCTAGCGGGGGATCCGACCACGGAAGACCCACCTTCCGAAGGTTTAGATCCAGAGATTTTCTGGTTCGTGAAGCTTGTATACCGGTATAGAGAGAGAGAGCTGCTCACGATAGGTACTGTTGCTGTACTGAATACTATTGTCTTCTTCTACCTACTTCATTATTCAACAAATGTCACATTCACTCACTCAGCACAATCGTCTGCGATGTCTCATTCGGTCACATTAACTCACTCAGCACCATCGTCTGCATTGTCCCATTCAATTCTCCACTCACATTCAGCACCATCGTCTGCAATTTCACATTTACTCACCCAGCATAATTTGTGTAATGTCCCGTTCAAAGCCTCATTCACTAACCCAGCACGATTGCCTGCAATGTCCCATTCATGTCCCGTTCAATGTGCCATTCATGCCCGATCTCTCCCTCATTCACCGCCGTCTAACATAACACGAAGAGCAACAACGCAAGACCTCAAGTCCGCCACGCCCAGGATCCTGGCAAAAACCTCCACGTTGCAAGCCGTAGTCATGGGTTGGCACTCGGAACACGGATATCCGTTTTTTTTTTCCTCTTCTTTTCTTTGGCTTTTACTTGTTATTCTTCTTGTATCCATGGTCGCCGAGAGGCTGAGAAGATAAGGATGCACTATCGGTAGCTGGGGGAGGGGGGAGGGCGCAGGAATAGCAGGAATACTGCCGTGCCCGAACCTAGGGGCCAGTAGAATATCCACTTGTGTACACAAAGATGAAGCACAACAGTGAGCACTCAAGAACCCATAGCTTCTGCACCTGGCTATCGCCAAGTATCCACAGCTACAGCAACCACCGCACTGCGTAGCCGGAGGAAGTCACGGCTACAAGTTTTATCGACCTGCGTAGCTTTCGATCGACGCGGTGCATCACCAGCCGCGGGGTCGTAACCTCAGGGATCCATTCACACGACCTATATGCTACACTACAGTGTTATTCACGGTCGGGTTGTCGGTGGTATCGGTGGTATGTACGCGTTCGGGACATCACGACTCACGAATCGCTGCAGCGCTTGACTTGACGGACAATTCTCCTAGCTCACTACCCGCCAGAGCACTATCTGCCAGACTACTTTACACATGAGAAAATGAACAATTTGCACGGTTCGTCGATGGTGCAGATTTGCAAGAATTCGAGTGATAGTGAGTGATAGAGCCCGGCATCTGCACGATACCTCCTCTCCCCTCCCCTCCCTCCCCCCTTCCCCAGGATCTGGTGCGTGCCTGCCTGCGTGCAACGTGCGACGTGAGCTACGTTACGGTGGTGCTGTCATGCGGTGGTGCTGTGTACATACGTACGACGTGGACGGTGGACGGTGGAATGCGGGATTCCGCATAGTCCGTGGTAGACATTGGAGATGAGTTCGTGTACGGTGTACGGTGTACCTGTGTAAGCCTTAAGGACGTGGGGGGAAATGTGTGACAGTGTGACGCTCCTTCAAGCCTTGTTGTCGGGCGGCGAGACATGTAACATTGTAATCTGCTCGCTTTCGTATCGGTACATAGCATCGTGGCGTCGTAAAAAGCCCGAGGCGGAGCGAGATCGCCGCGCCCACGAATGATTGCAAGATGGACTCCGGAGGTTCCTGCGGATCAGGTACACATAGTAGACGTTGGCTCGATGTTTCTTCTTCTTCTTCTCCTTCTTCTTCCCCAGACAGGGTCATACATACATACTTACCTACATCCTGCCGACATACCGGCCGGTTACTGGCCGACCCACGGCAACCTGACACTGCGTAGTACCCTCGCATGATGTACCGTACCTACTGTCATCCTGCGCCTACCCACTCCACTCCACTCCACTCCACTCCACCGTGCCGGATGGATGTACGTTGTACGCGTGCGTGCGACTGGCGTGCGTGCAACGTGAAGTCGGCGACGATCCACGTAGCGAGGGTGGGCCCAGGGGTGATATGTATAGGTAGGTGGTATTCGTTCACGCCTCGAACGATCTCCCCAACATACCTAATTTGCACATGGATGGGGTAGATATGTTGTACATGGGTCCTCGCAAGAGAAAGCAAGAGAGACCAAGAGAGAGCCCGCCGACCGGCTTCCTCCGCAAGCCGCAACCTCTCCGACATGTTTTCTAGCTCCTCGTCACGCGTCATCTCCTCCACTCATCCACGAGAACTTGCGGGTTCCCCGGCGATGTATGTTTCATAGCGCTGCCTGGCCTAGAATCGCCGAGATCTTGGGGCCGTTGAGGCGCTGAGGCGTTGACGGCGGCGCCGGAGATCGGGGGTGGTGGATGACTGCGGCGAGCATGAAGAGGGCGGAGTGGAATGTGGGGGATACGGGAGGTAAGTAAGCAGCTATGGTTGGCTCCGATGCGACGGACTGATAGAGTGTTCGCCGCGCTCCGTTCAGGAAGCAGCCCCTCTCCCCGTTAGAGGAGGCAGCCCTCATCTGGCGGTTTGGCGAAGAAATAGATACCTGCCTCGATACAGAGTCATGATCTTGGTCTTGGTCGATATTTCCGCGCCGGCCGGCCGACCGGGATGCTGGCGATTCGATTCGCCCACTGCGATACATGATCCGGGGTAACCGTGTAACTAACTGTGTAACGAAGGGTTAGGGATGGGATAGTCAGTTAGGACTGGATTGCGATCGGCTTTAGCATACCTAGTAGTTATGGTCGCCGAATGCAAACCTTTCCAACGCCGGGTCATCTGTACATGCCATGCCATGCCATGCCTATGTACCACTATATACACACCTACACACCATACCGCACATCCATACATCTGTTCCCCCGAGCGAGCCTCCACGTTTGCTCTGCACACGCACGACTGGGGAACGACTGGTCGCCGAGGGGGTGGGGTGCGTGCCTGCCGCGCTTTCTTTCTTTCTGTCTGGGCCCTGCCCTGCATTGCATTGGCATTGCGTGGCGGGAGAATGGAGATCCAAGAAGCCCGGCGGACTGACGCTGACGGACTGACGGACTGACGGGTGGCGCCGGGTCGTGAGTGGTCTGGTCTGGGTCTGCGAAACTGGGAGACTGGCTCGCCTTAAGAGATGATAGATCGCGAACGAACGGGGAACGGGAAGCCGCGCGCGGATGAGGCGGTTGGCGCTATCATATAGTATAGTTACGGCGTGGGTTTGTAGGAATTGAGGTAGTGTTTTTATTCCGTGGCCGGGAGGACTCGAGTCCGTGCAGACCCACAGTCATCCCGGATTTTCGATCCCGCCTTTCGATCGCCGCCTTTCGATCGCCGCCTTCGCGCCGTCGGACCGACCAAGAGCATCGAGTCGTACGAGAATCTTGCGTCGCTATGAGGTGCTGCCGTTCGGTTTCCCCCCGCCCCCAGAGTCTGAAGGTTTCCCATGCGAGTTGTGCATGTCGTCGCTCTTCCCGCTCCAATGGATAAGCATTCCCCTCCATTGCCCACTGCTGCTGCGCCCTCTGTGGTGGAGACGACGACCTCTGCCTCTCGCCTCTCGCCTTTCGCCTCCGCATCAATCATCATGATTCATCTCCATCTCAGTCCCGCGTAGAGTTGTCTACCGTACACCATGTTCCATACAAAACAAACCTACTCCACCCGCGGCGCCGCCAAGCAATTCCTTATCTCTGACCACCTCGCGCGTGAAAACAACAAATAACCGTGTCGCGCACGAAATTTTAGCGAGGCGGATGCGGCGCGCCCATTGGCCAGACCAGCTCCGGAACCGTGGTACTGTCAGACTCGCCAAGGCACCTTTTTATCATCTGTGGGACGGCGACTAGATAGAGTACACGGAGAAGGGGAGAAGGGGAGAAGCCAATTGCAGATGTGGAATATCTGCCGGTCGGTGGCTGGCTGGTTATCATATCAGAAGAAGGGAAGCCCATCGAGAGCTTGGCTTGGAGTGCGGAGTTAGTTGGAATACTAGGTACGGGTTACGGTAGTAGGTGCTATAGCTGCCCTGTGTATGTGGAGTACTATGCAACAGCGCACTCCAGAGTTGGTGATTCATGTTGTTGACACAAGTGAGAGGGTAAGATAGAGTACCAGGCGCTGATGTTGCTGGGGAATCGCTAGAGATTCGACATTCTGGCCATGCTGGTTGATTGTTTGTTGATTGTTGTTGTTGCGAGGAGGAGGAGATGAGGATGCTTTGATAATCAGCGGCGCCCCCCACGTCGGCGATCATTTAGAAACCTCGCGCCAGGGCCAGGCCAGCTTATATGAGCAGAGCATATCAGAGCAGAGCAGCGCAGCGCAAAGCAGCGCAGAGTAGGTAGAGTAGAGTACAGGACCGGTACATCCATCCAGTCCATCTCACCTGAAACTTCGCCGTTGGTGTATGTATGTGAACGATGGAATGATCGGAGCCAGCCGAGCGCCACCGCTCCACCGCTCCACTGGGGGGATTCTCGGCGGGTTGGCGTAACTGCCCAGTTGCCTTGCCCACGTCCCCGATCTGCGGCTGATCCGGTTGCGCCCTGCTATGCCGGCGGCTGGGAGCTGGGAGCTGGAGCAGCACTCGGCCACCGCAGTGGCCGCACCTTCTCGGGGGCAGCAGTTCTATGCATACCGTACTACCTATAGCATACTCGCTATCGATACCCGAAGGGGACGATCTTGGTGATGATGACGGGCCCTACGACTTTCGATTTCTTGCTCCGGCTTCTTCCCTTATCTCTGCGTGCGCCACCTACGGAAGAGATGTTAGTTCGTCCCTTAGCTCGGAGGGCTAACTATCTAGCGGTTCTGTTCGCCGCAGCCCTAGTGGGAGTTCCCGTATTGTACATTCCCATGCCGGGCTTTGGCTTCTCGGAAGCCAGTGCCAGTGCGCCGTACGTCGTCGTCCCAAGGCTGGCAAATCGACGGTAGAGAAGATAGTTGCCGGTAGATTGCGCCCTTACTTCGCCTGCGTACGGTGTTCAGCACTTTGTTATCTGTAACCACGGCCCTCCTTCAAACACAAGGCAGGACACAGTGTCATACCGTATACCGGCGGTACTTTGCTCTATGCCCCGCGAAGCATGATAAGCGACTCGAGTATGTATCTAGAGTCGACGTGAAGGAAACGAAGCAGGTGCGATAACTACTGGTAAGTCGGTAGTATGTAGCACACTGCGGTGTGTTCCCCACCACCTCCACGGGCAACTCTGCCAAGTGGCCATCCCACGCCAAGAGATGCGGATGTGCATCATCAATCGAATCGAAGCACGAGGCACGAATGGCTCCAACACGCGAGCAGGTCTCGGATAAATTCTGGAAACAGCTCAGTACGGGAGGCGACCATGTACAGTACACGGTGCTAGTAGAGTTGAGTAGAGGACTTGCTAGTAGCAGTGGAGTAGAGCGCTCTCTGCATCCGATAGAGTGCCTGGAGCACCTCTAAATGCGGTTCCCAGGCCAATCAGATCCGGCACGATCAGGGCTGGGAGGAAGCAGTAGTACTGGTAGGGAATGTAGGAAGGCAGAATGGAGCCCGGCGATGGAGAATGGTGGTGGTATCATGGTTACCTAGATTAGATGGAAGGAACCCGTCAAGCACGAGTGGTGGTGGTGCTGGTATCAAAGTTACCCAGATAGAGCGAACCCGTTGAGCAGGAGTGTACTGGTATCATAGTTACCTAGATAGGGCGAGCCCCCCCTCCCCGGTTCCCCCCAGCCAACTGCCTGCGCTGCCAGTTCGGCGACGTTCCAAACCCCAGCAAGATGTCTGAACGGGGAATTGTGCGACAAGATGCTCTATCGCTGCTGTACCGGGACTTTCTTCTAGCTGCTGACCAGCCAGCCCTGATTCGCCGGGCTCGTCGCGGACTTGCCAACTGCGGCAAAATAAAATAAAAAATAAAAATAAAAAATACCCGAAGGCGGCGTTCCTTCTCGTCCAGGAACTCGATCCTTCTCCAGGAACAGTTTAGTCTTGGCAGGAATGTACCCAGATTCAGGTCCTACCCACCCCACAGCCTTCTGCTGCTTGCGACGCCATCGCTGGAAAGCTTGGTGCAACGAAAACGGTGGCGCACTGGTTATCTGCTCGCTCGCTATTGACATGCTCTAACACTAATTACAACTTCGTACGGAGATACGTCCCCGCACGCATCCCTCCTGCGCACGGAAAGCTGGACCCGAGGTTCCCGCAACCTCCTGGTGTGATGTGTATCAGCATTGGTGAATCAGACAACCCGAGATCCTCCCCCCCCCCCCCCCCCCCCCCCCCCCCACCGAGAGTCGGATCCTTTAATTGTCGGGCTCCTGCCCCCTCCATCGGGTCCCTTTCTCTTTCGATCTCCTCTCCATCCCACTACAGCTCTCCATCAGCATATACACAAGTCGAGGCAGTGCCTGGTATAAGACGACTTGCTTGGCCATATCCGACAATCGAAGTCCATCCACGACATCGACACGACCGCTCCGTATCTACAACTCAGTAACAGCAGCTTCAATCTCCAGTTCGCCAACATGTCGTACGCCCATACCGGTGCGCCGACCGAATTCAATGGCACAAACGCGTTGATGGGTGGTGATTCAAGTGAGCATTGTCCCGTCCAACCGCAATCGTCTCGACTGGGACGTCGGTGGTTTTGGCCCGGGCCGAACTGACCGCATTCCCCCTTCCAGGAACCGAGAACCTGAACCAGTGGTTCACTCATGGTGACGTCTCCTACATCCTCATCGCCTCGGCGATGGTGATGATCATGGTTCCCGGCCTCGGCTTCCTCTACTCGGGTCTCGCCCGGCGCAAGTCCGCTCTGTCCCTCATCTGGGCATGTATAGGATCGTCGGCGGTGGTGACGTTCCAGTGGTATTTCTGGGGATATTCGCTCGCGCTGTCGCCGAGTGCAACCAACGGCTTCATCGGCGACCTCAAGCGCTTTGCGCTCCAGAACACGTTGGGCGCTCCGTCACCAGGCTCGCCGCTCATTCCCGAGCTGCTGTACAGTTTCTACCAGATGCAGTTCGCCGCCGTCACAGTCGCCATCGTCATGGGCGCTATCGCCGAGCGCGGTAGACTCCTCCCCGCCATGGTCTTCACCTTCTTCTTCACCACCCTCGTTTACTGCCCCGTCTGCTGCTGGGTGTGGAATGTCAACGGATGGGCTTTCCAGTACGGTGTTTTGGACTACGCTGGTATGTTCTTCACGGGTTGGGGGGATTGCGGCAGGGCTTGCCGATGCTGATTGGTTTTTTCTACAGGCGGTGGTCCCGTTGAGATCGTTTCCGGAGTCGGTGCTCTCGCATACTCGATGGTCCTCGGCAAGCGTCAGGAGAAGATGCTCCTCAACTTCCGCCCCCACAACGTCTCCTTGATCACCCTGGGAACAATCCTCCTCTGGTTCGGCTGGCTCGGCTTCAACGGAGGATCCGCTTTCGGTGCTAACCTCCGCGCTGTCATCGCCTGCTGGAACTCGAACCTGACCGCCGTCATGTCTGGAATGACCTGGGTGCTCCTTGATTTCCGTCTGGCCAAGAAGTGGTCAATGGTCGGTCTCTGCTCCGGGCTGATCTCTGGCCTCGTCGCGGCTACTCCTGCCTCCGGCTTCCTACCGCTGCACGCCTCGATCCTTCTCGGCGTGTGCTCCGGCGTCATTTGCAACTACGCCACCAAGATCAAGTACCTGATCCACATCGACGACACGATGGACGTGTTCGCGGAGCACGGCGTGGCGGGCATGCTCGGGCTCATCTTCAACGGCCTGTTCGCCGCCGACTACGTCATCGGCCTCGACGGCGTCAACAACGGCATCACCGGCGGCTGGCTCAACCACAACTGGAAGCAGCTGTACATCCAGATCGCGTACATCGTCGCGTGCACCGCGTACACGTTCGTGGTCACCGCGCTGATCTGCTACGCCATCAACATGGTTCCCGGGCTGCAGCTGCGCGCGACTGAGGAGGCAGAGCTCCTCGGAATGGACGACGACCAGCTCGGAGAGTTCGCGTACGACTATGTCGAGGTCCGCCGCGACTACCTCGCCTGGACCCCGGCGAAGGAGTACCATCACCAGCCGAGTCCTGTTGCGGGTGAGCTCCCTGGTTCTTCCTCCTTCGATGCGATCAATGTTCCCCCCACAAAGCAGGAATAAGGGTGGAGATGATGGAGGCATAATACGTGCCCGTCATTCTCCGCGCCTGTCTTTGCTTTCCCCGTCATCTTCTCCGCTTTCTTCTCCCGACACTCGCCCGCCCGCCTACCAAATCACCCCAACCCTTCCATCCATCATCAACAGAAAACTGACAGGTCTTCCGTTCCATTAGCTGGCGACCGCCACGGCATCGCCGCACACAGCCAGATGATCGAGGGCTCATCACCACAATACCAGACGCCGCCGTCGCCCGTTACAGAGCTCAACACGAAGAAGGACTAGATCTAACTCCAATTTCTCCTGTTTTTCTTACGACCGTTCGTTTTTTGGATACATCATCATCACTTTTTGGGATCGGTTTGGGTTTGCAATTGGTTATCACATACAAGCGGGTGTTTTATTTATTTTTCTAATTTTTTTGTTTTCGTTTTCGTTTTTGATACCATTAACTACGCCGCGACCTTTTTCTTCTTGCAGTTTCTTTGTTGTTTAGGGGGGTTGGATATCGTGGATATGTGCCTCTGCCTGTATGTAGGGGAGGCCGTTCGGTTTTTGGAGCGATAGTTATGCGGGTTTGGATTTCAGTTGGGGGTGGGGATTGTTTGTTACTTTGTATGTACGTGGGGATGGGGGGCGGCGGCGGCATATTCTTTCGTTTTGCTCTTATAAATTTTATAAGTAGTACCGGTACTTAGGTTACTCTACTGCACTGTATGCACATTGCGGATGCCAATCACGACAATAACAGCTACAACTCAGCAGAGATCTAGATGTGTATGTGTGTAGGTATGTCAATTCGTGATGTCCGCCTGCCTGGAGGCTGGGCCGGTGGGGGGTGGCGGAGATCGGACGGAGATCGGCGGGTGGCCGGTTGGAGGATGGGAGGACGGCGGAGGACGGAGGGAGGGAGGTAAGTTCAGCGCTACGCCACTATCTACATTATGTATCTACATTCATACCGGTACCGGTACCGTATCTCCAGGAACCCGACTGGACTGGACGGCACTGGACGGCACTGGACGACACTGGACGGCACTGGACGGCACTGGACGGCACTGGACGGGGCTGACAGCCATTAGGTCACTCGCGGTGTCAGCATTCCTTCCTCTGGAGACTGGCCCTCTGCTAGGTGCAAACGCCCGCCGCGCCGCTGCGCGACGACCGCACCAGCGCACGAGTCACCTCGGCGACACCCGGCGATACCGGTACCCAGCGATACCCAGCTACATACACCCGGCGGGCGACCCCGAGCGATACGGAACGGCGACACGGAACGGAAGTGGGAACGGAACAAACTCGATTCTCGTTTCTCGTTTCTCGTTTCGCGGTCATCCACTGAAGTTCCACCGCCAACCTTGGGCCAACACCGTCACCAACCTTGAACCAATAGTTAATCCGGATCCTGGTCTGTGGTCGGCGGCGGTCGCTGGCGAACCGGGTATGTAGAGTACTATGCATCACGGATTCACGGTATCGTACCATCGCTACTCTAATCCGGGATTTGTCGTCGGCTTTATGTAAAGACCCCAAGTCTTTTTTTTCGAGCTCTTTTTTTAGCGTGCGTGCTTTCGCGCCTCGGGACAGGGGAGACGGGGGGGACAGGAGTTGGCGCTGGTGTGTAAGGCTGTGTGGTAATTCGAGCGCGACGAGCCCGAGGTGCGACGGGACTGGGCGGCGTGGGGGTCCAGATGGCTGGCGCGAGGGAGGGACTTGGAAAGGGAAGCTAGCTGGCTAACTAGGGCAGGCAGGCAGGCAGGCAGGCATAACTACGATGCGCATAGGTGGGTGGGCTGTCGCGACTCTCGTTCGTCGCGACGAATCGCAACGGCGGCGGCGGCGGTGGGGTGGTGGGGTGGGGTCACTGGGGTGGGGTGTTCTCGGTCGGGGGGCGATGGGGGTGGCGACTCGCGAGGCCGGGGGGCAGGGCGCTCGGCCAATGGGTACGGCCCCCTCCTCCTCTCGCTCGGCCACGCACCGGGCCGACATCAAAAAAAGATCTTCGGCCCACTCACACTCACACACACACTCGCGCGCAGCCGACGGGATGTGCCACGAGGTGTCACATCACATCACTCGCAACCGTTTCCGCATGCGGCCATCCAGATCCATCGGAAGCTTTCCATCGTAGATCTAGATCACGACCGGGCGGATCGCTTCGTTCGAGATTAGAGATTCGCTACCGGAAATTCGGTGCTGCCTCCTGGACGCTGGCGAACCAAGCTATTACCTGATAGTTACCCGCGCGGATGGGTTCCAGGGACACAGAGACAGGGCCAAGAAGAAGCGGGTGGGGCTATTACGTACTGGCATCGCTAGGAATAGGACTGGTGCTGGGTAACGGGCTTGGAGGTTGGAGGTTGGTTGTTCGTGTGAAGGGTTTTGTTTTTCTTTCTGCGAGGGAAGAGAGATGGATGAGAGAGGAAGGTTGGCTCGGGTAGGGCTGAGGAGTTGGGGGACGCGCACGATGGCAGGATGAGTACCGCACCGTTTCGGAGATGGGATGGGATGGGGATGGAGATGAGGATGGAGACGGGATGGAGATGGGGATGGAAACGGTCGTGCGGGCTTTTCCCACTCTGCCTATCCTGCTCCGTGGCAGAAGTTCGACATCTGGAATTGCCCACATTGACGACCAATCTCGTGATCGTCAGTGTCCAGCCACTACGGTATTCAACACCGGCGGCCGGCCCCCTACGCGGTACACGTCTACTTTCCGAACAAATCCAACCCGAATACACACATACATACATTCGCATCTGCTCCAGCTGCTGCGCCCGCCTCCAGAGTAAACTTACAGGACATATACAAGGCTCTGAAACTCACGTCGTCCCCATCAATATCGGCCTATACACCGCCAACTACGGAACCTCATTCAGCAGCAGCGCCACGACCGCCTGCGTGGCGGAACCCTCCATCAGCCACCCCCCGAACCTCGGCACCGCAGCATACAGCTCGTCGACGGGGTTCCACCCATTCTCATAGAACGCCCCGCTGGCAACCCACCTGCGGGCGAGCACCCACAGCAACCAGACAACTCGGCGGACGCGCGGGTACGAGCTGCTGTGTGCGCGGGTGTACTCGGCGACGAACGCGGCGACGGCGGTACCGATGGTGTACTGGAATCCGTAGCTGGTCACGGTGGTGTACGCCCGGCTGTGCAGGCCTCCGAGCAGGTGCCAGAACAACCCCGACGCCGTGGGGGCGGCGGGTTGGGGACCCCGGACGTAGCTCATCAGAATGTATATCGCGAAGGCGATAAATGCCATTTTGGCGGCGAGGAAGGTGAGCTGCACGATGGACAGCATGATTTCGAACGGCAGCGTGGTGATGTACCATAGCAGCCGCGGCGGGATGAGCAGGATGTATTTGACCGTCCCCAGGATGATCCGTCGGGCGTACCAGACGACCGTGATGAAGAGGTAGGAGATCGGTAACAGCAGGAGGGAGAGCAGGAGGGAGAGCAGGGCGTAGAGCAGGACGTAGAGTAGGACGTAGCTCGTGCCGGTCAGGCTGGAGCACAGAATCGTCCCCATCAGGGGAAGGACGAATTGGGATGTGGAGAGTATGGTATTCATCTTGTCCGTAGATGGGGAGTATATGGGCGCAAGGTGCTGACGGCAATAGATTCCGAGTTGTAGATGTATGGAGGGCAGCATTGGCTCATCATGAAGCCGGTTGGGCTCAGGCTGGTCGCGACTTCTAGGTCCGATGTTTTCGATAGTTTTGTGCTTGCTAGGTCGTCAACGGAAATCGAGAGTTGATATCTGTCTGTTCGTCGCGACCCGCGATTCTACGTCTTGCACGCAAATATCGATCGCATCTGGTGAAAATGGTAGCAGAAGCACTCAATGGCCTTCTCATGGAAGGCCAGTCCACGCAAGGCCAGTCCGTAAAAGAATGTTTTCTTGCCCTGAATATGGGGTGTCTGTGCTCCTACCGTTCCCTTTAGAGAAAGCTCTATGTACCACCACGGCCTGATGCTACGCCACGGCCTGATGCTACGCCGCTGCCTACCAACCAATTTTACAAAGGAAAACCATGCTCACACTCATTGTCCCCACACTCATTATCCACACACTCATTATCCACACACACATTACCCGCACCCTCCGTAAACGCAATACCCCGCCGGGCACTCCTGTTCGGTCCCGGATGCGTCACTCCCCTCTCCGGCTCCGGCTTCTTCTATCGTTGGGATTTTCTTCCCCACGTCCGTCGTCCTTAAGTATTCTAGCACTGCTTCTGAGCAGTGCTCATCTGCAACAGGTCTGCCATGCTCCATTTCCTTCTCTCCATTCCGGTCTCCTTTCTGATCTTCTCCCACAGCGCTACCTGTTGAACTCGCCATCTGTTGCAGTTCTTGAACAGGTGTTCCCTTCTCTGCTTGGAATATTGCACCACCAGCATTGGCTGCCGTCTCGCTGCTTGGTCCACTTCAGATGGATCGCCGTGAGGGTATATCCTGAAGTCAGCTGGTAGTACTGGGCGGCCAGCCGCTTCGGGACTCTCCCTGGAATTGGGTCGACTGTCTTCATCTTCCTCGGTAGTATGAACCTCCTATGTGTGATGCGCGTTGCTGACCATTATCTAGCTTCTCTCCATTTCTCATCACTTATCCGCCTCTTGAGGTGTGCGAGGGATGCCGGCAGAGGAAATTTCCGCCTTCCGCATTTATGGGTGTACCGGTGTCACTCCACTCGTCGCTCGTCGGGCTCAGACGCTGCCTGCTTCGTCCATACGTCTGCCATCTCATTTCCTTCGATTCAATCTGTGCTGGATACCACCGAATTTCGATCGGGCATTTGATACCAGGTCCTATCTCGGTTGGCTTTAGTCGTTTGATTGCGGCGGTCGAGTCTGTGAAGATGGTGACTCAACTCCAGTGCTCTAAGGATGGCATCACATTCAGCACCATACGCTTCCTGGTTGAACCTCGTATGGACTCGGTGTCCTTTCCACTGCTGGTGAGTTTTCCACAGCCATCTCAATGGTCGGCTTGGGTATCTTCAGAGTGAGATTGTGTGGTCAAGAGCTTCCACGTGATGTCGGCTTGCTAATCACGACTAGTATGATGACCAACGCGCTACCAACCCCGCCATCCTCGCCAAACCGCATCGCCGCATCACGACAAGCCACCAACGCTACACCCTCTGCTCCTTACTCACCCACTCTTCAGACGCCAACATGGGACAGGAACAGTCGGCAGAGCCCTTCGACCAGTCGATTCCCCCAACAAAGCTTCTGCGACGTGATCTCCTCGCCGTCGCCGAGTACATCAAGTCAGGCCAATGCAAAAAAGTCGTGTTCATGGTATGTACCTAGTCTTCGCTCCTCCCCTGACCTCCGTAGGACGCGGATTGACCTCGACCCTCCAGGTCGGTGCGGGAATCTCCACTGCCGCGGGAATCCCCGACTTCCGCAGTCCTGAAACCGGCCTCTACAGCAACCTCGCGCGCCTCGACCTCCCCCGTCCCGAGGCCGTCTTCGACATCAGCTATTTCCGCGAGGACCCACGGCCCTTCTACGCGCTCGCGCAGGAGCTATGGCCCGGAAAATTCAAGCCGACGCTGACACACGTATTCATGAGGATGTTTGCGGACCGGGGACTACTCCTCCGCTGCTTCACGCAAAACATTGACACACTCGAGCTCGCGGCGGGAATCCCACAGGACAAGATCGTCTTTTCGCACGGTAGTTTCGCGGGCCAGCATTGTATCGACTGTAAGGAGGAGTTCGATCGCACCGAGCTGGAGGAGCACGTCAAGATCGGCAAGCCGGCGTTCTGTGCGTGCGGCGGTCTGGTGAAACCGGATATCACCTTCTTTGGCGAGGCGCTGCCGGCGGATTTCCACAATAGCTTGCATCTGCTCGACTCGGCGGATCTGGCCATCGTCATGGGCAGCTCCCTGTCTGTCTATCCGTTTGCGTCGCTGCCCCAGAGGATCGACGAGACTGTGCCGAGAGTGCTGATGAACATGGAGAAAGTGGGAGAGATTGGAACTCGGCGCGACGATGTGGTCTGGTTGGGCGAGTGCGATGATGGTATCAGGGAGTTGGCTGAGGAATTGGGCTGGTGGGAGGAGATGGAGGAGGTCTGGAAGGGGCTGAGGGGGGATGTCGGCTTGGAGACGCCGGTGGCTCTCTCGGAGGACACTCTCGAAGCCGAAGTTACCAAGCTTACCGACGACGTGGAGAAGAGCCTGAGGGTCGCGGATGAGCACACAAAATGGGTCGTCAAGGGCCTCGACAAGGAGAAGACACCGAGTGCCGCCGCCGTTGACGTTACCCAAGTCGAGACGCACGCTTTCCCAAAAGCGGAGCCGGAGAAGGAATGAGCTCTGTTCTCCCGCCATACGAGCCGGATCAACAGATGGAGAGAGATGCCCACCGAGGAGAAAACCCATGTATGTAGATCGCATTCGAATGGATAGAGATACAGGGGCGTATATGGCCGGGGCATGTGCGATCGCATCACCCGATGATTTTTTCTTGTTTTGTTTAATTAGCTAGGCGTGCTGATGCCTGTGTGTACATTTTCTTCGCATTTGTTGTCGGTTACTCCTTGCGAGGAGTGGATTCTTGTACTTGTCAAGGAGTTGGATTATGAGCCATGAATAAAGGACTGTTTATCCTGTGCATCGAAGTATGTATCGGCGTCAATGGGTACGTTTGTCATCACTTGTCGGCGGAATGAATCAGAAAAATTCTATATGTCGCCGCGATAGTTCGAGATATGCAGCTTTAGAGCCCACTATCACTCGGCCCCCATGATCGATGAGCTGAATACTAGAGCCTGCAAGTGGTTATTACGGAAAGCGCTCACCATCCAATTATAACTACATTCTCATCGCACGCACTCGCGTTTGTGATAGCAGCATCCTATTTTGCCTGCCAGGCGGTTTCACATGGCGCGGGACTTGGAGTAGGTATCTAAGAGTCAATTGTGAAATTCTTCATCACGGACGTCGCTGTTCAGGAACCCGATGCCCAGTTCCTCTTAACCATTACCATCACTTGAAAATGCACGGCTCTTGTCCCAGTGTCGGTATCGGCGTCGAACCTTGTTTCCGCCAGTAGTACGTACGTACGTACGTACGGCGTGCTTTCGTTCAGAAATCAGGAGTGAAGCCTGGTTGGTTTGATGAAGCAGTTGAACTGAGTAGTCTTCCGCTGTCTATTCCGGGGCTAAGGGGTGCTGTGCTCGACCGCTCAGCCAGTGCGGGGGGGTTCCACCGTCCAAGAGAAATAGCTGCTTCCGAGTACCGGTATCGCAGACCTACCCTGGAAGGCCTACGCTTTGTTACCGGGAACGATCGCAAGTCGATTCCAATTTTCAAGCAGATGTTGATTCGAGGCGAATCGAAGAAAACGAGTGACCCAGGATGATTGCGCGGATAGGTATGTCGGTAGGAGTTCGTCTTTCGCGAGTCTGGGTGGCGGGTGAATAGCGCTGGAAGTTGGGAGCGATTTCTTCGTGAGGAGATTTCAAGACTGGAAAGAAACCTTCATCCTGTTGGGTTGATAACATTGAATGGCAGCTCGAGACTGAGACTGGGAGACTTCCGCCCAGTTCCGGCTGCAGCATGAGTTCATCTTACGGGAAGTCTGGGTGGCCAATAACCTTGGAAGTTGGAAACCCCTTCGTTGTGGGGGATTCCAAGGCATGAAAGAAACCTCCATCCTGTTGAGTTGATAACCTTGAATGGCAGCTCGAGACTGCGAGTCTTCCGCTCAGTTCCGGCTGCAGCATCCAGCGTCCAGCGTTCCTCACCCGGAACGGACAAATCCAAGACTATTCACAATATCGGTATTCCCGCGCACACACTTTCACCATCTACCAAATCTGGGAGCTACCTACATATCCCTAAAACTTCAGTCGGCAGTGCCACGTGCATGCTGTGTCTGCCATGATCTACTAAGGTCGAATGCAATTATGAGTAAACAAAAAAAACCACGTGCCAGCCATTGAGCTCCGGAATCACGCCGTCTTCTGGAGTAGAATACGGTACCGGTGCCGCACGGTTAAATTCACTAATGGTGCTTATACTATGCTAGTGCCTGACTCACGACATCGACAAGGTGCTATACTAGTAATATTAGTTGGCATATAGTTGTTTGAATTACCTAGGTACTCCTGCGGCGTTTACGCCGGCCAAGGCGCATACCTGCCCCACAGATGAAATAGACTTATCGCTTGAGCCGCGTCCGACCGTTGAAGCCGACACCGTAGGTGAGTGGGTGATGATGCATGATGACAACTTCCCACTCTATGTAGGGAGGCTTGGAACGTGGCTCGTCTACTATATCGGCCCGTCATCGCCGGGTGCAACTGGAAAACCGCCCCGCACGGGGGCTGTGTCGGCTGCGTCGGCTATTCGCACTGACAGTTTGGGAAGCATGAACTCCGAGGGCCAACCGTCAAGCCTTGCCATGGCCCAAACAACTGAAATAGGTACTCAACGCTCACTACCTAGATAGTCCTGCCATGGCCTTGGAACATAGCTCAGCATTCGCCTTGGAAAAAAAGCTAGTATTCCGATTACATGATATGTAGCGCAGCGCGGCGCCTTCCGGCGTCGGAACCCGATATCCGGGCAGAGGCCATGTCTACATTGTACAGGATTGACCTCATCCGGGCAACCCCGTGGAGCACATCACGAACCGCGGTGCTGGATAGAGCGGTTCCGCCTGTTCCAAGCTCGTGGACAGTCGACAGCACTAGTTGGCTGTCGTAACTAGTCTGGTACATAACACCAATCAACCGCCCAGTAACAATGCAGTTGCTAGCGCCCAGTCATTCTGGGAAATTGCTTGGAGCTAAGAGCTTTGCCGCCGTTATTGCGGGGTTGTGACTTGTCCACCCACCTCCGCGCTGTATGCTTAAGGGGTTACTGTAAGTCAGAACCCAAAAGATTTTCTACGATAGATCCCCGGATCGCCGAGAATACATACTTCGTACCTAGCCCATGGTTACCACGGCCGCGGGATAAGATGGTATCTAAAACACTGCTCACTTGGTCTCTTGGGAACAATTGTGTGTTTCTACCGTAAACTTTCGTATGTACCGTTGTACTTGGGTATACCTATCCAAACTTCAGTTCAGGACACAAAGCAAGGGGGAAAGGGAGTACCTGCAACGGGGTGCCTGAACTTTGAAGTCAACACCCTGCATAAATGCTGCTCTAGATCTGTTCCCGACAACACGTGATACCAGCAGACGCTGTCTCTTTAAAGACCCGGTCGTGAGTCACTGTCAAGACTTTAACCGAGTAGTCGACTCGAATGATGTGCCTGACTAGACAGTTAACGGCAAGTGGGGAAACAATGCGGAAGTTCCCAACGAGAGATCTCAGCAGCGTCCTTCACTTTGACAAGATGGCGGACTGCACTCGTGGGTGACGAGAGGAACAATCAGTTGGTTAGCCGGATACTATTGATCGGTACACGGGTGCCGAGAGGATAAGGAGGAGGCGGAGGAGAAAGAGGAGGAGAAGGAGGAGAATACGATGTTAGTTAACTACGCCTGTCCTGTTCGAGGCATTGGATCTCTCTCGAAGCTCTGTGGGACGGGACCGAAAGGGGGACAGTTGTCCCCATTGGTCTTAGCCACAGCCATGTGGGAAGGGGAAAGGCCCAAAATTGCTTTTTCTTCCACTGGATCCAACATGTCGTGAAGATCCATAAAGTTCGGGGTATTCCTCGAGACGATGCAGTGGCATCTCTGCATCAACATCGATCCAACAGTCCGTCCGTCGGACTCCCACGCTCATTTTTCAGTGCGCACACACCGGTTTCGTTGGCAAAGCCGTCTTTACTGTCTTTCCCCCAGTCATGCGATCCACTCTCTCGACACTCATATGCGTGGTGGCCGCCGCTCTTTTCGTAACCACCGCCAATGCCGCCTTCGACTTGACCAAACGGAACAACCTGGTGCTCTACTGGGGACAGAATGCCCATGGCTCCTACGACAGCACCCCCGAGAAGCAGCAACAAGATCTGCTGACATACTGCATGGGTCAGTGCAGCCGTGATCTCCACATTGTCGTGTCAGGAACCGAGCTGATCTGAGACATACTAGACACGAATGTGGATGTGAGTTCGAATTTCAGGGCTGAAGCCGCCGCCACCTCGCTTGTAATGAACGATTCAACTGACCCGAGTACTTGCGCACCTTACAGCTCATCTCGGTTGGATTTCTGAACACTTGGAACGGTACCGGCAATCAGCCAATCGTCAACTTTGCCAATGCGTGTACCGGCTACCAGATGTTTCCCGGCACCGAGCTGCTCTGGTGTCCTACCATCTCGTAAGCAATCATCGCTCGTCCTCACACGAGGGGTGGGGGAGGCTCCAATGCTTACGGTTCGTGCAGCGCGGATATCCGGGCGTGCCAGGCCATGGGCAAAAAGATCCTCATCTCGATCGGCGGTAGTACCGCGACATACGAGGGCTTCGAAACCGCAGCGCAAGCCGACGCCTTCGCCTACCAGATCTGGAACATGTTCGGGCGTGGCTGGTCGTACTACCGACCGTTCGGCGAAGCGATTGTCGACGGCTTCGACCTGGACATCGAGACGCTTCCCGCGCTCTTCTACGAAAAGTTCGCGTACCGCCTCCGCGTGCTCTTCGAAGCCGACAAGACGAGGAAGTACATCATGACGGCGGCGCCGCAGTGCATGAACCCCGACCAGCACCTTGAGAGCGCGCTCAGCAAGGTCGCCTTCGACGCCGTCTTCGTCCAGTTCTATAACAACCCGTCGTGCGCCGCATCCGCGTGGAAGACGAAAGGCCAGCCCCAGCTTACGAACGCCGGCTTCAACTTCGGCATGTGGAATAACTGGGTCGCTACCAACAGTAAGAACAAGAACTTGAAGGTGTTTATGACTCTCGCTGGAGGCGGTAAGGTCGCACCTGCCGGCGGTTACGTTTCCAAAGCCGTGGCCGCGAGCATCATTGCCGACCTGGCGAGATTCCCGACGTTCGGTGGTGTGGCCATGTGGGATGCTAGTGAGGCTTGGGTCAATGCGGGATACGTTGCTGCTGTTAAAGATGCGCTCAATAAGCTGCCCGCTATGGTCAAGAGGAGGAACTTCTTTGGGATGTGGCCGACATCGGCGATGTTGTAAATTTTGGTTGAATCTTTGGTGGACGAGTGGTAAAAATGGGGTTCAGTGAGAGCAATATAAGTAAATACGGGTCGTGCTTCTACTATATTTATGTACAAATCTATGCTGGACGAAGAAATCAAACTTACATCATAATCAAAGACGTCTATTTATGGGAGCATGAGTGATCATAACTCTACGATAACTGGGTAATGGGACTTTCAAAGACATGCGCAAGGCTAATATCGGTTCCAGAGATAAAGCTTCCCTAGGAAACGAGTGATAAATCGTAGACCTCCTCCGGCTTCACACATCGACACTCGACACTCGTCCATCCACACCAAAAACGGCTGGTTCAATTCACCGGCAAAGAGAAACAAAAGCGTCGAGTACTTGAAAATCCGACTCCCATCTAGTCTGACTAATCACCTGTCGTCCGTCAAGCTTGGTAACTACCTAGAATTGTTCTGTCCCCACCGCGATGCAGTCCACGGCGTGCTGAGGTGGAATACCTATTCTCGCTAGCAGTACATGCTTTTCTACGTACCTATTCTACGCTTGTTTCTACGTAAAGAGTTGCGAATTCAACTCTAATCGCGGTGGACACAACCTGAACCGATTGATGGTAGCGGCGAGGGATCGTACGGCAGTAGTCACGTGGGGTCGTTTGGATGTTGAAAATATATATGGCACGCGAAACGGTAGAGGAAGGGATACTGAGGAGCGATTGAGAGTAGGATACACATCAGATGACGATTCGACGTACCATTGACCGTGATGTGAGGCCTCAAAAGTACCACATCCTTTAGAACACCTATAAATACCAGCTCTCCGGCTCCCACTCTCTCCCTTCTTTCTACATCCACCACCCCAAGCACTTTCTCGTCCTGCATTCACAAACAATGGTTGCACCTACCACTCCTGCCGCCAACGGGCACCTCCTCTGCGACCGTTCGACCATTAAGGCGCCGGTCAAGGTAAGATATTCACTCTTCCCACGCCACCATTTAATGCATCACCCACTCATTCGATTTTGCACAGCTTTCGCCAAGCTTCGTCCAGCGGAGGAGGGCCCGTCGCCCCAAGAAGGCCAGCCCTCGGCCAATGGGGGCGAAGGTGGGCAAGACCCGGTGTGCGAAGGTACGTTCGTTCACGCTGATCCATCTCTGTATCTGTATCTCTAACAATGCACAAAGAGCCGCCGCTGCCACCACCACCACAATCACCACAACCACTACTACCGCCACAAAGGGCCGCTCCAAGAACCCGCCCAAGGCCACCAAGTACTGGATGGTCCTCTGTCCCGCCAGCGGGAGGAGAATCATCTAGGTGGCCGAGGGTGCGGAGGTGCCTGAGGACGCGATCTCTGTCGAGATCGTGGTCCCGGCCTCCCACCGGTTCTTGGACTGGCCCGAGGTTGCGCGGCTAAAGGTGAAGGGAGAGGGGAAGGGGTGGAACAAGAACAAGAACAAGAATAAAAGTATTTCTTTTCTTTCTAAGTCACACGTCTCGTGAACCGCCCGCAGTGTGCCGGTATTGTCATCTAGAATCACCCCCGAGTGTGCTTTCGCTATGTAGAACAGGGCGAGAGACGGCTCCTTTGCTAATACCCCTCCAGGCCAGTGATGGGGTTGAGAGGAGAGCACACATAGAGGAATGATGAGGTAGAGGCCGAGCGTCTATTCTGTAGATGATGATCAAAATAGAAGAAAACCCGCGGATGTCAGCTCAAGTTCCCCCTCCTCATTCACTAGTTGAACCCCTCATGCACCAACGTTGATGCCCACTATTAACCACATTCGCTTCCTCCCGCCGACAGCTCCTGCATCGCTCTGCCGCAGCGGGGGCTTCATCTGCCGATCACTCGTTCCCATTCTCAAGATGACGCCTTGGAAGTATTGGAATGTCTCGAAAGCTAGCAGAGAGGGGGGGTGTCGTTGGTATGAGTGAGGAGAAGTGCTCATTAAGTTTTCATACGGCGTGGCATTCCGGGGGCTGCATTAATGAATATTAGCCAGTGTGGGACACAGCCGGAACTGACGTCTTGACGACAGTTTTCTATCCTTGGCTGCGGACTTAGGATGGTCTTGCCGTCAAGATGTTATAATCAGCTGGGGAACTCGATGCTACCCTACCCCTATCGGGTTTGTTTTGATTGTACCGTTTCGTTTGTTTTGATCCCTTTTGTCGGACGGCACGGTGGTGATACGATCGGTGGAGGTAGCTCCGCCGTATCAGGTCTAGCGAGGGCGGCCAATTTTGGTCGCACCTGTTGTATTTAATCAGCGGGTCTGTCTTTCTATTTTCGGGTGGTCAGTCTGTCGTCTATTGGCCTATTGTCTGTTACCTGATTTGTTCAGCAGTCGCTGAGATCGCTTTCTTTAGTGTGGGACTTCCTGAATTATACAGGAACACTGTGGTAAGATGATCCACCAGACCCATTCCTGGAGTGCAGTAATTGACATTAATAATCCTGTGCAGAAATTAACCTGTCCGATTATCCGCAGAAATCTCCACTTCCTGCGAGCACTGTTGGCGGAATTGCCGCCACCGCGATGAGCCCTCCCGCGTTGCTGGCTACAGCCTACGTTCGAACTTTGCAATTGTAAAGTAAATAGTGGGACGGCGTATGCAGCAGCAGGCAGTGTTGATCCTGGTGATGGGGCCTCGTCAGTGTCTTCACTCGTATTTGAGGGTGCACATTCCGGTTTTCAGTTCTGAACCATGAATCTGAATGACAACCCGAGACAGAAGCTAATCTTTCGTTTGCAGAAACCAATGGTTTGCGTTTAGCCGAGCCAACTCAGGGAATTATGGTTGTGCTTCTAGCAAAGTCCTCATCTAACTCTGACCTGTGAAAGCAGAGCAGTAGGGGGTGGCGCGTTGCGAACAAGCGGGTAGATCCGCAGATCCGTCGAATCCGCTGGCCAGACCCCAGGGGTCCTCAGTGTGCGTGGCGGAGTAGGGGGACTGGTGTAAGAAATCGACAGGCTGGGTGGAGGTTTGCACCTCCGTCGTCACGCATATAGAGAGGCGATGGGTATCCTTGGAAGTGGGTACTGAACCAGCATCCCCGTGGCCTTGCGGCCATGTGGATTGGAAAGTGATATCGCTCTTCAAGGCCGATTAGTGACCGGTTCACGGCAAACCGCCGGAGAGAAGCACTCCAGAGAGCTTCGGGAAATATTGCTTGCATCTACCAAGTTATTCGTATCTGAATCTTCCGCACAGGGCCCTCACTCGGATAGGCATCTTCGTGAGTCACGCCACATCGCACTCGGATAGTTGGCAGGCATCATTGCAAATACACCTGACCGAAATATCCTACTATATCGAATTCACCCCGACGATATTCAATCTATCTATCAGCTGTGTGGGGGCTCGTTGTCACACATACCGAGATTTCCAGATCTGCGCCTAGGCAAATTGAAGAATCCAGATCCCGCTAAAACCCCATTGGCACAGGAGATACGCCCTCCCTGCTAATCGGTGTGCGAACGCATGGACCGGCGTCAATCCGGTGGTTAGTAGCGGTTGATATCTCCGATCTCGCAGCCCCTTTACCGGCCCTCGTTCGAATCAAGCTTTGCACAAACCACGCCCAGCATTTCACAATGTCTAGCACTCTCCGCCATCTTCGTATCCTATCCCTACTCCTCCTCTTCGCTTCATGTACTATCACCACATATGGCATGCCTTTGGCGCAAGAAGTTGATTCCGGCGTGACAACGGTAACGATTGCAACCGTCACTGTGCAGCAAACCCCATCTGGTTCCTGGATATGGGTTCCCGCTGCTAGTACCACGGCTAGCATTGTCGGATATGTACCGAACCCCAAAACACGCGGTACCATTGGGATCCTCTTGAGTTGCGTCCTGACCTTATTCCTATGCATCTGTGAGTACCTACACTGCTTCCACCGGGCGTCACTGGCTATACAGATTGCTGACCGTGGATCGCTCTAAACCATCTAGGGACCACCGTCGCTGTCAATATCGAGCCGGTTATCGAACTCGACAAGAACGCAGGATGGATCGCAAAGATCGATCACTTCTTGGCCAAGCGGCCGATAAGGAAGCTCGCCTGGAGTATCGCAAGCCTCATGGCGCCCGAAGTCACAATGTCCATCGCCGCTTTCGAGAGATGCTCCGTGAAGCTGCTCCGTGCGGAGCTTGAGAAACGTGTGGCTAAACATGTGGAGGAGAAACGGATGGTCAATAACGGCGGCATGCAGATAGCTAATATGGACAACGTAAACAACGACGGACGGAAGGCCTACAACGGTGACAGCAAGAAGGTCGACGGTATAAATAGCGCAAGCAACGACAGACGGAAAGCCGACCACGACAACATGAAGGTTGACGATATAGACGACGAAACGAATAGAGACGGAAGGACGACGAGAAACGGAAGGCTGATTATTGGAAAGACTTGATGCTCTCGTATTATGCAGTTATGGGATGATTCAGGGTTATCTACGACCCGAATCATACCCATCCGGACGGAGTGGTCCCTGCGCAAGAGGGCCAATGGGAGGAGCCAAGAACCGAGCCGGAGCAATCGAGCGCGGCTGTGGCGGTAAAATCGGTGATCAGGGATGATGGCAATGAGAATGTGCAAACAACAGCGATCCTCAGAAACCAGGTTGTAAATGCCAGATCAGAGCCTTGTCGAGGGAAAAGATGCGCGTGGTATGCTCGGAATGACACGGGTGTGTCCGCCGGCACACTCACCCCGCACGGCGTTCTCTAGATGGCAAGGAGGGGATGGCTACCAACTGTCTCCCCGGACTTTGTGAAGGACAAGTCCAAGGTCAATGCTCTGGCAAAGGCCTTGGTGTGTTTCCAGGCTGCATGGATGATAGTCCAGGCGATTGGACGAGTGAAATATAAGATTCCCATGACCTTGCTCGAAATCCACACAGTCTTGCACGCTCTATGTGCCGGGACGATGTATCTCACTGTAAGTTGCTTCCTCCCTGGGAAATATGGGCAATTGTTTGCTTCGTCCTTCGAAAGGATACGCATGGCTAACGGAAGTTGCGACAGTGGTGGGACAAGCCTGTCGACATTGACCTCCCGACCGAAATCTACCTCAATAACGAGCAATTCAAAGCTCTAAAGAACGCCTCGGACGACGCCGCCGGAGAACCTAACCCCACCAATCCTTTCTCGGAAGGAAGGCTCGGTAAGGATAGCAAAGGTGCGCCAGACAACCAGTACGTGACTTCACGTGCCGGGCTGGGAATTCTCATGTACCGGCAGCTCTCGGACGGAAAGAACGTCTTTACGAGCATCGCGACTCTCGGAGACGCATTCGACCGGATCATCAAGGGCAAAGCAAACATCATATGGGAGACTGTTTTCCTGAGCACCGTGGGGCTCCTCTACGGCGGCCTGCACCTGGCATCTTGGGACAACCATTTCGAGAGCAGGTTCGAGGAGCAGGCGTGGAAGGCGTGCGCTGTCAATACCGCTGTGGCGCTTCTGGGCTTCGTGCTGGAATTGTGTATCGGGAATCTCATGAGCTCCTATAATCCCGAGAAGCCGGCAGTCAATCCCGCACGGCCAGAAACCAACCAACGAGCAGATATCGCGTAGCGGACTCCCCTCCCCGCTGATGTCGAAAAGAACACCGCCGAGAGCCAGACCTCGCCTCCATCACCACCACCAGATGGCAGCCGTCCGGAATCCGATGCTCGCCAGCCGGCGGGGTCGGGTGCCGCGACAGCCCGAGCTCGACTTACAATGCGGTGGTCTTGAAAGCTCTACAAGCTCTTTGCTGCGATCACAGTTTACCTTGGCTCCGTCATTGTTATCTTCGCTAGGTGCTTCCTCCTGGTTGAGTCGTTCATTTCGCTGAGGGGGCAGCCCCACGCGGTCTACGACACAATACCGTGGATTGAATCGATACCACATGTGGGATGAGAGGCCGCGGGTGGATGAGGTTTATTTTGCGGGGTTTGGCACGGTCGGGGGAGGTGGATTCAATGTCGGGCTGCAGCACATGGAGGATAGATGGAGGGTCTGATAAGATAGGAGGAGGAGAGGCAACCTAGTCGGATTGGCGGATCCGTATGGTGGTGATAGCTGGACTAGCCGGATCAGGTGGTACCGAACGTTGTAGGCAGTGGAATTAGATGGCTCTTCGAAGCTGAATAGAACCTCAACTTCTCCATCATTCTTCATTTTCGCCGTTCCCTTTGCCGAGCTACGTTAGTGGTAGCAACACCTTTCTCTCCGATCGTGAGCACCCACCAGACGAACTGACGGCCATTCCATCGTCAACGGGTCAAACTGCTCCATCCCAACCCTCGTCAATGGGCCGAGCCCGAGCAAATCTTAAAAACAGAAGGAAACTATTGTCAAATCTCGCGAATATGAGAGAGACAATGCTCGGTTCTTGAAGCCGGCAGCTCAGCAGTCCGCTACCGCACTACCTTGCAGTCATCAGAAAACACATCCCTGACTTCCCCATACTCTCAATGCCACCTTCCTCTTCCTCTTCTACGGCATTCTTCATTTCACCATTCCCTCCGTTGCCGGGCTGCATACGTCAAGCGACCGTTAGTTTGCGAAGAGGCGTCACCCAAGCCGCTAGTTTGACGTGACGTCATCCATCTGATCCGCAACTACATGACCCCTCCACGAACCTGCGTACATAGTTAGAGCCTCAATCTCGCCCGCTGACAGATCATCAAGCACCTAACTACGGGAGGAAACTTTCCCTTTCCATTCGCCTATCGGAAATCCGCGCTGACACCGTGGGTTAGGCTCTAGTTATACGTGCGGAGCAGCTACCTACTCCCGTGGAGGACCCACAGTTTGGCTGGCTGTCTGCAGAGACGCACCAAGGAGTGTGGGGCCGGTATAGAACGAGCGAGCGAGCGGTATCGTCGAATGCCGTCCATTCACCCCGCTCGACACGCTCTAGCACGCGACTCAGCTCTTAACTTCCTACACACGAGAACTGGTTACTGGTTTTGGAATTGCCGCGGCCTGGCGGTCACCACGATGCGGCAGGCGGCATCTGAGAAGCCGGCTTCTCGTACGTGCATACTATCTTTGCGGGCCACGTTTGATCTACCGGTACTCTACTACTACCGGTGACTACTACCGTAGGAGACAGCCGTCGAGTGGTGGGGGGTAGGATGCGCGATGGGGCCGCAGCAGACCGCAGTGCGCGTGGTGATGTCTACGAATACCGGTACGCATCCGAGTTGGAGACTTCCACTCACTGGCCTCATTGAATGGAACGTGCATTCGCCGCTTCTCGGCCCCCCACATGTGACATAGGTACTTCGAAGACCTACGGGCCACGGCGGCTTGTGCTTCTAGGCAAACCCCTCGCCCCGCCTTTGTCCTGCGGACGGGGGAGCGGAAGACAGCCGGGGAAGCTGTGGCGTATGGCGCACGACGACGACCCGTCGCCGATGAGAAATTACGAGCCATCGCCTTGGAGATCGAGCGAATCGGGTCGGTTTTATCGCGATTAACGCGTGGGCGGCCATTGTGGAATATCTCCAATAGGTAGAACCATAGAAGTGCTTCTAGAGATACTCTAGTCCCATCAGGACATTTTATCAGGCTACTCTGATTGGTATGAAGTGAGCCACGACAAATACCTGTCGGATGAAGGACAAATAAAGTCGCAGACTGGACTCTGGGTTTCTCGGGTCCTACATGTTCTTTGCTGAGCGCAAACCCCGTGAATTGGAATCTCCTTATTCGACAATGTCAGTATCCACTACAGAGTGGGAAACTAGCACTACCCACCTCTAACCTGGCAATTATTATGCGAAGGGACGGGGCCGGTAGATTCGCGGCCAGTGTGTATGTGTCTGTAATGCAGCTGGTTGGACACCAGGACTACTGATAATCGATGTTCACGCCGTGAGGCATGCATGCAAGCGACAGGCATGCCACTATCGGCCATTCGTACGGACAGCTGAGAGTGAGCTGTCCGCAGGATTCCTTTTTCTGCATGCGTGGGGAGGTATGTAGGGACGATGGGCTTTTGTACGGCGCGGTGGGTTGCGGCGGTCGGGGGACGGTCGAGTTACGGTGCGTGGGCCGATTGGCCGCAAATCTTCGACTGGCCATAAGCGAGAAACGACACCCAGCTAGAGGTCCCGGGCGACCGGTTGTTGGTAGTCATTGGATGGAAGGATTCACAGTTTCAGACGGGCTGACACATAGACCTGCAACAGCCAGCAAACGCGGCGACTCTCTACGGCTGCGGTTTTGGGACCAGCTGGCAGCTGCAGTAGCAGCCAGCGCAGGCGGTGGGACAGGTTCGATGCTCATTGAATCTGGAGGACCCGCATCCTGCATTCCTCGTATGCCACAACCTCGATACGACAAAGTCATTAGGACTTATATCATCAGTATGCCCAAGCCGCCTCAAGCTGCAGTGGCCACCCTACTTCGTCCGTCAAGCACCGTGTACCGTCGGTATTTCGTGGGCTCACTGATCTGCGGCCATCATCAGAACTTTTGTCCACCAAAATCGCCCGCACAATCGTTTACAATGCCTACCTTCCATCCTCTTCGTATCCTGCTACCGCTCCTGTCGTTATGCGCAATAACCGCGTACTGCATGCCGTTTGCCCAGCAGGGCGATGATTTCGTCGCTACTGTGACGGTAGCAACCGTCACGATACAGCCGACTCAGGCATCGCTCACCGCCGGCGCTGCTGAACCAACCGCAAAAGGGCTCTTGAGCTATCTGCCAGAACCGGACAGACGCGGCACCATGGACATCATCTTGAGTTGCGTTGTAACGCTATTCCTATGCATCTGTGAGTAATGGCACTGCTTCCACCCCGTCATAATCCCCTTCCGCCCCGGGGTCAAAACGAATTGTTGACACTACTCTATAATAAGGGACCACTGTCGCAATCAACATCGAGCCAGTCATCAAACCCGGCAAGGCCGGCTGGATCGCAGCGATCGACCGTCTCCTGGCCGACCGCTCGGTCCGGAAGGTGGGCTGGAGCCTTACCAGTCTCATGGTGCCCGAAGCAACAATGACGATCGCCGCATACGAGATGTGTACGGCGCGGCTGCTGCGTCGCGCGATGCAAAAGACTATGCAAGCGCGAGACGCCGCTGCCGGCGATCGAAAGGAGAGCGACGACCGGGGGCCCAAGTCCGAAGTCCGACAGCAGATCGATGTCAAGCAGAAGCCCGAGGATTGGATGGATCTGAAACTCCCGTTCTACGCCGTCATGGGCGGGTTCAGGGTTGTCTACCAGCATGATCGGGAGGATGCCCATGCTGAAGGCGCGGCGCCCGCACAGGAGGGCCAGCAGGAAGAACCGAGATTCGCTACTGAGCCGGAGGGTTCGCAGGCGGGGAATAATGCTTCGAGCGGTACGAACAGGAAACAGAAACACACGTGTACGGCCAACGGTACCTATGCGAAGAGCTGTAGTCGCCAGGCCGGGTTCTTGTCCAACATAAAGTACGGCACCAAGAAGAAGTGTCCCTGGTTCGTCAAAGATCTGTACACCGGGGAGTCCGCCGGCACACTCACGCCTCACGGTGTACTCTGGATGGCAGAGAGGGGCTGGCTGCCCCTCGTCTCCCCAGACTTTGTCGACGACAAGTCGAAGGTCGATGCTCTGGCAAAGATATTGGTGTGCTTCCAGGCTTTCTGGATGATAATGCAGGCGATCGGACGAGTGGCCGCAAATCAGCCCGTCACCTTGCTCGAACTCCACACGGTCCTGCACGTTGTGTGTGCTGGAACGATGTACACCACTGTATGTTTCACCGTTCGAACGGCAGATATTCGCGGTAGTATGTACTCGGAGGCACGTAGCTAACACGTTCCACAGTGGTTCAAGAAGCCGGTCGACATCGACCTCCCGACCGAAATCTTCCTCACCTACGAACAATTCGACGAGCTACGGCGGGCGAGCCAAGTCACCGACGACCTCGGCGACCCAAACCCGACCAATCCCTTCTCGCGGGGCAAGATCGGCACGGACCTGCATCCGGGCGAGCGCGACAGCAAATACGTGACGACGCGCGCCGGTCTCGGGAAGCTAATGTACCAGCAGCTGTCAAACGGGCGCAACGTATTCCTCAGCTTCACGGCGCTCGGCCGGGCCTTCGATCGGATCATCCGGGGCCGCGCGAACCTTGTGTGGGAGGGCGCCCTGCTCTGCACCGTCGGATTGATCTATGGCGGCGTCCATCTCGCAACCTGGAATAACTACTTCGTCTCCGCGTTTGAGCGCCACGCGTGGCGCGCTTGCTCCATCGTCACGGCGGTCGCGGTGCTGGGATTCGTCCTCGAGCTGTGCATTGGCGCGCTCATCAGGTTTATCGATCCAGAGACGTCGATTAAGCCGTTCACTTCGGAGTCGAAGACGCAGCGGCAGCCTCAGCCTTCCACCGGCCGCGAAAAGGTCGCGGGTAACGGTACGCAACAGTCCGCGCGCGAGCCCGTCGAGAAGAACGCCGAAATAATCGAGGCGACGACGCCGCACGAGCACGAGCACGACAGCGCGACAACCCCCGCGGCGAAGTCGGAGGCGGCAAGAAACGATCCGCGGAAACGTGATACGTGGTCCTGGAGGGCGTATAGGCTTGTCGTTGCGGTCACGGTGTTTTTTGGGTTCATCGTTGTCATGTTCACACGGTGCTTTCTCCTCGTTGAGTCGTTCATTGCGCTGAGGAAACAGCCTGATGGAGTTTATGATACGATTAATTGGGTCCAGACGGTGCCGCATGTGGCGAAGTAGGAGGGTTGAGCGAGGGGCTGGGCTGGCTTGCAGATCGGCAGATGATCGGGGTTTTGTTTGGTGGAGTCCGTTTCCGTTGGAGGTTTTCTTTCCTGTCCAGGAGTTTTCAAATCGCAATGTAACCAGAAGCTGCTGTAATCCGATCCTTCTCCACCTCGCAGGTTGAATTTTGCCGAGTTGGGCTTGTCGCTTCCTCGCGTGTAAGCGCAGTGGGATGGAACGTGCGTGGTTTGCTTGAGGGGCTAGGGAAATCATGTGATCGGTGCATATAAGTGTCACTCACGACTGATCGCTGTGCTGCGATCTCGGCCGCCACGCGCCCTATCTCAAGATGTCTCAGTGAAGGACTCTACATACAGCGACCACGACCGCGACTTTGTACGAACGTTTGTTCTGCATTTAACTAGAATATTGATGTGCTCACACGTGACATCTGCCTGGTTCCTCAGCCGGACGGAACTGGAATAGGTACATAAGTCCAGTCCGTCTGAAGATGTGTGCTGCACGGACTGATCCGGACTATGTAGTATACTGGCTTCGTGGTTCCCGCGCAGTCCTTCACGCGTCATCACTCGGGACGCGAGTGACTTGATATGCCTCCACGGCAGCGGCAAGTCACAAGCCTCAATAACGACTCTCAACGGCGATTTAGCTCCAAGCGCCGCGTGAGTCTCTTCCCGAGAGGCGTTTCTTCCCGAGAGGCCTCTCTCCCCTCTCTGCCCCTTTCCTCACTGTCTCCTCCCTCTTCTTCCGACGCACACAATCAATCGGACCCACCGGTCAACATAACTGTCGTGACGCCGCGAAGGTCATGTAATGTACCAGATAGTTATCTCAAGCTCGTAGCTGGCAGGCTTCCTTGTCATAGCTATTTTTTTTCGTGAATTGATGAAGATGACAACCTTTCTACCATGCGAGGGAGTGAGGTCGCTGGGCCAGCTCAGTCCACGTGAGGGCCTTGCAATCGCCGTCCGTCCGATGTGGCGCCTGATGCCTACCCATCCCGGGTTAAATATACCGGACGACCGCACAGCCCACCGCCCCATCTTCTAGTCTTGATCCATCTGCAATATTGCATTACCTCCTGTGTTGCTAGCGAGATTTGGGTTTCTCGTCGTACGTTTTGCTTCCTCCCTTCCCTCGACGCGCAGGGAGGGCTGAGGCCTGGGCGGAGAGCAATAGGGAACCGATATCGAGCTTATAACCAGCGGTCGGTGACGGCCAGGTGGAACCGGATATATAACTTGCTACGATTTACCAAGGTCGAAAGCAGTGATAATTGCACCAAAAAACGCCAGCAGCGGAAGGCGTGTCACGTGATACATCCGAGTGATATCGCGTGCCTTACCCGGCACGTCAAAAACAAAAACCATCCCCACCCCATCGGGTGGCTTGGAAACCCCAAGAGCTGTACGCAGGTCTGCACCCGGGCTCGAATCGGGAGCTTTTCCTCAACTCCCCTCGCCGATTGCGTGTCTCGACCACTGGACTACGCGGGGTTTTTTCCGTGCTGGAAATATGAATTCGATTCTCATAAATTGGTAGCCTGGTGGGTGTCCCGCGACCGAATTGCTCCGCCACAACGCCGTCTGCGTAGCGTACACAAGTAGGTAGAGCGCATCAACGGAAGAACACTAGGAAAAGATAGAATCCGCTTCCTTGTGGTGACAATTTTAAAACGTGATCTTGTACTCGATGTACATAACCGTCGGTGGTCTCAGACCCTCTACCATGTACTAGGTAGTTGGTAGGAAGCAGTTAGTCATCAGAGCCGGAGTAAACGGCGTTTGATCAACGCTGGGATGTGATTGCCTGTGGACTTCGCTCGGTACTCTGAGTAATCAGGCTGCCGCACGCTTTGTACGGCATCTAGATTCCATCGGGACCAACTACAACTGAAAAAACGCAGGGTTCGGAGAGCAGCCAAAGCCGACCGCATCGAAACCCAAATACGGCGTCGCAGCGGCATCGAAACGAGATCGGATATTGCTAAGTAGATTTCTACACCCTCGGAAGTGCCGCATTTGATTGAAGCAGAAGTGATGTAGGTATTCGTGTAGGTAGGTGCTGAGTGCCAGTACACTCGGTAAGATAAAAGATAAAAATAACACTTCTACCCGTAAACCCCAACATCCAGGTAGGTAGTCGATACCCGTAATCATTAGACACCATTCATTCACTCGTGCCATGTCATTCCGTCCGAATCCGTCTATCACCCATACTCCCTGGTCATCCTGGGGCTCTGGACGTCCAAAGCCGACCAATGGGACCCTAGGGTACAAGTAATGCGGCAATGTCGCATTTAAACTGAATGGGCACGCGTTAATCATTGGGCTCTAATCCGGCCAGAATAGGCTCTAATCCGGCCATATTCCGGCTCTACTCCGGCCCTACTTCGGCCATAATAGGGCTCTACTCCAGCCATAATCCGCCTCTATTCCGGCCATATTCCGCCTCTACTCCGGCCATAATAGGGCACAGTTGATCAACCGGCGTTGATAATACTTGGCTTTTAGGAGCTCATATGGCTGACCTAAACAATTATACGAGCCCAATCTGCTGCTTGAGATTGCTATGGTTCTAGCTACTGCTCCTCGCCCCATATGTATCCTCCAGGCTCCCCTCCACGCACTGAACCCCGCTTCTCCCCCTCTCTTCTCGTTCTCTCCGCTCTCTCCACTCTCCGCCCTTCACCCAGACACCTTAGCACACATTCAACAAGACCGACCTGCTCAATAGACAGTCTGTTAGTATCGGCAATGACAGTGAGGTGTCCGTAGCGAGGTAGGTTTAGGAGCACGATTATCAATACGTACCTGCTGTAGTAAGACTAGAGACTGTAAGAGAGTGAACAACGGTGGGGGGGGGGGGGGGGGGGTAGCTATCGACGACAGGAGGGAGCGAGAGGGGGAGCGAGAGGAAGACTCAGTGATGGAGGAGCTGTCAGTGAGAGGAGGATATGATGGAGGAGTTGTGGGCGTGGGGAGGAAGGGAAGGAGGAGCTATTGGCGAGATGAGGAGAGTAGAGGAAGAGAAGACGAGCTGTGGCGAGAGGAGGAAGTGATGGAGGAGCTGTCGGCGGGATGAAGCGAATGTGGTTAGTAGTGGGTATGACGGGGGGCATGGCGGGGGGGCACGCATGGCGGGGTTGGCCGAATATTGAGAAAATGTTTCATTTATAAATCGAAGCCTATTCATCACTCGAGCCGGAAGCCTAATGAGCGGTAACGCATCGTTTTACCAACGGTTACCCGAAGAGAGCGGTGGAGAGGCATTGCATTTACTGCCAATCGCCAGTTTACGCCTCAGGCTTCTTTCCATTCGACACATTGAGTGTTGACAGCCAAATTAAGTATAAGAGCCTAATTTCACTATTGCAAACTGGCCGCAATTACTACCAACCGCCTATTGACTCGGCTTCGCCCAATTTGATTATCGTGAGCTGGCCGCAATTACTACCAGCCACCTATTGACTCGGCTTCGCCCAAATAAAAATTGCAACTTGTCAAAACATGCCGGTTTATGAGCAGAAGCCTGAATTGCCAGTGCAAATGAGCCTCACTTTGTGCTAATAGCCAGTTTACAAGCAGACTCGCATTTACTTAAATGCGGCTTGCCACATTCCTTATACCCTAGGGGATCGGTGCAGCCGTGTCAGTGCAGTGCGTGTTGTCTTACGTCGGTCGTCGTCCGAACCCTGGCCCTAATTCGCTGTGGAGGATCAAAGTGAGCAGCCACTAGTAGGACAGGAAGTGAGTGAGGCACTGAGGCGCCTGCATACCTATCAATAACATTCCTAAACGAAATCGTTGACATAAAACGATGGTTAGCCAGTGATAGGCAAGATCATGGGGGCTAGACCACTGCAACAACTCCGTCTCGGACAAAGTATCTGTTTCATAGTGTATCTAGCGATGTATAGTTAAACAGAGTGTAAGCTTTTGTGTCTTACTGGTTCACGCAGGTGAGACTGGAGTGTAGCTTTTTGGCCTTCTCCGACGGTGACAGCGGCATTGGTACCAACTGCAGTATAGTTGCCGCACCCAGAGAAAGCGCTGGTACAAAAACCATGGCTTCTCGGACCTGGAGAGGCAGTTATCGGGAGACGGTATGTAGAAAATCGAATGGCGGGTCTGAACAAGAAACTTCACCATACGAAACCCCCAACGGAACGGAACAGAGGCTCCTTCATGGTAGCCGGTTACAGGGTGCATCGGCGGAGATCGACCGCTAGGTATGTACATATAATTAGCGAGCGGTACTAGCGGTCACCATTTATCTGTGGAGGGACCGCTCGGCGTTCACTGACAAGCATTCAACCACCCCGGTTTCGGGAAAGGCGAGAGGAACGAACGAGTCACCAATCTCGGTCAAGCCATACCGCCCCCGTCCCCCGCCCCGTGCGGACAGCTCTTTCTGTAATTGGTCTTTTGGTTTCTTCCCGACAGCTCCTCTTCCTGTGGGCACTGCTGGATGGAAGTACCACCGCCACGTAGGGCCCGGCATCTGAAGGATGGGAGAGGCGTGTCACCCTGCTATCATACTCACCGTGAAGGCTGAAGGTCACGTGAAACTCCATCGGTCGATAGCACGAACGACGCTAGACTCACGACAAACCGTTGGATGGAACAAGTCCAATAGCGACATGAGCAATGCCGGAATGGCCCGGATTCAATCATCAGACTGCAGAGGTGCAGTGGCCGGTGTCCACCCCTCCCCTCCCTCCGAACTTTCACTCTGATTGGAATTCAGTTCGCCACGACATCTCGCCGGCAGAGGATTGACATGTACAGAGGATTCAGGAATAGACCTGCACCCACGTAGGCTGAATCTACGGTCTTTCCTAGCCGCACATATCGGCCCTCACGTGCGAGCGGAGGTTTGATTTCGCCGGATATCCAATCGATCATCAGCACAGCACTGCAGTGAGCTCCCGATTGGCATGCATTGGAAGCGTCCTGTCGGTAGCGGGCTATAAGCTACACGTATGTACCAGCAAGGACTACTGGTACTCAGTAGCCTTGCTGTAGAGGCACATGCATGGCTATACGGGTGGCGAGTCGCAGCGCGGTGAAATGCCGCACGACCTGAATGCATCGCGTTGTTCGGGCACTCGTTTGCGGACAGCGTATGGCCCGGTATACTCGTTTCATCTCTATTCGCATGCAGCCAAACTACCGGTAGACTACTGCGATTCATTCAAGCAGCTGGTTATGCATCATATATGGCCGAGTGATAGCGAAAACTTACCAGAAGTACATGGTTTCTCAAACGTACGATACTAATGTGCCCTATGAAAGACATGCTGAAGCCAGCGAAGTTCATGGCGGTGCTTTTGTTCACTTGCCAACTGGCCGACAGTCAGTCTGTCAGGTGTCTTCGAACTCAGTTCCGGAAACGAGCTCGGGAGAGAGTTCCTCTGCATCAGCACGACCAGTACTGTCCAAGTTGTCTTGCAGCCACCACCTCATCGGATCGTATATCATGTAGTACATTCCCAGACTCACTTCGCCACGCTTCATTATCTATCGAAAACTGAGCACATCTCAAGCTCCATTATTGTTCAGCGGCCCTCACTCAAACTAAACTCCACGGGAACAGCTTTCAGCTCTTCATGATGGCTACTTGCAACCATCTTCACATGCCGCTGCTCCTCCTCGCATCATATGCCATCCTTGCATACGGCGTGCCTTTGACACAACAGGGAGAAGATTTCGCCACTACTGTAACGGTTGCTACAGTCACAGTACAGCCAACTCGAACCGCCGCCGCCTGGGGGTCTGAGCCGAGCAATGTCGGGATCATAGGATATGTACCGAGCCCCGATCGACGCGGTACCATGGGGATCCTCATGAGCTGCATCATGACATTGTTCTTATGCGTCTGTGAGTACTACCCACAATCCACCGATCCTGGCGACCGATCGCACGGCTAACTCCGAAAGGGACTACCGTCGCGGTCAATATCGAGCCGGTTGTCGAACTCAGCGAGAATCCCGGAATCATCGCAAGGATCGATTATATCTCGACCATCCGGTCGGTCAGGAAAATTGGATGGAGCATTTCCAGTCTTATGGTGCCGGAGATCACGATGACGATCGCTGCCTACGAGAGATGTACGGCGAGGCTGCTTCGCACTGAGATGTGGAAGATCATCGAGGACAAAAATAAGGCGGAAATACGGACGGACATCGGCATACAGACGACCGATGGCGACGAAAAACGGAAAGATATCGGCGTACAGACGACCGTGGACGACCTACTACAGGCGACCGATGGCGAAGAAAAAGGGAAGTGTGGCAGTGACATAGTGCCCGAGACCGACGTCCAGCAGGAGGCCAACAATAGTGAACAGAAGGGCAACGTCGTACAGCGGACCGCCTCTGCTGTGAAGAAGACCAACGAGCCCGGAAAGAAATACGAACCCCACCCTTGGGACTGTTTAACACTCTCGTACTACGCTGTTATGGGAGGGTTCAGGGTCATCTACGACCACGATCCAGAACATCCCCATGCGAAAGGGACAGCGGCTGCGCAAGAAGGACAACAGGAAGATGCACGGACCGAGAACGAGCCTTTGCACGGAACCATGACGAAGGAGTCGTCTAAATTGGCGAGTACGGATTCCACGTGTACTCCAACGGCGTTCCGGTGTCGGAATAACCGCGAGTCCAGCGACAGCCAGAGCTGCAAATGTCAGATCGGATTGCTGTCGAGTATAAGGGGCGGCAGCAAAAAGAAATGCCCATGGTACATTCAGGATGCGAAAACTTACCAGTCCGCGGCGACGCTCACCCCTCACGGCGTACTCTGGATGGCAAGGAGAGGATGGCTCCCCTTTGTCGCCCCAGAGTTTGTGAAGGACAAGTCCCAGGCCAATACTCTGGCAAAAGTCTTGGTGTGCTTCCAAGCTGGATGGATGATACTCCAGGTGTGTGGACGGGCGTCAGCGAACCAGTCCGTCGCCTTGCTCGAACTCCACACCGTCTTGCGCGCCATGTGCGCTGGAACGATGTACATCACGGTATGTTTCTTCGTACGAACGTGGGTCGGACTCACCATACTTGAAGTATCATGCAACTGACACACCCGACGGCAGTGGTGGGACAAGCCAATCGATATCGACCTCCCGACAGAAATATTCCTCAAAAAGCACCAATTCGATGAACTAGTCAACGCCAAAGAAGAACCAAACGCCACCAATCCTTTCTCGAATGGAAAGCTTCACTCGCCCGATCCACGGTTCAAGAGCGACGGAGAGCCGGACAAAAAATACGTGACGTCACGTGCCGGGCTTGGAAAGCTCATGTACCAGCAACTCTCGAAAGAGAAGAATGTTCTCACAAACCTCAGGAGCCTCGGGGAGGCATTTGACCGGATCATCAAGGGCCGATCCAACATCGTGTGGGAGGGCGCCTTCCTATCCACCGTGGGACTGACCTATGGCGGTGTGCATCTGGCAACGTGGAACAACCACTTCGAGACCCTGTTCGAGGAGTACGCGTGGAAGGCGTGCTCCATTGTCACGGCTTTTGCGGTTTTGGGATTCATATTGCAGCTGTGCATCGGCACCTTGATACAGCACATCGATTTCACCGAGAGTACGGAGCTAAACGACTCTAAGACCGGTACGCAACAGTCGGAAGTTGGCGGCACCGACGTCGAAAAGAACGTCCTCTCGGAAATCATCACAACCATTCACGTGCCGCCAGGAAAGTCCTCCCCTGGTGCGGCGAAGTTGGGTGTAAGAAGCAATCGACTGTGTCGGAGGATCTACAAGCTCATCGTCGGGACAACATTCTTTGTCGGGTTCATCATCGTTATTTTTTCCAGGCTCTTTCTGTTCATCGAGTCGTTCATCGCCCTGAGGGGACAGTCCAACGGTGTCTACGACACGGTGAATTGGGCTGAATCACTGCCAAATATATCATGAGAGGCAAATGGATGGGATTCGTGTTGGGGGTTTCACTGTTTGGGAGAGATGGAGTTATTACCTAGTATCATTTTTTATCACACGACCTTTTTCGTTAGATTCCGTCTGAAGCTCACCATAATTTTTTCTCTTTTAATGAGTTGGGTGCAGAATAAGGTGAATGGGAATTGGCAAGGCGATTGTTGTGTCGGCAGGGTGGGGAAGATCACGCGAGATTAGATTAGATAGTGAGATAGATAAGGAAAAGAGCCAAGTGGGTACTGAGGTGCGCGAAAGCAGAGGCTGCTTGGCGTTGTCAGGTGTGCACTGAAGGAGCGGGACCCTATCGGGTCTGAGTGGGACTTTGTTGGACTTGAATGGGACAGACGGATGGAGGAGCGGGACTTGGTATCATACAGACCTGGCGAGACCAGCTGTCTTTGGGGTGATGCCAGTCGTCTTTGATGGGAAACTCGATGGGGGGCGTCGAACGTTTATTTATCTTGCTGTGACTACTTCTGTTGTGCTTGCTCGTCTCGTTTTGTTTTCATCATCATCAAGAAAGTCCTTTAGTCCAATTGATCACGATTTTGTTCCTTCACTTGTTTTTGGGTCTCTCAGTACTTACCGATTCTCCCCTACCTACGTACACAGCCGGCAGCGTGGGCAGCGGAGAGGGTTGAGCCGGGAGGGTTAAGCGGAGAGCAATGGAGAACCAATATCGAGCTCGTGGCCAGTGATCGGTGACAGTGATCGGTGATAGTGAGTTGGATACGGATATATAGCCTGCCATGATTTGTTAAGTTCGAATGCAATGATAACTTAAACCAAAAAAACCCGGCAGCGCAAGGCGTGTCAGGTGATGCAACCGAGTGATATCATGTGCTCCATCCGTCACGTCAAAAACAAAAACAATCCCCACGCGGCGCTGCACATTCACTCTTGCGTTACAGGCCAACTTTCGATCCTCATGAATTTTTCCTGAGTGACGTAGATAGTGGGTGGAGGTGAAAGGACGCCGGCCAGCCGTGCTTGCATTGCATGTTGTCGACGTCCGCCCGCCGCCGCACTCCGTCACTTCCCGCCCCCGCATAATGTGATTCGATAATGGATAACGCGACGAATCAAGCAGACTTAGAAGTTGGAGATCCGTACATGCAGATGTGCCTACTACCTAGAGTAGTTATTTCCGTCGCCATCCAGGCAAACTCAACTCGCTGGAGTTCTCTCGGTGGGGGAGGAGGGCGAGTGATAGCCAATGCTTGCCGACCGCGTCCGATAGGTACATTCCTGGTAGTCCCCGTTTGCCCCGGGCGGAGCGGCACCATGGCCCATCCCTGCCATTTGTTGCGGGGGAAACCTTCGTAGTCTTTGAGCTGCGTCCCACTGTCCCAGATGTTTTCTTCCAAAACAAGTGACGGAGACGTCTTCTACTTTCCCCCTCCCCTCTCCTGACCGCCGTGCGGCCGTAGGGCTTAATCCGGTGATTTCTCGCGTTTTTTTCTGCACACAAGCTGTACTATGTGGGGGGTACATGAAAATGAGTTGTCCACTGCTGCTGTGCCGCCGCCGCCGCCGCCAGGACCGTGGTTGGGCATTGAGCGCGCTGCCCACGCGTGATACATATGTACTACCCAGGCGCCACGAATCCTAGAGTCCTGTGATACCGTAAGCAGTGAGCACCCACCTGTACTCCATGTATGTATCTACAATTGAGGTGCGGAAATGCTCTAATTTGCCTGATGTATGTAGAGCACACGATGATGTGGGGAGTACGTGTGGAGTAAGAGGTGCGGCCGCACGGAATAGGGCTACATAGAGTAAGTACATGTCCACACACAGTGATGTCACGCCTCGCTGCGGGCGGCGGGCGGCGGGCGCCTATCCTGTGCGCGCTGCACGGCGCAGGGCAGGGCAGATGGGCTGATCAGTGTTGCATGATACATCAGCGAATGGAATCCTCCAGGTGTCGTTGGCACGGGGATGTATGTAGAGTGAGAGGTACATATTATACACGTAGCCGGTGGAGTGTATGTATGGTACCATCGCGACAGGCAGGCGGGCAGGAGAGATATGTTTGGCCGAGGGAGGGAGGGAATGTTTGGTCGCACAAGAGCGGGATTGGGCACACGGGCCACTGGGATTCTTGCGGGACCCGTGTGCGCACCCGCATCCTTCTCGTTCCGTATGTATATTATGTATATATGGGGAGGCTGGGGACGGAGGCGACGGAAATGCGCAATTACTTCCTACGCCGTGTGTGCGCAAATAACTTGGAGCGAAGTGGATGAAGCGAGGGGTCTCTGTGTTTGTTAAAGAAGCTCTTCGGCCTGGTTGGGGCATTTCGATTGAGAGGTTGCCATGGATTCCAATCTAGACTACTGGTACTATGGATTCACGTGACCGACAATAGCGTCGTGAGTCGTGACAAGGGATGCTCTCGTCTCACTGCGAATGTTGTTGCTATTGTTGTTGAGGCTGGTCGGTGGGATGTTCTACGTGAAATCGGTTTCACGAGTGTGGATTATCGGCGGGACCGATACCGATGCTTTTTCCAAACCTGTCAGACTTGATGTGACTATGTATCTATGAAGATTTAAATCTGCGAGCTTTGCAGTGTCAATATAGGTAGATACTTACCTATGCAAATAACATGGAATGGCTCCTCGCTGACGTGATACGAATCAGCACTCACTCGGACTGGACCCCGAAGAGCTTTGATTCACTCACTCGAACTGATCTCTTCATAACTTCGTCATGTTTTTCACATCACCTCCACAATTCGCATCGTCCGCAGGCTCCTCCTCATCCTCTTCATCCCCATCCTCCTCGTGGTATAAAATTTCCCCGACTTGAAAGTTCACTGCACACTCATGAACCCGCCACGACGCCACTCGACGAGATCTGGCGCTCAACTGTCAACATCCAAAACCCTGCAGGGTGCAGATTAACAATTAATTACAGTTTGAGCCAGAGTGCACTCGAAGTCGCGCTTCTCACTTCCAGCATTTTGCCTTCTTCTTCTTCTTCTTTTCCCCTTTTCGTCACCTATTCGCGGCTTTTTTCCTTCCATTGTTTTTCTTTTCTTTCCGTCGTGTCGCTATGTAGGCGCATGCACGGGACTCATGCGGAAACGTCGCGTTTTTGCACGCCTGCCCATAAACATCCATCCCATCCATCCATCGCCAGAGAGGGAAACACCCAGATCCGGACGGGAGCACAACGTGTTTGTTGACATTTCGGTTTGGTTGTATTTTTTCTTTTTTCCTTTCCAGCGCGCGTGCGGGAGCGGGCGGGCGGGCGGGCATTTGTTAGAATTGCCCATCCCCCGACCAGCCGGCCCGCCCGGCCCGCACCGCACGAACTAAATGGAGCCCACCCCCCCGCTCCCGCTCACTCGATCGCAAGCGAGCGAACGACAGATCGATATCCGTCACCAGTCTGTGCTTTTTGTTTCTCATCTGTAGATACCTACCTAGCCTGAGTAGTTAAGTATGTACCCAACTACTATTACCTATATCTAAGTGCTCTATAGACCATCTACTGTGCCGGCCTGCTCACCTCGCCCTCCTCTCTGCACTCTCCAGCACATCGTGATGGAGGGAAGGGGAGGTGGCTCTCTCTTACGGTAATGCTCCGGCCGCATCATGCCTGGAATACTGCCAAAATGAGACGGAAGGCATCCAAGTCTACTACCTATTCCTAGCACTGCTGTCGCCGCTACCCAGGACCTTGCATGGCACTCTATATTTACATAAGCACTTGTGGTTGCAGAGGTTCGCAGCGCGAAGTTCGAGCCTGAAGACTACTACTAGTTATATAGTATCGAACGCCGTGAGTTCACCATAACTGGTAGCTGCTGTCTTAGTAGGTACTTGAGTTACCTGCTCCGGAATCCGCAGTGAATGGATGAGGTATGTACTTGTCGAGTACTCGGTCCATGTGCTCCACGGTACCTGGCCTGGGTACCTACCGTATGTCATCACCGCGTTGCAACAGGTACAGGATTGTTTGCTCCCCTTACGAGAAGGAAGGGCGAGAATAAAAGAAGCGGAAAAAAGCCCACCCGCCATTCTTTCAGCGGTGAATTCGCCGAATCACCGGGGGTCGTGGGCTATGGGTTAACTCCTGATTTAGAACATGTACATAGAGGAGTCCTCAGCGGCTCAGCCTGGAGGATAGGTAGACACTAGTACATATGGACGTAGGATCTTCAGGTTGCTCTAGTGGGCTTGTGTTGTTTCTCCGGCCGTTGGTTACATACCTAAGTAGGAACTCGACTTTTGTCCATATACCCATGATGACGGGCGAGTGATCAGGACCTGCCTCGCACTCTGCAGCGGATCTGGTGGCTAGGTATCCCACCCTAGTTCCCCCCTCTTATGTACGAGCAACCCCATATCAATCAACGATCACAGGCTCGCCGCCGCTAACCTTCTTCGTCCTCTTCCTTCCCTTCCCCTCACTCGTCGTACCATCCCCTTCCCCCGTTACTCTCCGTTTCCCCTGTCCCCATCCCCGCCCCGGCCCATCCCCGCTCAACCGTGCGTTTGCCCCTTGGTCCGCTCCTTCGTGGTAAACACGCAACCAGCCGTCAGTTCTCCGCCCCCCTTCGCTCACTGGCCGCCCTTGTCTCTCCTGTTGTCCGGCCTGGTCATAGGTATTGGGTGAAGTCCACGGTACCTACTCAATAGAGTGGAGTGCACTGCATCGGCGGTGGTGAGGGTGGTGGTGTTCTGGTCGGTAAATTCCCTTCCACACTCCCATATCTCTCTCCCTTCCCGGTTGACCAGAGGTTTTGCTGCTGGACACTGGACATTGGACATTGCTGAGATCAAGCACGTCGCCCGACAGTCAGTCAGTCCGACCGGGTACATAATAACATCGGATTGCCGTCCGTCCCATCTGCTGTGGTCTGCAACGCGCACGACTGCCGTTCGGTGAGCTTGTATTCGGCCCCTTCGACACGCCGGGATTCAAAACAACATACTATCGCGCCCTCATCCCGATTCCCCGCGGCCGCCCTCCGGTCCGCTACTAGTTATACTACCAGTATAGCTCATCCTTCGCGTGCCGCGACAGTCCTCCCTTCCGCACGCAGATCAGTATCGTCGCGGCCGTTTCTCGCCTCGATCGTCCCGAGAAGGGCCGTTGCCCGCGCAAACCTGAGCTCCGTCCTTAGCCCTCCAGCAGCACAGCCCATAGATAAACAATCGCGATACGAAACGAGCCATTATTACTAGCTACGAATAGTCAGTTGTAACTGGTCATTAACTACTAGTGACTAGCACTCCTGGCCACCCTTTCGCACCCGCATTTCCCCTCGCCCCTAGATTCCTATCCTACTCTACATCCCCTGTCCACTCAGCACTGTCCATCCAACGGCCAATAATTCCCCTTGCCGCCCTTGTCTCAACCGGCAGACACGACCACAACGCGCTCAGACTCGCGATTCATTCTTCCTCCTTATCCTCTCCTCCCTCCGCCTTCTCCTCCTTCCCCCTCTCGTGTCCACCCCAAGATCGAGTGTCCTCTTCCCCATTCAAACCCTCGTTCTTTCCGCCAGAGTCCCCTTTCCACCGCCGATTCTCAGCAACCGGCATAACCATATCCATCCATCACGCTCGGCCCCGACGAACTCAATTCCATTCGCTGTTGTGGTTACCTCATCGCGAAAGAGGAGCGCTCGCCACCCCCACGAGCCAGTTCATTCACTACAAACCATATACATAATTTTGATGCACGCGCGCTGATTTAACGGCCAATTCAACGACTCGATAACGTACCCTCAACGACTACGACTACCCTATACATACTATATACTTCCTCTCGGACACTCTTTTCTCGAGGTTTCTTGATTTGTTTTCCAGCTTCCGCGTTTTCGGTGTCCGGTTCGATTGAACTCGAAAAACGACCTCCAGTCACTATATACCCCTAAATTGCTTTGCGACTTCCCCGCGGCATTCTCGTTGGACGACAGGTATTCGTTCGGTCTCGGTTGTCATTCATCGACAGTATAATATTGCATCGCGCTTCCTGGTGTTCGCTTTGACTCCTGCTGCTCTCGTTGTTGCTTTTCCCCGACGTAATCGGCAGCAACAGTACAAAGCGCCTGAACATTCGAGACTCGGACACACAGCGGCTTTCCCTTTCCCCCGTGTAGTACATATCTCTCTACATATCTATTTTCCGTTTTTCCTTTGGGCTTCTATTCGTACAATACCCGTTGCAACCCCTTCCCCCCTTAATACTCTAAAGCTTCGATAACCACTGCATCCGCCAAACAATCTCGGTCACGATGCCCAGTCCCGCTTCATCCAACTCTGGGGACGTCACCCCCAAGGCTGCCGCCCCGTCCCTCCTGCCGTCGTTTCTCTCCACCGGTTTCCCTGGATCCGGGACTCGCCACTCCACTCCACCGCCGCTGGAATCGCCTGTTCCCCGAACCCCTAAGCCTCGTCGCACGGTGAACGGGCCTCCCCGAACCCCGTTGGCGAAGGCACACGTGTCGTTCGAGGAATCCGACATCGAGGAAGACGTTGATGCTGCCATGCTCCACTCGGGGATGGCAATAACGCGTCCCAACTCGACCTGTTCGTCGTACTCCTGCTCTTCGGACTCTTCGGTCGACAGCAATACCACGTACACCACCGCCGACGGAAGCTGTACCAGCATCGAGGACGAGGACGGCGGCTACTGTCCCGTCGACGAAACGCCAAAGCGGAAGCCCAGAGACATGGACGGGTATCTCCTTTCGGCCATGCCAGAGCGGCAGACCATGCCTGGAGGTAGAGGCAAGGGCAAAGAACCGGCGCGTTCTTCCGGACGCAAGCGGAAGACAAAGTGGACGGACGCGATGGATGCCCACCTCTGGAGGACGTATGCGTTGTACCAGCAGGATCCCAAGATCACGCCCTTCTTCGTCCTCCCCGGCCAGGTCCCGCCGCTCGGTGTCTGCTACAAGGTTGCGCGCGAGACAAAGAAGAGCTGGAAGGACGCCAAGCTTCGCGGCGACTACGCGCCCGCTGCCGCAGCAACAACGCCGCGACCCCGGACGAGGCAGCGCACACCCGTCCCCGCCGCCGAGACCAGCAATCGCGGCGATGCCATGCGCATGGGCACGCCCTACACCTGGACGGCCTCGGAGTCCTCGACGCGACGCCGTCTGCGCGAGCTCTGCAGGGAAAACTACGGCCCCGCGGCCAAGAACCCATACCACTTCCACCAGCAGCAGCGCGGCACCGCCGCCGGAGACGATACCGGATCGCGCGCAACCAGCCGGATTCCACCGTCGCTATTCGGAGGACCTGGAGGCTTCACGACGCCTGCCTCCCGCGACGCGTTCTCGACCACCCGCAACATGGCGCTCTCACTCACCACCAGCACGGCGTCCTCGATGCGACCGACCGGCGCATTGGCCTCCCTTGCGGCCGGCCGCGACGTCCACATGCCGGCTCGACAGGTCTTCCAGTTTGGTGGCCAGTTCGGCGGCATCGCCGAACGCATCGCGAGCGCGTCCACCGCATCCGAGGAGCTCCAACGGAACCCGCTTTCGACGGGACCGCTAGGTCTCGGCTTCGAGATCAGTAGTGCCTTCGCGTTGAAAAAGACGGCCAGTGGCAACGGCGGCAGCAGCAGCAGTAGCAGCAGCATCATTAAGCGGGAGCGCTCCCCAGTCCGACGGCATCATCGCCAGCTCTCGCTCGACAGTAACACCCCTTCCCTCCTACCTCCGCTGGAGCTTAAATCTTCCCGGTCGCCCTATGGTACATGGCCACGAAGACTGAACCGCGCTGAAGATGAGGAAGCAGAGCCCGCCGGCCCGGCACCGCCAGCACCCCGGACCCGTCCGCGAAGGAAGACACTCGTCGACCTCTTCGGCGACGAGAAGCCATCGCCAATCGTGGCCGCCGCTACCGCCGCCGCCGCCGCTCTCCCCCGGACGAGGACGAGGGGGTACACCGTCTCCGCCGGCACGAATCCGCTCGGAACGAGGAGGAGGCCGACGACCACGCCCAGGCCCAGTGCGCCGCTGTTGACAGTTACCGGCCCCGTCAGCTACGAGGGCGACATGAGCAGTCCGACGACGATGCGGGATGCGCAGTTCGAGGGAGAGTTGGACATGGGCGCTGGACCGAGGAGGCTGGGAAGTCCGTTCGTGGAGCGCGGGAGGGATTAGTGGAGGATCGGTCGTGTCGAGTACGGGGGACAGTGATGAGTTGGCTGTGGTTGTGGTTGTGGTTGTGGTTGCAATTGTGGTTGCGATTGTGGTTGCGATTGAATGTTGTACGATTAAAAGTAGAAGACGACGGCGACGACGATGTATGGTGCTCATGTTCGGTAACGATAATGATTGTGTTTCGTGCGCGGGGGCGGCGGCGGGCGGGGCGGGGCGGGCGGCGGCGGGGCGGGGATCATTGTAGCTGCGACGGACGGACGACGGGTGGTTATTGCTTTCTCGCGGATGTATGTGGATGACACGTTACGATCTTATGAAGGTGAAGGCTGGAGTTTTTTTTTTTTTTTGCGGTGCGTGCGAAAGGCGGGGAGGGGTGGTTTATGATGACACATTCTTTCACGATCTCTTTGTTTCGGAGATTTTTTTTCATCTCAGCGGCCGCGCCGCGACTATTACTTTGGTTGGTTAGTGACGCCGTGCGTTTTCTGCACTTACACTTGCGCTTGTACTGTAGTTACTGTCTTTTGGACTTTTGGACTTTTGGACGTTTTGTTTCCGGATTTCTGGCTTGGATGGATGGAACATGTATTGAAATATCGAAATGCACCACTGTACTATTTGTGGTTTGTGTGACATTTCAATCAGATTACGATAGTACTATCGCTATATCGATGATGTAAATAGATGCGAGACTGGATTACGTGGGCTGTGGTGGTTTTTGTTTTGTTTCATCATCGTAGTAGGTATTCGGCCTTATCAGATCATAGCTGTCTACACATATCGGGTTCTACCCCACCGTCTCCGACCGCTGGCCACGAGCTCGATGTGGGTTCCCTATTGCTCTCCGCCCAGCCCGTGGGCTGTGGGCTGTGGTTCTGCACGTGGATTTATCCCTATAAGTAAGTGCTTACTTGGGTATAGGTACATAGATGGGTATGCTGATAGGACGTAGTCCTGAAGAACGAAGGAAAGCAGCCCACTCACAATACAAGCCTCGTGTCAACCATCTCAACTATCTGAACCATCTCAACCATCAAGACCGCAAGGTGGACTCGCGGAGCGGAAGGAGGAGCATGGAAGGACAGCAGGACGAAAGTCACGATATATCACTCGCTTGCATCTCGCGCATCGGGAATCGGGGATGTTCATTGTCTAGTGGGCGGCGGCGGTGGAGCGCTGTAGATCCGGTAGAGGGGTATGAACTCTCATAGGCGGCTGGTATCTGTATCTGTAGAGTAGCAGTACACGAGTACTCTATTCTATGATTGCGGGTGGTTTCCACACACACACACGACAACACACACATACACACACACGCACATGCTACATCACCATGACGGCAGCGATAGGCCGCTGGCTTTTACGGTAGGTGCCTGTCGTAGGTAGGTGCGGTATGGCATGGTGGAAGAAGCCGGTTACCCCTCCCACTTGGAGTAGAGTAGGTACTTTACATATGTGTCGGAATTGCGCGAGGCAGAGTAGGTTCTTGAAGTTCTTGAGGTTTTTGCGCAGTACGGTCTGCTTGTGCCGAAAACTAACCTGAGCCCGCGTAATATCCTCCAGCGTCGCCAGATCCGTTTCCGATCGCGGGAGACGTTCTCCTACCAATCAGGTCGCTAATTAGGCCACGGATCACGGGAGTTGGCGAAACACCAAACAGGGTTGGGTTGTGGGGAAGATCGGCGTAGCGGGGATCTGCATTGCGGTTACAATGTATGTATATATGTGGGCTTGGAGGGCGAGATGAGCGCGGGGAAGTGCTAAGTACTTACCTAGGTACTCTAAGGACGTTGGGAGCGGTCTTGCATGGCGGAAAGTAGCCGACGGCTGGAGAGGAAGGCTGCGGACGAGCTGGTGCGGGTCTGCGATGATGGCCATGCAAGGCGGCGACCTACCCATGCTACAGGGCCGAGGAGAAGAGTGGGGGTCACTTTTTCTATTGTTTCCTCATGTATCCGGAGTGCGGAGATAGTGTGTCCTCGTATGTACCTGTACAGTCCGCATGGCCGAGACGCAGCCGGCGCCCGGTCATGATCTCTCATCCAGTGACTTTGTCGCCAAAGTGACTTTAGTCTCCAAGAGCCTGCCCGATCCGAGGTTTCCTACCATGCTTGGTAGGTACGTGATTTTGATTATCCGATTAGACCGAAGCTTGAAGTTGCGTGTTGAAAAGTCGCTTTTCTATTGGAATCAATCAAGTACCTGACAGTGATATTCAGTGATCACAATCCTTCTGTGCGAGGGTGATGCCTATGAAAAGTACTAGGTGGTACACATGTAGTCATCAGGTAAACCGGGGTAATCGTTGTTGAGGTAGGTTCTGGCGACGCCGTAGGCGGCCGAGTAATCGGCGGTGGAGCGCCGGGAGCGAGCGGATAGCAGAACCTAGATGCGAATCCGGCATCAAGAGCCTAGATGTGGACTCGGCACCAAGAACCCAGTTTTGTCGATTTCTAAGTTTCTTCGCTGTGTATGTAACACACTGTCCTTTCCATAGTTTCAATCGATATTCACACTCGCATTAACAATCGTTCACATTTGTCACGCAGGCTATGGCAATAGATTGCTAGTAGCGGCGTGTGTTGGGGTTCTTCGTGGTTGCCATTCAGAGTGGCTTTAGTCGTGCCGTAGATGGGTTTATGCTTGTGTTGATCTCTATGCTTGTGATGCCGTCTGAAACCGCCTCAACAAGGATAGGTTGGCGGAGGGGTAGGCATAGTGACAGCGGGAAATCGGAACATGCCCGGGAACCTGAAGGAGAGTGTCTCAAGTAGTCTAGGCAGCGGGAAGGTAGGCTAGCAGAGAGGATGGGAAGTATTACAAACTATCAAGAGCAGAGGAAACGATAATAACAGTGTTAAGGAATCATCAAAAATGACTCGCATTATCTCTTGCACTGACATGCGTTCCCGAGTGATTCATATTGACTCTATCATCCGGGCAAAGGGCAATAGGGAACCTACATCGGGCTCGCGGCCAGCGGTCGGAGATAGTGGGGTGGAACCGGACGTTTACACAGCCGTGATTTGCAAAGGTCGAATGCTACAATGATGAAAAAAAACAAAAATTGATTCTATCATCCTCCGGGTCCCACTGTTATCTTCTCCCGCCTGTCCAACTGCCCCGTCCCACGCTTCATGGTCCATCCACCTGGGCGAGTGTTGTCGGCGTGGTCATCACTGGAGTGACGGCACGAGACATATAAAACCCAAAGGGACAAAGAATATTAAACATATTTGCAATTTCCCTTCACACCATGACCAACTTTGAGGAAAAAAAAGAAAACCCGAGCCATTATCATCGAACCTTCGGATCGAAGCAAACAAAAACATGATGGAATAGCAAACAAAGAACATTCGCCAGCCCTATTTCTCCTAGCCCGTGAAACTCAAGCCAATCTAAGCCCCATGATCCAGCCGTTCCTCACCCTGCATGTGGCACCGATTCGACCCAATTCACCGTGTCGTATGCTCCGTCGGGCTGTCCTCTCAAGGCAATGAACGACTCGACCAAGAGGAAGAGTCTGGCGAAGATGACAATGATGATCCCAATGTAAAACGTGACTGCGACAAAGCCTTTGTAGACACTCCAGAGCAGTATGTCGCGTTTACGATCAAGTTCTTCCGGCCTCTTGCGCCGCTTAATAGGGGTAGTCTCTTGTCCGGACGGCGCGGTTGGGTTGCGTTTGACATCCTTGATGGAGTCCTTGATGGAGTGTTTTTCGAAATCGGGGGAATCCTTGGTAGCTTTCTCGCCGCCGACGGTTGGCTGTGGAGTTACCAATGCTGCTTGTTGTTCTGGTGTTGCTTTTTTTGCTTTTTTTGCTTTTTTTTGCGTCGACCTTAGCATCGATGATCGATTTTATCAAGGCGCCGATGCACAGCTCCAACACGAAGCCCACAACCGCTGCAGCACTAACCACGGCGCTTCCCTTCCACAAGTACCGCTCGGCCTCGGTCTCGAAAAAGTTTTCCCAAGTCGCGAGGTGAACGCCGCCGTATATGAGTCCCACGGTACATAGGCACGTGCCCTCCCACACAAGATTCGCCCTACCCCTGATGATGCGATGGAATGAGTTACCGAGTTCGCCCACACTCCTCAAGATGTTGTTTTCGCCCGACAGCTGCTGGTATGGGAGAACTCCGAGGCCCGCGCGCGAGGTCACGTACTTGCTGTCCCAATCTCCGCTAGCCCCGCCATCTCCAGAGTGGATTTTTCCCTTCGAGAAAGGATTGGTGGGATTTGGCGTTCCCTCTTTGTCCAGGCTGATTTTCTGTAGCTCTTCGAACTGATGCTTGGTAAGGAAGAATTCAGTCGGGAACTCGATGTCCACAGGCTTGTCCCACCACTAAGGTGTTTGTCAGCTAGAGCCGCTTTAAATGCTGTGAATCTATCACAGTTCTCGGATAGTAACGTACCGTGAGGTACATCGTTCCGGCACATACAGCGTGCAAGACGGTGTGGAGCTCGAGTAAGGTGACGGATTGGTTCGCGGCCACTCGTCCGATCGCCTGAATTATCATCCAGAAAGCCTGGAAACACACCAGGACCTTTGCCAGAGCGTTGGCCTTGGACTTGTCCCTCACAAAATTTGCGGACACATTGGGGAGCCATCCCTGCTCCGCCATCCAGATGACACCGTGAGGGGTGAGTGTGCCGGCCGACTGGCGAGTGTTTGCATTCATAACATACCATGGGCATTTCTTCGTATTGCCATGCGTCATATTCGACAGGAATCCGATCTGGCATTTACAGCCTTGAGGGGATGTATCGTAATCACACACCGCGCCTGAGCCTATCACTGGGGTGCCTGTCACCGGGGTGCTGACTACCTTGTTGTTCGGTCGCGATGCCTCCGGTTGGACTTGGTACTGCGGATACCCGCTGGGCTCGGTTCTTGGATCCTCCTGTGGGCCCTCTTGCGCAGGTGCCACCCCTTCCCTGTTGAGATTATCTCCATCGTGGTCGTAGATAATCCTGAATCCTCCCATAATGGCGTAATACGACATTGCTAAGTCTTCCCATTGCTCGAGGGTTAGTTTCTTCGGGTTTTTTCCCTCGTCTGGCGGTACGACTCCGTCAGTCACCATCGGAGGAGCCTTCTGTTGGTGGGAGGGGTCGTCGGTCCTCTGTGGGATCACAACCTGCTGAGATCCTGATTTGCCGATAATTTTCTTCATCTTTATTTGAAGTAGCTTCGCGGTACATCTTTCGAAAGCGGCCACCGACAGCGTGGCTTCCGGTACGATAAGACTAGTGAGACTCCATCCAACCTTCCTAACTGCTCGTCTGGCCAGATGGTGATCGATCCACTCGATCCATCCAGGCTCCGCGCTGAGCTTGACAGCTGGCTCGATATTGACGTTGACAGTGGTCCCTTCAAGATGGTAAAAGAATCCAAAATAAGCTATTCAGTGCTTGCCAGAGTTGGTGGGAGGGGGGAAGGATCGATCAATGGAAGTATAATTACTCACAGACACATAAGATTAACGTTAGAATGCAGCTCATCAGGATTCCCACAGTACCGCGTCTGTTGGGGTTCGGCACATATCTCCTAAGTCCAGTACTGGTCGGCTCGGGTGCCCCGGTACTTCGGGATGCTCCGGTCGGCTGTACGGTGACCGTTGCTACCGTTACTATAGCGACGAAATCTTCACCCGGCTGCTGTGCTAAAGGCGCACAGTATGCCGTGATCGCGCATAGTGCGAGGAGTAGGAGTAGGATACGAAAAGAGCTGTTGAAGGTAGACATTGCGAATGCTGGGGGTGGTTTGTTTTCTCTCCGTGAACCTATGTAGGTTTGAGTGGGGACCGGTTGGGTTCTGTGGAGTCCGTGATGGTATGGATGGGCCAAGTTCTGGATAATAGTCTGGTAGTGAAGACAGTCTGGGCATACCCGATGATATAGGGCCCTAATCATCACCCCGGCATATTCGAATGGCGACTTGCAGCGCCGAGACCGCCCAGAGAATGCGGGTTCGCGTCGATATCTAGAGGAGCGTCGAGCTTGTCTCCATGACTAACGCACCGCAGTGCCATGCCCATTACCGGAAAGCAGACAGTGGCGGCGAAAGGCACAACAGAATTCGCTGGCAATTTCAGATGTCGTGTCGTGACACACCATCACTCGAGTGTCTGTTATCTGCTGGTCGTTTAAACGATGGAGACCAATGGGCGCAAACGCTGCGGGGGATGAGGTTCACCTGTCGGGTCAGTTGTCGGCTGCGGCGACGCTACTACTACTACTCGAGGGTTAGGACTGGGTGTGATACGTGCGTTCGTAGATTGTCATGGTCGGAAGAATGCAAAAGTATGACGCAAAGAAATCACAGAATTGCCAGCCCGCCCCAGAAGCCACCCGCATGATTTCCAGTGACAGAGAAAGGAAATCGACTCAGCGTGCTGCTCAGCGCCATTTTCTGGGATGGGCGACGACACGGTCACGGCCTGCCACTCGCATGCATGTATGTCTCACCGCGTGAATACCGACTGGTTGATCCTCGTTAGTTATCGGCAGGGCTTATGGCTAACAAACTACCGGACTATGCTTTCGTGTCGATTGCCAGGGTGGGGTGCCAGCTAGTTGGTTGCTTTCCCCGCTGTGCCAGTGAGCAATTGGGAATTCGGCCAAGTCAAATTTTCTCGCTTCGCACAGGTGGATGATGATGATCACTCCGGGTATCTAGCCCCCGGCCGTGCGTAATTCCCAGGTGGGTGCGGGTCAGGGTCCGTTCTACGATACACAGTCGGTATCCGTCGTCGAGACTAGGCGCTATGTCGTGGCTCACCAGAATCCCAATCGGAGTATGGCAGTCAGTAATGACCCTGTACTGTTGGAGTCAGGCTGGGGCGATATCGCTAAAGCTGCTGCCATTGGAGTGGTTCCACTCAGACGGTTCGCGATGAATCGGGCTCTATATGTATATCGACCGATACTCGGATTCACATGACCTTCACTGCGGTGATGGGGTTGTTTGATTCGCGCCCAGCTTCCCCATAACCGTATGGTTAGTGAGGGCAAGGTGACGGATCTCCCCCCTCTACTCGATGTCTTACAGCTGTCCAGCCCAACCGAAAGTTCACTTCCCTACAAGCCCTCAACTGGGTCTATGTATCGACTCGGCCGACCTAATCGAGAGCTGCACCTGCTTCGCTCTCTCGGCACAGCTCAGCGGTGAGGGTTTTTCTAGAAGCACAATCCGTATGATCGTCTCTGAATGGGCTCGACTAGGCGGAACTATTGGAATCTGTGTCATTTGCAATCACTGCTTAGCGCAGAATGCTGAAAGAGGGGCTTTCATGACGTTTGGAGGGCATACCTATTCAGCGATGGCTATCACCGGAAGCTTTGTGCCGGAGCACGTATTCCCCTTCGCTCGGAGTTGTTTGTCAGTGGACATCGGTCAAGCTCCAACGTAGCCCACACATCGTATACGCACGGTCCACCCCGCGAAGATCGGTCTCTTGGCGGCGGCGGCGGTTCCACGTATTACATGGCAATCGCAGTGGAATTGTCGACGGATACATGGAACGCAAAGCCAATAACCTCTTTTACATTTCCTCATATTTATGATGGAGCGGGTAATGATGGTTGGTCGGAGAACAGCCTGATCTGAGGCGGGGATGTATTCGCCAGCGCTGTTCGCTTTATGCGCAACTCGGACTTCCGCCGGGCGTCCCGGTAGCCAGCCAGTAGGTAAGAGGAACTACCCCGGTCGGTTTGCCATCGGTTGTCAGTACATACTGTATAGTGAATGGGGTAAAAAATACGATATTTGACCGTACTGGTACGCAAAAAAGCGTATTCCAGCCCCCCCCTCACTATACAGTACGTATGGCGAGTTTTCTTGTCTAGCCTCGCGGTTAGACTTCTACCGCACCATGAACTCAGGTCGCCCCTCCCCCTTCATCTTTCCCACTAGAGACCATCATTTTATGAGCTTGTACTTACGCCCACCGACACCAGACTAGGTAACAACAGTGCCGCTGTCACCTCAGTCTTCGGCCCTTAGTGGATGCCGGACGCCAAGTTGCTCCGACAAGATGTGGGCGAACCAGCCATTTTTCGCCTTATCTTACTGATAATTAGATCTCGCTGAGGCCGCTGCTCCATTGAAGTCTTTCTTCCAGATGGCTTCGTAATTGTCCGAATCCCGGGACCTGGAGACCGAAAGTACCACGCGCATAGGATGAGTGTTGGAAACTGATGTGCCGTCGATGGCTGGGATGGGGAGGTGCTGGGAGAGGCAGGGCTGCTGTACTATTCGACGTCGTGGCGATCGAAATTCGATGGGGATCATGATACATCACCCTATTCTAGGTATGTACGAACGACACTACTACTTCTTGATGCGCTACCTAGTAGTCTAGTCTGCATGGCCCGGGCTTCTGAGACATTGTGATATCGAATTTCCGCCATGCATTTCATTGCGTTGATACGGCCACTGCGGAATTGCGACTCTTCTTACCTAGATACCAGAGACTGTGTGAAAGGATGAACGCCCAGCTCGAGGCGAGACCACCGCTACATTCCTTGGGAGTCAGACACTGGGCCATCCCATGCTTGTATCCCATGCTGGAGTGCGTGCTCACCAAGTGCATGTTCTCGAAGACGTCAATTGATTTGTCCTTCATTAAACCGACATCACTAGAGTACCTACTCGCTACATTGGAACATAGTAATACGGGGAATGAGATGCCCATGACAACAAAGAAAAAACAATATGCCCTCCGAGTCCTTCGAATCAATCGCCCAAAAAAAACACCGACACCATACCCATACACCCTCCATCCACCTTCGTAGATACGCTATTCGTCGCAGCTATTAAGTAAATCCAAACACGAAAAAAGAAACAGAAAATGAAAGCCACCACACAATTACAGAGAAACAAGTACTAATTCTTCGGCGAACAATCCCTCCAAAGAGACGCAGAGTTGAGGGGCGAGGAAAATCGTCTGTAGTGCAGTCGTGAGTGGATGCTCTGGTAGGGAGGTGCGAGCCAAGGAATTCTTACATCACATAGGGTCACATGGTTAAATCCTTCAGCACATCACCAAAGGTCAGATTCACTTCCTCCCACTGGTGCGTCATCCTAATCTCGTACGCGGGGGTATTTTCATCCGTCTTCCAGAACATCAGCTTCGACCAGAATGAGCGCGGCGTTGTTTGTGCAACGCTTGCAGCGCCTTGCTTTTCGTTCGGAGATGATGGCAGATTAGTGTTCTGGATCTTGACGAGCTTCGGCTGTACGAAGGGCGACCTGTGCTCGGCTTCCGATGAGCCGCCAGGATCCGGAAGAGCCTTGACGAACGGCGTCATCGAAGTTCTGCCTGACCATCGGGGTTCTCCTTCGTTCGCCAACACCTCGTCCAGGTATCGGTAGAGCTGCGATGCCTGGAGTGCAATGGCACGGAGATTGTGCCGAGATTTGGCGCCATCGTTCCTGGCCTTCGCACGGGAGTAATCCATCTTTCCACGGATGAGCACGATGATCCAGAGCAAGGCGCACACACACGGCGTGATGGTCAGCGTCAGGACCGACATTGCCGCCACGTCGTGACTCTCGACGATAAAATCCGCGTTGTCATACGGCACCTGTCCATTGTCGTCCGCCGCCACATTCCTTACCTCCGCCTGGCTAGCGAGGGAGCTGTAGAGCATGACCAGATTGCGGACGACCTCACGCGACGACACGAAGCTGATCTGGACGAGCCGTTCCAGATCCCTGGTGGTGTTGGAGTAATGCGCGTTGAAGTTGCGCCTGTTGGCGTTGGTATACAGCGACGACTGGAGACGCGCGAAGCCGAGATTGTTTCCGATCTGGATCAATGGAGGGGAACCGAACTCGCGTGCGAACACGATGTCGCGCAGGAATGGAGACAGCTGCAACCCCGGAAGGTCCTTGAGATCTTCCACGAAATAGACCGAGTTGGCGCCGAGCGACCAGGTGTCGTTCTGCCAGCATTGGAGCGCCGGCCGGCCACGCCGCACGCGATACGGCGATATCTCCACGACCTGGTTCGTGCCGTTCGGCGGGATGTAATCTGGATTGTCCTCGGTCATGTACCAGATATCGTCGGTATTCTCCAGGTTGGTTGAGCGGTAGACGGTGTTTGGAACCATGGCAAACTCGTAGCCGTGGTCCGCAGCCCTGCTCAGGTTCAATCCGTTGGGGTGCGGAAACGTGTTGACCCATCCTGGAATCCCGTTTGCACCGTCGGCGAGCGTGGTGGCGTCGTCGTAGCCGCGTATTCCGAAAAGTGGATAGACGTCGAATCTCGGTAGTGTTGTATTGAGCCAGTCGTATCGGGTGCGGCATTGTCCGGTGACCGAATATTTCAGGTTCGGAGCCCGCTGCAACCCCATGTCCTCGCCGGTAATGGCATAGCTCCACTGGAACGACAAAGACGGTCCGTCGGTGGTGTTGGCGATATCGGATGAAATGTGGACTACTTCTTGGACTCTTGATTGCGAGGCGGCGACTCTTCCGAGGGCTTGGAAAGCTGCACCAGCCCTGACTGGCTGAACAGTCACCCACTGGTCCGAACTTTCACGTGATGATGCGAGGTCGGGATAGAACATCACATTCGGGTTTGCTCTTGCTGCACGTCTAACGATGAGCTGGTTTCCGCTGACGAGGAACTTGGCCGCTGCGCTGCCTCCGATCATCAAGAGGGATACGGCCACGAGGCAGAGCCCGGAGCGAACAGTCGGCCAGTCGACCGCCCACTTGGATCCTCGGCGACAATTGAAGAGCGCCTGGCGGATATAGTTTATGGTCTGCGTGACGGCCGTGGTGGGGGAGTTGGCGTTGTAGAAGGACACCAGCATGACATACTGATTTCCTCTACTTCCGAGCGGAAAGTTCGCGAGCGCCATGCTGGTGGTCAACTTCGCAAGCGCGACGAAGATCATGCTGACCAGAATAGCATAGGCGACGATCCAGTTTGTGGCTTCTTGACTGCTGACCGCGATAACTCTCGTCATCCGGCCGTCTGGCGCTGGCCGAGCTATTAGGAATGTTGAAAGTCGATCGGTAAGGAATGCCTGGCCGGCCGGTTCGACGTAGAAATCCATCGTTGTGATATTCCGAGGTGAGAACGCCGAGGATATGGCCCGAAAGGTGGTGGTGATGGTGGTACTCTTCGGCTTGCTGGCATGTTAATAATGAAACCTCCTCCTATTCTCCCCGGAAACAAGCACAGAGTGGATGGTGGCTTACAGGTGTGAGGAAAGATGAGATGCGGCGGCGTCGAGAAACCGGAGCGAAAGGAAAAAGGTTGTTACACCTTAATCTTCTGTACGGTACGATTCCCAAAATACGGGGCACAATGCAGGTCTCCACTAATATACCAGTAGATGCGTACTGCGGATGGGTGATCCTTCAAGATAGACAGGCGTCGGCCTAATGCTAGCCCCAATTTCTCGGCGAGTATTGTTATTACTACTATAATATAGCTAGAGCAATAGGCAACGGTGATCTCGTCGTCTGGAGCTGCTACAGCAATGCCAGGAAGCACCCCAGCACGATCAGCGTTGTGGCGGAATCAGCTCTCCCAAGGCCGGTGCTAGGCCTGAGGCTCAGCCGCACGCATGTGCTCGTTTCTTTCCCAGCGGTATGTAGGACTCTCGAGTCTCTACCTGAAGGCTGAAGACTCATTGGAAGATGCTGGACATACGAGGTTGATTGCATATTTTACATTGGAAACCCCGCCTGGTATGTATGCATGTCTCGGAAAAGCCAGCTCAGTGCTCGCCGTATCCATTCCACAATCTACGGAAAGAGGTATTAGTAACTACTTGGACAAACTTGTCGCTGCGATAAAATTCCCCATACACCTTTCGCACAGCCGGTACTACCCGTACAGGTAGCAGCTCGGACTTTCGCACAGCCGGTATTGACTAGGTACTCCGATACCGGTAGTAGCACCATACTGCGTGAGCCTTGCTGTGGTTGGAGCTGCGATCATCGAGCACACCGCCCCAGCATGACCTTAGAATTCCTTCAAATTGAAAGCGCATGCCACAACGTAGCCGATTACTGGGTGGACAGGCAGCTACTAGGTTTCGGAGCTGCCTGCATATGACCAGCTGCACTGCAATTGGGCAGCCAATAACCCACCCGCAAACGCTGCAGTTTCCCCCACCTCCCATTCGCCCCCATGCACGAGCTTGAATAATAGATGGGCTAATATCTATAATTCCGCCAACTATTTCTTCCTCCTCCTCCTCCGGTTCTCCCCCGGCCCTCAGCCGTACTGTGCTTTCAAATGCAGACTGAAATTGTGAGCGATTTGTTGGACCTCTCGGACCTCTCGGACCTATCCTCGAACGAACTGTGAGGCTCATGAATGAATGAGACATACGTGGGTATTCAAGGCGAGGCTCCGTCGAGTCGGGTCTTTCCGTGTTTGGTGAACTGAACTGGAGGGCTGGCGAAGACGATTTCTGAGCCCATCTGGTCGAGTCGAGTCAGCCGCGCGGCGCCGATGCCACCTACCCTAGCCCACTGGAATCTGTATGCTGAAGAACGTTCTCAGCTGCAGTGACATGTCTTACAGCACTGCACTCGTTGTCTTGGAAGTCATCTTGTACGTACGAACAGAAACGGAGATGCCGCTCGGGAGATTGTAGGTCCCTACTATGGATCCTATGGAGCTCCAAGTAGCCAGAAATACCGGCTATGACGTTGGTCGACTGGTACCACGCAGCGTTGAGCAATGTACCGAGAATCGACTCGTACTGTCACTGACATACGGATTGGTTTCGATGCGATGCATGAACGTACGGCTGATGTCCGGCGGCCTGGCGGCCAGGCGGAGGCTAGCTACTACTTAATAGTTGCAGTATTCCCTTTCGTCGTTGAACTCAGCATTCAATTCCTGTTACAAGACAAGAAGTGGTTGCCCTGAAGTTGAAACTGTAGTGTTGTCTCACACTATATACTACCCACTCGCATTCTACTGATTCCCCGGTCCGTCCGTCATATCTTTTCCCATCGATCGAATTGAGCATTCAAGATGAAGATCACATCCCTCTTCGTTTCCGCTGCCTGCTTCTCTCTACCTCTCGTCTACGGCCAACCACTCATCGACGTCCTTGTCACCCGGGGATTCACCGAGTACGCCGCGAACCTCCAGGCGTACCCGGCGCTGCTGGCTCGGCTCCAGGACCGCAACGACATCACAGTGTGGGCGGTTCCGAACAAATATGTGACATCGCCCGATTCCGCTACTTCGAGCCCACGCCTTGTCCGACGCCAATCGGAAGTGGAAGTCAGCGCGAGCATCAGCCACGACGGCAAGCCGCCAACCAGCGGCATTTCCAAGCGGCAGGCTGGCGGGAATGCTGCCAGCAACTTCATGACCCTGCGGACATTCCTTGAGGACCCCACCTTCGTTAACTTGGGTCCCGGACAACCCGGCAGATACGTCCGTAGCTACACCGACTCGCCGCCAGGATCGGACCAGGCAAATATCCAGATCACGACGGGATTGGGCACGGTCATCACGCAGTTCTCGGGCCCGTTCAAGTACGACAAGGGCCTGATCTACGGAGTCACCAAGTGAGCCCCCACCCCAACCTCCAATGCCCGATCCGGAGTCTTCCCAAGTTAGTTAGCTGACAGCAGTGGCAAAAAAATAAAGTTTCCCCACCCTGCCACGCCCACTGCCCGAGACGCTGCAAACGCTTGGTCTGGACACGTTCCACGCGGCGATCACCGCAGCGGGGCGGGAGGACAAGCTCGACAACACACCTGGCGTGACCATTTTCGCGCCAGCGAACAGTTCTTTGCACGGCGACGACACGATCGACGTGGATGCGCACACCATCAGCGACGGCTTCTTTTTCCTCCCCGAGCTATTCGACCAGAGCCCGCACCGGAGCGACGCCGGCACCACGCTGACCATGACATTCTCCGAAGGGTCGTTCTACGTCAACGGTGTCCGAATCATCAAGTCCGACATCTCTATCAAGAATGGTGTCGTGCATGTCATCGAGAAGGTACGTTTTGTTTTCCCGTCCGGATTAGTACATAGACTAATGGCTGCGCGTTACAGCCGCTGGATTACTGCGGCGAAGGAAAGGATGATAAGAAGAAGGTGGAGTACAAGGCTCCCGCCGCGCCCACGCCGGTCAAGGAGAAGGAGCATAAACCCGAGCCGACCAAACATCACTACAAGCCTCGCGGTGCCGTCAGGATTTAAGGAGGGAAGGGAATGTAATGATACGGCAAGACCGAGTGAATGGGTCGCTAATGGTTATGGATGACGATTTTTTGGATGATTACGGATTTACGGGTTGACGGGTTCGGGTTGACGGGTGTGGAATCTGGATGCATTAATTATATGGCTCTCTCTCACATGTTCAAGTGCGCGTTACCTGTGCCAGATGAATATCTGCTCTATTGTAACCATTAACTTACACACATCTTGAGATTTCTTCACAGTTCAAACCCCAAACTGTCAAAAAAAAAAGTAGTGAATGTTACATGTCACGGTACGACAGCTGTTGCCTTAGAGCCGTGTTCCGGTGTCGACGCGGTTCGCCTAGACGACAGGCTACTCCCCGTTCCCCCCGCCTGTCCAGTCAACGGGAACCCTAATCCCAGCGCCGATCCGCGGCACTAATAGTCATCGCGGCCGAACCCTCGCCAACCAGAAGCGCGCCGTAAGCATGACGGCCAAAGTGAGACATGCTGCACTAGAGTAGAAGCACAGACCAGGAGGGGCAAGTGCCAGACTGCCAGTACTCCACATCTGTACATGACTACCCGCCGGTAAGTAGTACACTGTAAACACCACTGGTTGATGGTGCTCATTCGTGATGACATGCAGCCCCGCACAGCGCATTCTAGTGTTTGATATGTACTGTGGGTAATAGGTAATAAGGTTGCTGCTCGCAATTGCCAACTGTCACTGTCACCCACCCACCCGAACGGGTAAAATTTAGTTACAGCTCAGTAGTTGCTCTACAAGGCGGGCTGGATGTGCTCCTACAAACACCGGCGCGCACTCACTCTACAATTGGAACCAGCCAATCGAAACCCTGAAACCCAAGCGACAGCCACTCTCATAAACGCCGTCGACTGTGCGGTCTCCTTTCCGCATGTGTTCGTAGAATGCGATGACTCTGGAACCAGTACCAAGCATTCCCCTCGTATTCCATAGCACCGTAACAACAGTGCTAGAAGAGTAGTCAGTGGTATGGACGATGAATGCTCGATCCACCACTGCCACTCGTTGACCGCCTCGGTGTGCGCTGCAATGCGCTGCAAGAATCCGCATCCGGCGAGGGAGCCAAAGAAGGGCTTTTTTACTTTTTTATTAGATAAATATTTATCCACGGCGACAGTCGAGATGAACATTTCCACTCCTAATCCTACAGAATTCATCCCGTCGAGCCGCGCGCTCCGGCGTCGGACCCAACCACGCCCAACCACGGCCGTCTCTCGAGTTCGTATTTCGATTCGAATCTTCGATTTCGGAGCCGAGAAGAGGAGTGAATCCCCTCTACATACTTCAGCGTATTGGTTGGGTAATCCTGTATTAGGTAATTACATACCCAGGTGCTGGTGGACGCCTGCTGCCTGCCTGATATACATCTGCGGCTGTGAGACATTGAGACAGCGACGCTCGACGCTCAACGCTCGTCGGTTGAGTTCCTCTCCCCTCCCCTCCCAATCCTCCCAACCAGAGACCGATCACTGGCAGGCATTCACAATCCTTCAGCTGAGCTCCCCCACTGCCAAGCAGACTGAAAAGGGTCGGATACTAGGTACCGATGTATGTATGTAGGTTACAGGTACCTAGTCAACAGCGGTGCGAGCCGTGCTCGGCTGAACTCTGACACGTCCGTCCCTTAAACCTTTCATTAAGGCTTAAGCGCCCCGAAATCCCTCCGAAATCCCTTGCATTTTTCTTGCACCGTCACCTCGACGGTGCACAAATTGGTCGCATGGATAGTAACTACCCCCGACGGCGGTGTGACGAGTGCGCACTTGTGCTTTTAGCGATCGATACGCTGCTACTCCCGCACGGAGGGGGCTGGATTACGTACTTGTACAACAGGAGGTGGATGGGCGTGGATCTGCGTCCGTCTGTTAGAACTTCAAAATATCTAAGACTTCCGGCTGGTCCAATGATGGACACACTCGAGGATCGCTCAGCGCTCACCGTCACCCGTGGTCACTGGTCAGGACGTCGTGCCAAGTCGTGCCATTGCCCAGTGCCCGCCAATGATGATCCGCACATTGGACGATAGCGCGACGAAACGATATCACACTCAGCCGGCAGATCCCGTGCGATATCAATGCACAGAAAGAGGGAAATCGATCGTTTGGAATCTGACGGAGCCCCGGCCCTAACTAGATACAGAGTGGCTTTGGGAAATGACCGACGGCTTCAAGCTTGCCCCTCACATGTGTGAAAAGTTCTTTTTCTTTTCTTTTTCTTTCTATCTTTCTTTCTTTTTGGTTCTCACCATCTGCATATCTGCATACGGTATTCGACCGTGCCGATGCTAACCATCCAGGAACTACTCGTGACTAACGGGTGATACGTCCATATCCGTGTGCACGTGTGTAACTATCACTAGTATGCTAAAGTACTACGTCAAAAGTTATCGCCAGGGGGCCGTTTTACACCAAAAATGGCCACTTTCACACAACCAAAACTCATCCTTCCTCTGACGGAAAAATATTGTGTCTTTCACAGACGCCGTAAAATCATAAGCCCTCTCATATGTAAAACATTTGACCGCTTTTAGTCAAGATTGGTGGCTTTCAATGGGGGTTTGTACATGACGTGAACGGTGAATTCGCATTTTGCATGGGGCTCCCATACAAAAAGTTGCATGACAACCAGCGTCAACCATACATTTTTCTCCTGGGCCGCATTGCTCAACCACAACTGCTTATATGTGCAAGCCAGTTTCTTAAGAGATCATCTAGGCAGTTAAAAGGGACTTCCAATTGCCCAATATTTTTTAAAGTGTGTTTGGGATGCAGAACCTGTGGTTGAAAATAGATAGCCTTTTGACAATGGGACTTGAGTTAGCCGCATAACTTCACATAAAATATTGATTTTTTTTGGCTAAAAATTTTGTCGAAGCTAGATATCTATCTAATCATCCTCTATGAAAACTTTTATTGCTTTTTGTTGTGTGGTTGTGGTGTTCGAGAGGTCTACATGTGTGGTATGGCTGTCTCATAGGGGCGAGTGGCGATAACTTTTGACCTGGTATTTACATCCCCTCCTTCGCCCGACTACCACAACCACCATGACCACCATCCTGCGTTCGACCCGATTAAGAGCACGCCGTATACGACACGTACCGTAGACACCAATTATAATTCGTAGTCGTCGCGGAGGTTGCGGAGGTTGGGTGGTTGGTTGGTGGGGCACACACCGACCGACTGGTATACCGGTATAATGTGTATGTAGGTATGTCGGCGTCGGATCCCGGAGGCCGCTAGCGGAAGATGTAGCATGTGAGGAGCCCGAGTGGGGAGCTCAGGGAGCGGGAAGAGAAGAGGAGAAGGAGGCCGCTGGGCCACTCCCGTGGTTCCTCCGCACACCCTCCCTCCTTCATGGGCCATGGCATCTCCCGATGAAGAGGTAGGTAGGTGGCAAGGCGGAGTGAGGACTGTGGAGCGGACTTTGCTTTTTCCTGGAGGGAAGCTTATTTCTTCGGGAAAGGCCAGGTAGAGGGCGGGGGAAGCTACATCCGGATGCTTGACGATAGGTGAGTTGGACTCGGTGGACGTGGAAAGGGTGTGTCCATATCGCCATCGAATACGGAGCTAATGTACGATATCAGATATCTGTATGGAGATTGCCATGATGGACGATGGGACAATGGGTGTCCATGTTCTGGTTCTGTACCAGCAGCCAATTAGATAATGTGCGAAATCGCACTTATGTGCACACACGCAAGGCGGATCTAGAAATTTGTGATATACAGCCATGAGCAATGAGCAGCGAGCACTGGGCAGTGATCAATGGGAAATCGAGCAATGAGCAGTTAGGTATGCAACGGAATTACACGCCCTCCTACGTCTGGCCAAAGACCACCAACAGCGAACCAATACAGCGACAATTGGACGTTGTACTTGGTTTCAGCTCAGGTACTCTACATACCAGCTGCAGCCGCCCACCGCCTGACATTTGGTGTGCTCGGAGGGATCGGGGGCTTGGAGGCCCTTCTGTTCTGGACGTCTGCCACCAGTGCTGTTTGGGAGGCTTGCAAGTGGGACCATATATATTCTGCCTTCTCTCATGCCACCGCCATAACGCACGCATCTAGAGTATCAAACACTTAGCCCAACGTTATCCCGTGGGTTCCACCAACGCCGTTTACCGGGCCCTCACTGAATCCCCCGCCTTCATAGTTCGTAACGATGTCTACTTTCCGTCCCCTCCGTATCCTCTTCCTCCTCCTCGTTCTATGTGCGATCGCAGCCTACAGCGTGCCTCTAGCACAAGACGGGGAGAACTTCGTTCTCACGGTGACGGCCGCAACCGTCACCGTAAGACCCTCAACCGCCACGCGGGCGCCGCAGCCAGCTTCAACGGCGCATCAACAGTCGGACCTGGAGGAGAACATCGTGAAGTATGTGGCCAATCCCAGAAGACGCGGTACGGTGGGGATTATCATGAGCTGCATCTTGACGCTGTTCTTGTGCGTGTGTGAGTACCACTATCCATCTACCCTATTCGGTCGTGCAGTGCGCAAAGCAAGAAACGCTGATACTGGCTTGTTCCGCTGGCCTAGGGACCACCATCGCCGTCAACATCGAGCCGCCGATCCACGTGCGCAAAGGCGCGCACTGGATCGCAAAGCTCGACCAACTTTGTGCGAAGCGCAACGTGCGGAAGATCGGCTGGAGCCTGACCAGCCTGATGTTTCCGGAAATGGCGATGTCGGTCGCCGCATTTGAGCGGCGCACCGCGCTGCTGCTGCAGGTGCATTTGAGGGAGATTTTCGATCCCATGTGGAAGGAGAAGCTGAGGCGCAAGGAGGTCAACCTCACGCCTGAAGGAGAGGAACCGCCAAACCCCTGGAAAGAGCTGTCGCTCTCGTATTTCGCCGTTATGGGCGGGTTCCGCGTCGTATATAGCAAGAACCGTCAGCACGCGGCCGGCGTGGCGCCCGCCCAGGAGGGCCAGCAGGAAGTGTCCAAATTGTCGGCCTTTGACTATGAGGAGGGTTCGCCATCCGGTGCCGTAAGACCAGGCTCCGAGACCCCCGACCGCAAAGATTTCACCGAGACCTCGTTAGTCTCGCAGCCATCAGTGAATGATCCCGAGTTGGCGGAATCGGGCCCACGGCGGGAGCCCGCCGGATTTGTGCAAGGACTCTTCTCCGGCACCCACCCGTACGACTGGTCTCAGGTGGATCCCGTGACCGATGAAGCCGGCGGTACGCTTACGCCTCATGGTGTGCTCTGGATAGCAAGGAAGGGATGGCTACCCGTCGATGCGATCTCCCCGGAGTTCGTGAAGGATAAGTCCAAGGTCAACGCCCTGGCAAAGGTTCTGGTGTGCCTCCAGGCCGGATGGATGATAATCCAGGCGCTTGGGAGGTTGGCGGCAGGACAGGAGGTCACCTTGATCGAGCTGCACACTGTCTTGCACGCTTTATGTGCCGGCACGATGTATATCACTGTATGTTGCTCCAGGCGAACGCGACATGTTCGCACGCAGCACCCGAAGCCTTTGCTAACACGCTCCGCAGTGGTTCAGCAAGCCAGTCGACATCGACCTCCCCATCGAAATCTACCTCACCGACCAACAATTCGCAGAGCTGAAGAACGCGGGCTCGGAGCCAAACCCGACCAATCCCTTCTCGAGGGGCAAGCTCTTCCCACGGAAGGGGATTCCCGCCGCCGCTGGTGAGGAGGACAAAAAGTACGTGACGTCGCGCGCCGGGCTTGGCAAGCTGATGTACCAGCAACTGTCGAAGGGGAAGAACATATTCGTGAGCATTACGGACCTGGGCGATGCGTTTGGGCGCATTATCAGTGGCCGCGCGAACCTGGTCTGGGAGGGCACTTGTGTGTGCACCGTGGGCCTCATCTATGGCGGCGTGCATCTCGCCACCTGGAATAATCACTTCGAGACCGAGTTCGAGAAGGTCGCGTGGAAGGCTTGTTCTGTCATCACCGCGGTCGCAATTCTCGGCTTCGTGCTCGAACTGTGCATCGGCGCGCTGATAAAGTTCATCGAGTGGGAAACTATCGGAGAAGGAGGGACGGCCGATGCCGTGAAGACGCCCACCGGGGTCGAAGAGACACCTGCCGCCGCTGATGTCCACCCATTTCCCGCCGAAGTCGAAAAGACGCCCGCGACACATATCACCGCCGCGCCGGCGGCCGGCCCCGTGCCATCGAGCAAACCCCGAAAGACTATGACCAATAGTTCAAGGCCGGGAAAGGCGCCTCGCCCAGTGAAAAAGTTTGGGAAAAAACGCGACAAACTGTACTGGACTATTTACAAGCTCATCGTCGGGTCGACATCTTTCTTGGGGTTCATCGTGCTCATCTTTGCCAGGTGCTTCCTCTTAGTCGAGTCGTTCATTGCCCTTAGGGGACAGCCTGACGGCGTCTACAACACCGTCAACTGGGTCGAGTCGATACCACATCTGTCATGAGGGAGGAATGAAGATCCGCCCACCTGGGGGTTGGAAGTTGAAGGTTATGCTTGTTGGATGGAGGGTCCGGATATCAGACTGGATTGTGATTGGTTTTATGTTTTACCACACGCGATCATGTTTTCATTTGACTTTGACGGAGGGTTAGTTATTGTTGTGATGATAATTAGTAAACGCATAGCATTCTAATTTAATGAAATATCTGGAATGCTCTATTTAGATCAGCTTTGTATCGTCCCGTAAGGCTGCAGTCAATCTGGTCGTGGTTGGCGGACGGGCCAAGGTAGTTGGGCAGAACCTTGATGACAGCAGTGATCGTTCATCACCGTGGAACTTACCGAAACGTCTACGGGCTCCACATGATTGCCGATGCCGTTGAAGCTCATGCTCAGGAAAACGTCGGACATTACAGTGGGCCATCCGATACATAGTTTTGTACGCGATCCCGGCGACGGAGTCACGAAGCAGTGAGAACCGACTAGGCCCCACCCCGGGCCGGACGGTAACAAGTGCCAGGTCAAAACGTATCGCCACTAGCCCCCTACGAGACCACCACACCACACCTGTAAACTTCTCGAACACAACCACACAATAGAAAGTCATACCAGACTGCATACATGATGATTAGACATGTACACATCCACTTTCGACAAAATTTCCAGGCAAAATAAATCAATATTTTATGTGAAGTTGTGCGGCTAACCCAAGTCCTAATGGATCAAGGCTATCCATTTTCAACCACGGATTCTGCATCCCAAACACACTTTAAAAAATCTTGGGCAATTGGAAGTTCTTTCTAACCGCGTAGGTGATCTTATAAGAAACTGGCTGGCAAATATAGTATTATCATCGCAATAATTTTACTAACAATTTGCTTGCGTTTAATAACTGTCTAATGGCCAATTTGTCTCCAGTCGCGCGTTGTGAACAGCGCAGACCAGACGAGTGGAATTTGCGCTTGAGTCATAAACGTTACTGACTCGCTGTGCGCACGTTTTGTGGCTTGTCATTAAGATGGATTGACTCGTCACTAAAATAAATTGATACGCTACTAAATTGGATTGACTCTTCACTGAAATACCAACCAAAATTTTACCTTCCAACGGTGGAACACATAACCCACGAAAAAATCGTTATAATAGTTGGGAAAGCAGCACCATAGAGAACTCCAGTGCTTCAATGAAATAGAAAAGCATCCTCTTTTTCTCTATCGAACTCTCTTTGCCCAGTCGACTGCTTCAAAAAACTTGGTTTTGTACGCAGAATTAGAGTGGCGGTGCAGCGGGAATCGCGTACCGACGAGGGCACCCTTTTAGCTCAACCGCGGGCATTCTATGACAAAGTACTATCTATCTAGGTCAAAAGTTTTCGTACAGGGACCGTTTTACACCAAAAATGCCTATTTTCAAGTAACCAAAACCCATCCTTCACTTAGCGGAAAACATTCGAGTCTTTCATAGAAGCTTTGGAATCGCAAGATCCATCACTTCTAAGAAGTCTGACGACTTTTGCTTCGGATTGGTGGTGCACGGTATGGTGTTGTGCACGGGTTGGACAGTGATTTCAGATTTTGTATGGGGCCCTCATACAAAATTATTGCCTGACAACCAGTTTCAACACCACCTTTTCTCCCATACGGTAATACTCAACCACAACTAGTTAAAATTATATGCCGATTTCAATTGAGGTTCTCTACCTATTTTAGAGGACCTTCTAATGGCCCACATATTTTTATTCTACCTTATGGTTGCTGTATCAATGGCTGGAAATGGCCTGCCTTGGTGAAAGGGAAATCCGTTTAGCCATTCTACTTCGCATAATATAATCAGCCTAGCGAGCTAGAAATCTCATTGAAGCTTTATTAGTATATACCTAATCCATCATATATGCCAGTTATGAGTACTTTCTAAAATTTGGTTGTTGTGTTAGAGAGATATATGTGTGTGTGGTGTGGTGGCGCTGTTGGGGAGGGTGTACATTTTGACCTGCTACTTTATCTTTGCTCTAATCCGAACCGAACTGAACGAAGCGCAGCCTTATCCGGACATGCTTCTGCGTGAGGAACGACTACTTGCACCAGAATTTCCCCTAAACTCGGCGGCTTTTCGGAGGGGATTGTTCGCCGTGGGAGGAACGGTAATCTCCCTGCTCTTTCCGTTCTTTTTCAGTTCGCGGAGCAACCAATGGCTGCAAAGAGTGAGATATAAAGGACTGGATGTATTGGTGATTTCTTCTGTGCGGCGGGCTGGTTCGGAGGATGCAGAAATACGTTGGTACGGTCGTGACTCGTGCCAGACTGCCAGTGCTGTTCAACGGAGTACGGTAGCCGAGTCAAGCGATGTGCTTCTACTATAAGGCAGCAGTAGGCTCAGCATGGTCTCACATGGAGTGGGCATGCGGCCGTACCGTATCGATGCATGCACACATCAATATCGCAAGCGATATATATCATGGGTAACTATCAAAGATGGCTGGTGATCACTGCTAGGTACCTAGTTAGCTGCCAGTAGTATGATAGGGCCAGTGATCCAAGAAGCCGCAACCAAGTATGTACATAGGTACATTCCCGTACATACTCGGGAAGGCGTGAAGATCCACCGGAGGATCCAGTGATTTCTACTACCCTTGGAATTTGATTTGTTCGGAGCGGGCAGTGGTGTGGCCGGTAAGATCACTCCAAGGCAACGCAGGGCAAAGCTTCACTCTCATAACTAGTACATACTAGTACATACTAGTTACCGGTTCGCACATCGGGTGTCGGAACAAGCCTGGCCATCTTCCACCGAGGGCTGAGGTGACAGCGGCAGTGTTGCCTACTGCGGAGTAGCCCGCGGGCATCGGTGGTGGAAAAAGCAAAACAACCACCGACGCCTAGCAGGTAGTTATGTAAGTTGTAGCCAGAGGGCATCGATATGTAAGACACGACGGTAACTATCTTATCGATTGGTCGGTCGCAGACTCGCAGGCACGTACGTACGGGCAGTGTTCCGAACCGGGCATTAAGCGAGCGAGCGAGCGGCTCTGGCGAATGCGCGCTCAGCTCAGCTCCGCCCGGGATGAATCCTTGTTCTCATATGCGGCCCCCAGGCCCAAGGGAGACAAAAGATGGGCGACTACATACCAACTCTGCGAATCATCGGCATCTCCACAAACGATGCAAGTTGCAACCCCGCTTTCTGCGGCCGGTATTTGGAATTGCTTCGGCTTGGAAGTCACTTGGCGGGGAGCGCTCGAGCGGGGTAATTGCATGATGCGGTTCGGCACAGTGTTTCTGGGGATGTGCCGTAGTACCTAGGTGGCGGTGGAAATCATCATGCGAAATTACGTTCTTGAAATTAATCGACGCACGATCCACAGCCGACCGCCAGAGCGCCGAGAGCAAAGGATAATGCGTGTGAGATACCGCCGGGCATCCCGGTTGGAACGGCGCAAACGTCAGTATTCAACTCGCAATATCGCACCGGACAGAGGACGCCGCGAATACGAACCGAACGGCGGCATCGGGGCGATGGTGCAGGCAGGGCTCACGACCAGGCTGACGCCCAGATCTCTCTGACACTGCTACTGATCCCCAGATCTACTGCGCACATATAGTTTCGAGTGCGCTGGGATATCGCCAATCAATCGTCGGCACGCAGCTGGAAGATATTTACATACCCCTCCCTGAAAATCGCTATGCAAAGAGTATCCCACCTGCATCTGACCGGTACGCTAGCTGCTCACGGTAGGTCGCTACAAACCCCGACCGGCCAGTTACATACGGCCATTGATAAATATTGAGCGACCACGTTCTGAGACATGCATACCTGCGATGGCTTGTAGGTTACCTATTGGTGATTTGTGGGGGGTTCGAAAGCACCTCCTCTGGGCAGATCAGCAGTGCTCTTCGGTCGTCGGTCGTCGGATCGCTTTTGTGAACAGCAGCTTGGCGAATACGGGTGGTTGGAGCGGTGGAATGCTCTGGGTTGATCGGTCACTCAGAGGCGGACGGACGGCGCAAGTGCCTTCATCCGTTATCAATACCGCCCCACCGCTCAGGAGCGAGTGATGGCGAAGCAAAACCGCTGGGCATGCTGCGAGGTCGTTTGCAGTCATTAGATGATTACCTCCGAGTTTTCATGTATCATGGTATCCTCGTGTGCAGTCATTGGACGACTGTCTCGTTTTCAACTTGGACTTATCATCGTGTGGTCGAGAGTCGAGACACGACTTGCAGCAAGCCAGCAAATACATACAGTGACAGTGTGTGGTTGCGCTTCTAGGGTTTTCTCAGCTACCAGCTGCAGTCCAACACTCGCAATGATTCATCTGGTCCATCATTACGGATGAACTTTTCTAGATGAGTGACAGGTCTGTGGCTGCCCGCAGCCCGCCCAGTAGTTGCTTGCGATTAGGACTAGCGGTCGTGCGGAGGCGTGGAACGCAACAGTTTACGGTGGACAGTTGACTACCGTCCCTCCGGTCCGAGAACTTGAGTCTTGACGGGGGTTGATATAGTGGCCTTTTTAGTTATCTGCTAAAGCTGAGACCGCGAGCGACTTACCATCCAGATTATATTCGACTGCCGTCACTTGGACAGTCGGGAAACGAGTGCAAAGCTCTTCTACATACCTACTAGATCGTACAACCCATGTCTAGGCGATCGTGATAACATCAATGAACCGCATATCATTTATCATATTCACATTGCTTTGCCATCCCTTAGTCATCGATCACTCCTCTACTTTGGCCTCTGGGGGCCCATCTACTAGGTAGTATATCCGCCGCCCTCCAGTGCTGTTCATGTGCCCTCACTCGGGCATTTCTGAGTGACAATAGATGATCTTTACGAGACCCTTCAGCAACTGGAAATCTTTACCCTATCATCACCGTTGCCGGTATCCAGCTCAGTCTACCAGAGCTGGCGTGACCGCAAGCAGCCCATTCGACACCCCATCACCTTTGGGGCGTCAATTCTCGACCGAATGTAGTGGAGGACGCGGCGCCACTCCTTCGACCTAACCGGGTCATCACTACCTGGGGCGCGCCCCGCTCTACAAATACTGTCAGGTAACATACAGTATCAGCCTGTGCCCGCACCGGCTGGTATGTACAGTGCGTGTGACGGTACCGTGAGTACACGGAGCCGCACTTACAGTACAGCACAGAACACGGCGGTACTGCACCTCAACACCCGGCACCGGCCTGCTTCACTATGACGCAGGTACCGCGGCATAAGGTTAATCACAGAGTACTACTTGGTTAAGATTACTCCAGTTTTACCCTTCATTGATCAATCCGTGTCAGACACTCAAACAAATGCTGACTTGAGTCTTGAGATTGCTGATCCATCAAGATCAGATACCACTGTCGTTGGCACTATGGACAGCCAGCACTGGCTCCCACCGGAACCACAGATGGATCGCGGACTTGAATATCTCCTAGCCTAGCTATTAGCTGCCTGATAAGGAGATCGAACGGAGACTCGTCACCAGAATAATAGTACCGATTCCCAAAACCCCCGGTCAATCACTGCATTCGAGAAGAGCGCCATAACAGACGACGCACACCCAGAGAAGGCCATGCAAACGAACAAACACCTAACCCTAACCCATTGAAGAAGCCGACTCCTACAACAGACGCTAAACTGCTTTGGACGATCCACGTGGTACAAGTTTTTTGCGTCATAATCCCAGTTTACATCGGGTTTATCGTTGTCATCTTCACCAGGCTCTTCCTTTTGGTGGAATAGTTCGTTGGATTCAACCAAACGGTAGATGGATTATACTACAGCATCTTGCCAAGAGAGGCGGCTGGCGGTAGGTTGGAGTGAGTTTTCAACTTGTGGGAATCCAAAGTCCAAACACGAGGTCACGATGGTCTTATCTTTTGCCATGTAATTCTTCGTTCGATTTCGATTTCGATCTGGAAGTTTTAATGCTTTCTTTTCCATGCCGTTGTCACATGGTAGAGTGGGTATACGGGCTAAGCTGAATGTGCGGCCGTGCAATAAACGAGAGGTCCGCCGGGAGTATGGGCGATGGATGGGCCCTGCAGTGATGACCTATGGCGGCTCGGTTACAAGTGACCCCCTGTTGTAGGCAGTCACGGACACATGAGCAGTGGTTGCTAGAGAACAGAAACCATATTTCAAAGTTTCTCTAGGAAGAGATACCCACTGCAGTAACTTTCGATTCCTTCCGACAACTCAAACTGCTGCGCCCCGCTGCGCCCCGCTGCGCCGCGGGCACCATCACCGCAGCGGAGGACCGCCGTGCGAAGCCAAAGACAGCGACTGGCCAGGCAGTTCGATTAAACGCCGCATTCTCTCGCGAGGGCGGGGTGATCCAGAAGAAGCCAATCACTCCATCCACTCCATTCTTTCAACTGTGCACACTGCACGAACTCTATATACACAGAATCCCATGCGCGGTACCATGGGCAACCACAAACCCGGAAATCCAGAAACCCGTCATTGCTGCACCGCCCCGTAGTCGTTGTTCCATCTTTTAAGCCGCTTTCCATCTATTGCCCCAAGGCATCATCCGCATGTTGTTGTGTTGGGCTCGAGACTGTGCCATCACCTAGGTACCTACCCAACCCCTCCTTCCTGTACGTCTCGACTGGCATCGTGAAGTCAGAACAGCAGGCTTCACCGCTGCCACTTCCGATAGAGATGAAGACTCCACTCCTCCTCCGCATCCTCTGCGTCCTCGCAACATTCGCATCACCATCCGCCGCCCTCTCCGCCGCCAACAGCAACTCGACCGATCTCGTATCATGCGTATACCCCGTGAGCGGCAGCTACGGCCTGCTCCCGCGCTGCCTCTTCTACGTAACCCTCGTCTTCGCCGTAGTCGGCGCCCACCGCTGGCTCGTCGTCGGCTGCCTACTATCCTCGATGACGACCAGCTCCGTGGGTGCATTCCACGCGATGGTGCTGGGCCACGACGGCAATAACCCGTCCGTCATCGACCTCGACGCACGCGTGCTCCTCGTCCTCTTGTCCACCTGTGTACTGTGCTTCTGCCCACTGATCCAGTGGGCGCCTGCGCTGCGCAACCCCGCGGGCCGACGGATATTCGAGATATGGGGGCTCCTGATATGGGCGGGGGAGATGTGCTGCATCGTGGTGTATCTACTGCAAATTTTAGCCGGAGACTCCGCCGATCAGAAGAGCAGCGAGGTAGCGTGTCGAGGTGCCGACGGACAACTATTACGCACGCCCCTGGACATCGCGGTATCGGGCTCTGACTGCAGCTACGAGTGCTTCAGCCGTGGTTCAGTCCTGCGCGGTTCCTTGGAGGTGCTCGTGGTCCCCATCGCCATGCTCGACGGCGCGCTGCAGAAAAAAGCGCTCATATTCACGACCGCGCTTACGCTGCTGGCGATGGTCGGAATGCCAGTGTACGCAGTTCACGCGCGTAACGCGCTGGTGATAAACTTCCAGAAGATACGGATCCTATCCTCGCTCGGAGAGGACATAAAGGACATCTCGGAGACCAGGCTGAACCACCTCAAGATGGACAAGTCGAAGATCTTTAATCGCATCTGCTTCGCGGCACTCATCGCCGTGATCATCCTCAACGAATATATCTTTGCTACTATGAGCGGCGGCTTGCCGAGCTTCGATCCAATGTTTTCGATCGGCCAGTGGGAGCCGTGGGTGAAGGCTGGCGTCCTCATGGGCGCGGCGTTGGTCAATGGGATAATGGAAGAGTCCGGGGACACCAGGCGGCGGAGGACTAGGAGATCGGGGAATGCCGAGAAAAGTTTGGCTTGATTGGGATCGTTAGTTGAAGCTTAGTGTACGTTCTTCCACTCGAACGGTTGAGAATATATGGGCTGATGAAAGCAGGTCCGTCCGGCGGCTTTAGTTTAGGAGCCTGGAATGGAATGGAAAACAATGACTGAGCTGGAGTACTAGTACTAGTACCAAGTTTGAAGATTCGTGGCTTGCACGCGGCAAATACTCGCGGGCAGCAGCACGAGATTTATTACTGTGTCCCCTGGAGCTACCATGACGGATGGAGGATATTTTACTATGCGAGCCGAGTCCTAAGAAAAAGCCCGAAAACTAGCCGGAGGTTTTTCTTTTCTTTTCTTTTTCTTTTTTCTTCTGTTGTATAGGATGAGGCCCATCTAGGTCATGGCAATCAAGACTCAGAGCATCAGTACTCCCCCTATACATCTACAGTCCAGTCCCGGTAGTCGGGCTCGGTGAAAAACTACCCCCGTCCTGATCAATACGTTGTTTTATGTATTGTACAATACATTCCAACCTAGGTAGGTTGGTAGCGGCAGGCTATGCGGTAAGCGCCGATTACGAACACCAAACGCCCCATTCCGCCCTTCCCCCGGTATCTAACCATCCTCGGTGCCCGGGGCCATGGACCATGGTGCAGCGCTCCCCAAGGCGGCGGGTACCATATGTAAGATCTGCTGACCGGCACGATTTCATGTACCACCGGCCCACCGTGGAAACCTGTGGGGGCCAATAAAATTTCACTTCGATTGCCGGAAGGCATGCTACCATTTTCAATGAAGCTTAGTGTCTTCTATTCACTTTGACGGTGGATTCTGCGGTATCGTTCTCCCGGGCGAGTGATCGCATATGAACGAACTCGTCTCTCTTCGCCGCCGACATGAACTGCCCTAGTGGCTCTAGCAAAGCCATATCCCACTGATGGTGTTCCAAGCAGGGCCTATACTGATGAACGAGACCTTCCAGTAGCCATACGCCGCTGAGGGTGTTCCAAGCAGTACCTAACGACTGAATGGGAGTTTCCAGTAGTCATACGCTTCTGGTAGTGTCCAAACAGTACTGTTACACCGATGAATGAAAGTTTCCAGCAGCTGCGCGCCATCCCCACGCCGCTCAGGGCCAATACCACCCCACACTCAACCGCACATTCACCGCCTCGCAAAAGCTCTAGAACCCACGGCTACCTCAAGTTTCAACCAGTATATTTCTGAATCTAATATATATCTATCATCTACCCCCCCCCCCCCCCCCTCCAGCGACTTACCCCAACATTAACAACACCTCTAAAACCCCTGCGGATTGTACAAAATCCCCATGGGATCGACCTGGGCCTTGATAACCTTCAGTCTCGCGACTCCATCACCCCAGTACCTAACCTGCGCCTCGGCCTGGCCCAGCTCCGGGTCCGCATACGGCGCATAAGCGGGCAGGTCTGCGGCCTCCTCTCCCATCGCGGTAACCATGCCCTCCACGAGCGGGATAATATCGGCATCGAACGGCGGCAGGGAGTTGGCGGTGTACGCGTATAGCTGGAAGACGTAGCCGGCGGTGCGGTGGGCGTAGCTGCTGGTTGAGCTGGGATCGGTCGATGCGGGCAAAGAGTTGATCACGCTGCCCGGGCCGCCGTAGAGGTTCGCGATTATCATCCATTGCGCTGAGCTGGGCGGAACGACGGTGTATAGGTAGGTGAACAGCGCGGTGAGCGCTTCGAAGGAGAGCGGTGCGGATTCGGCGGTGACGATGGATTTCGCGTACTACAACCTGTCAGTCCTTATCACACGAGCGGGAGGGGGAGGGGTGGGTGTGTATACAAAAGTATCATGGGCATCATAACCCCTAGCGGGGGTCGCCAACGCCGCGCCCGCCAGATCCGTCAGCGAGTCGATCCAGCCGAGGGTTTTAACGCTCTTCGTCGGCTCGACACCCCCATGCGCCGTCTTCAACTTCGCCAGAAGCGGTGCAATGAGCGCATCGTACTTCGCCTTCGCGCCGTAGTAGACACCACGGACGATAAACGCATTCCCAGGAAACAGCATGATGCCGTACCCCAGCTCCTTGGGGGCGCTCTGCTGTCCCCACGTCTGCGCGATCTGGAATGCGGTTGCGGCGGCCGCCGGGGTCGGGAACGAGTACGTGTACGACCAGTTGATGTTTACGGCGGGCGCAGCAAAGGTCTTGAGCTTGAAGGAGGTGACCACGGCGAAGCCCGGCCCCGCGCCCCGCAACGCCCAGAATAGCTCCTTGTTTTGAGAAGCGGACGCGGTCACGGCAGTGCCGTTTGCGAGCACGGCGGTCACCGACGAGATCGTGTCCACCGTTAACCCCCAGAGGCGCGAGTCGAGGCCGAAGCCGCCGAGTGTGGCGTGGCCGCCGATTCCTACGCCCTCACAGGTTCCGTGGGGAACGCTGGCGATGTTCAGCAACGGATAGCAAAACGGAAGGGCAGGGAGGTTACGAACCCACGCTTCCCCAGTGAGAAGAGCTTATTGGCCATGTTCCCTAGCCGAACACCGGCTCCGACGGTAGCGATCTTGGTGGTCTGGTCGAGATTCACGGTCTGGAACTCGGCCATGTCGAGTACCAGTGTGCCGCTGAGTCCGTAGGCACCGTAGCTATGGCCGCCGCCTTTGACCGAAACCCGGATTTTGTTTGCGTGTGCGCATTTCACCGCAGATTGCACCTGGAATGCATGGTTAGTCATGGACAGAACGTGGTGGAACACCCCCCCCCGGGGTGAGATCATGTGTACTTCTGCTTGAGTGCGCGGAATGGCCACGACGGAAGGTGCGGGCGTGAAGCGGAGGTTGTATGGCTCGATCTCATCTGCCCAGCCGGTGGTGGACGTGAGGAGTATTGGCACCGAAGCCGTGTTCAGGCAGTCTGTAAGGACGGAGCGATAGGTGTTTCTGGCGGAGACAGCCAGAAGGAGGGACAGGGAGAACAGGGTGGTGGTAGCACGCATCGTGGGCAAGCTGAATGGTATACAAAGACCTTGGTGATTGTGGAGAGCGTGAACTTCTGGCTCCAGGAGCGTGCTTTATACAGACTTCATAACCCCAACATGCCATCTGCATCGACTAATCATAATTATCCTCAAGCATTCCGATAGGTATCGAATACGAGGTTGCACGGTATATACAGTAACACTCTCTACTTTGGGAGGCCGGATAGCCGTGGTCGTTGGATCGACGTTGAAACACTGTAGGAATGTACAGGATGGATGTAAGTACTGGGAATCGAGGAACGCGCAGTTGATTGGATCCCGGCAAACAAAAGGCTACGTACATACGTTTCGGTGTCATTATTCTCCCGGCAAGAGTGATGGCTGTGTCCAACGTCGCACCGGTGCACTATGGAGTGATCTTATCATAGGCACGGTACCTTGCAGTGCCGGTCCGGCCCGCGGCTACGTGACTCGCGAGGGCTGGAGGTGGAAGGTGAAGTTTCTAATCCTGACCGAGCCGGGTATCAGGAGTGCAATATAGTAGTCGGCATCGCACTGCGCACGTTTTCTCTCGTAGGACATCGGCTGACCAACCATCACAGTGTCTCCCGTATGATCCGGGACAAGTTATCATACAAAGAGTGCGCATTACCCCATCTGAAGATTGCCATGATCTACTTAGGTCGCAAGCAGTTACTGATCAAACAAAAAGAATTACCCCACCTGAAGGATTTCTCATGATAAAAATACCGGCGTCTATTTCCGCAGCCGAAGCGGCAGTTCCCAGTCGATGAGTCGATGGATGCCTGCTTTCCTACACCGACTATTCTAATCAGCAAATTAACACTCGGAAGCTCGGGCGGATGTCGCTTCGGCGAAGCTTTTAGACATCGGCACCGGGTACGGTATCCCTGGGTATGTATGTAGGTACAAAGTAGGAATCTCACCTGCAGATTCAACTCGAGGTACCGAAGGCCCGATATATCTCTCACTCGGGATTCCCATCTCATCTCAGACATAAATACCCAGCTGCCCGCCGCATGCTTCCAAGTTCCGGCACTGGGGATTCCCTTTGAACGGGGGAAGCTACACGCCGGGGGCGAATGTCAGTCCGCGCTGGGATCTACTACCTGGTAGGATGGTTCGCCAACGTCCACGAAGGAAGTCTCACATCGCCGGATTTTCGGGCCGCGCTCTCTCTATCCACCACCGGTAACCGAGTACTTTCCTCTCCTCCTCCTCTTCCTCCTCTCCTCCTCCTCCTCCTCCTGCTGCTGCTCTTCCTCTCCTCGCGTCTAGTCTCCCGCGCGCGACTGATCTGGTTGTGGGGGCCAAATTCCAACGATGGGCTCGTGTCTTCGGGAGGAATGAATCAACAACAACGGGGGCGCCGGGGGGTGGAGGGGGGTGGAGGGAGGGGGGTCCACGCCGACGCACGCGCGAGCGAACGAGCGGCTCAGGGCAGACAGACCTATACCGGGTCGTGTCGTATTGGAGGATCCACCCACCACCATCCACCATCCACCATCCACCACCAGGCACCAGCACCAGCAAAAAGCACCTCGGTGACTTATCGGAGACCACATCTCCCCTTCCCTGATCGACACGGCCCCACGGCCGCTGCCCGCAGCCCGCTAAGCCGTCCAAGATCTGGGGTAATACACCCCTTCCCTTTCCTCTCGCTCCCTCTCGCTCCCTCGCTCCCTCGCGCGCGCGCACGGCCCACGCGAGGGGAAGGGAAGGGAAGGGCTCAAGGGCCCAAGCATGGGCTCAAGGGAGGAAAGCATCGGATCTCCATAGATTATTCCCTCCCTCGGCCTGCCTGTCTTGCGTGGCGTGGCGTGGCGTGGGTGGGAAATTCGACAGGGTGTATGTGGTAGGTAGGTTGTGTACATAGAGTACCGTATGCACCGGTACCTGGAGCACGGTAAATACATCGACGACGATAGGTACTGGTATGAGAGTAGCGTACCGGGTGCGAACTAGGGGAATAATGTGGCCTGCTCCGTCCGGTCCAGTTATGTACCGACGAACGAACGTCACCGTGCCTACTGCGACTCTATGTACACCAGCGACACCACCCCCTTTGCGAAATTGTAGGAACATACTCCAACGATGTATCAGTCATCTTTTCGCGAGGTCCGTAGGTAAGTAACCAGGCGGCAGTCTCAGGTTATACCCAGTGCTCCAGTTACCAGTGCTCCAGTTACCAGTGCTCCAATTACCAGTGCTCCAGTTACCAGTGCTCCAGTTGCCGGTGCTCCAGTTGCCAGTGCTCCAATTACCAGTGCTCCAATTACCAGTGCTCCAGTTACCAGTGCTCCAGTTGCCAGTGCTCCAGTTGCCAGTGCTCCAGTTGCCAGTGCTCCAGTTGCCACTGCTCCAGTTGCCGGTGCTCCAGTTGCCAGTGCTCCAGTTGCCAGTACTCCAGTTACCAGTACTCTACAATGGCGAAACACACGAGTGGCGAGAGTCCGGGGAGGACGTCGGCTCGCAGAAGTTGCCGCACCCGCCCCCCGTTCCCCCGTCCCCCCGACCACTCACGCTCGATACTGAAACTCGACACTCGACGCAAGCGAACATGCGATGCGGTGTCGTTACCCGAGTCGCGATGCCGAGATGCCCTAACCAACTACTCTAGCGGGGTGGGGGATGGGGATGGACTGTGAAGAGGAGAAGATGGATGTCCGGGCAAGTCTGTCGGGCGGATCAACGCTAGAGCAGCTAGTCTCGTCCTGAGAGTTCGAGACGGCCCTGCCCGCCCTGCCCTGCCCTGCGCCATCGTCTCCCAGACTTTCAGACAGACTTTCGCTGTTGAGATGTCGGAATTTGAGGACGGAGAGGACGAGACGTCGCATCGGTAGGTGGTAGTTGCTATACGTTTGTAGCTGACCCAGTGGTCCCGCGAACGCCAGACGCCAGTCGCATTCGTTTCGCGCACCGGCGACTCCATCGGAGTCCATCCCCCCTCCTCGCCGTGAAGGCTCATCAAACTTTCACTCACCGCGAAGTGTCCTCGTATTACCTAAGTCCTTACCTACCCACTACTACCCAGGCCCCGATTCACGTCGATTCAGACTCAGACCCAATAAACTGCCGAATTTACGTACAATCACATATTATACATAGAGTCTTCCTAGCCCGCACCATCTCCATCTCATTGCATCTCCTCGGGAGGGAGGGAATGCTTGGGTGATCCCACCACTGACCACGCCCTGGTTTTTTCAACCTTCCTTTGCCTTTCCTGGCCTTCGCTACGTAGTTACTGTACATAACCGTTTAAACGAACCCATACCGCTCGGACGCCGAACGGAGATACGACATACACCAGCGCATCGACATGCTCGTTGCTGGCTGGTATCGTGGGCGTGAGATGGATGTTTCCGTACGAGGTATGCATCTGTCACACCGGTACCGTAGTAGAGGGTCGCATTTCACCAAAGTCACTCCTCCGGCGATCGACACGACACGACACGAGCAAGGACGGACCGAAAAAACGCAATCCGCAGCCAAGTATGATAGATACTACCTACTGATTGTACAGACATCTAACGTTATAGAACACGCTTGTATATATCACCGCTCACTACTCCGAAGTCCAAGTACGCCAGCTCTAAAAATGAACCCCCCAAAGCAAAAACGAAAAGAGAAAGAAAAAAAAAACACGATGAAAATCATGAACGCAAAATCCCAGACATGACATGTAGAAAACAAAAAAAAGAAGAAAAGAGAAAGAGAAGAGAAAGAGAAGAGAAAAGGATATATACACAAATAAAATGCAATGCAATAAAAAAAACCGAAATGCCGTCATTACAGGAAAGGAATCCGCCCCTGGTCATATCGGATCAATCGAAAAAGAACGCCTCCTTGCTGATGACGGCGCGCTCCTCCTCATCGTCGTCCTTCCGTCCGATGCGATGGTGATGACTATTCCGGTCGCCAAAGCTTCCCTGACTCCACCTCTTAGTCGCAGCGGCGGGTTCACTCAGCGTCTCGACGATTCTGTCCAGCCGCTCACAGGCGCGCGGACATATCGAGTCCCACCGATCGCGATTCTCCTGCACGCTTCCGTCATCCCACTCCTTTCCGCCGTCGTCCACCTCCCACCGCAGCTTGGTCTTGCTGGGCGGCGGCGGAGGATTCAGTTTCTGGCTGTGATCGCAGTCGCTGTCGTCGTCGTCCTCGTCTTTCTCCGACAGGAACGGTGGGTCGGGAAGGTCCATCCAGCAGGGGACGCCGCCGGACGGCGCGACCCCGGGCGCATGCTGTATTATCCCCCGTCCGGGCTGCAAAACGAAGCCTGGTGCTTTCGAGCTGGCGGGCGAGTGCACTTGCTGCCCACCGTGCCCACCTCCTCCACAGCCGTGCGTGGTGTGCATCGCCTTAATGTCGTTCTCGTCGTCGTCGCCGCAGCCAGAGACGAAACTGCCCATCTCGATGTCCTTCCCGCCGCCGCCGTGGAACATCCCGCCGTTTCCGCTGTGCATCATCCCCCGCGACCCCAGTCGTATCCACTCCGGCGCCGTCGAGTCCGTGCCGTCCCATATCTCGCTGGCGGCTAGTGTCGTGCGTACCGTGTGGTTCGTCGAGACGTACGTCGAGGCGTAAGTGTCGGTCGAACCGTGGTGGTGTTTCGGGGATGAGCCGCAGTCGTGGTGGTGGTGGTGGTGGTGGTGGATCCGGGCTGCTGGCTTGGAGGATTGTATCAGGATGCGGAGCGCAGGACAGCAGGCGATGATGATGCCGGTGGTGCATTCGACTGTCGTCCATACTGCAACCACATTGGTGGTCCCGCTGGTAACGGTTAGGAAACTGATCGGTCAGAGCCGAATATGAATCGGATGAATCAGATGAATCGGATGGATGGGATGGATGGGATGGATGGGATGGATGGGATGGATGGGATGGATGGGATGGATGGAACCAATTAAAGGACATACCTCATGATGGTGGCAGCGACCCGAGCAAGGGTGCATGCGATCGCCAGAAAGCCCAACGCAAATAGAATAACAATACCCCATGCGCGGCGGTCGTGCCGCGCAAGCCGAGCGTGCCTCATCAGCGGAAAAGGGTAGACGAAGATCAGTAAGTCGGTCAGGATGTGGCAAGCGAAAGTGATGTAGAAAGTGGGGGCCTGAGCCGACGCGATACATATCCGTGGTCCCTCCAGTGTCCAATTCCTCGACACCGGCCAGCACCAGAGAAAGCTGAATCCTAACGCCAGGAGAAAGCTGATGACGCAAAGTGCCGATATGAGCTGCAGAGCGCGGCGGCAGCGTGTCAGCGTCTTGGGCGTTATGGTGTAGTACCATATCAGAAGCGCCGCTTTAACGAGGTAAATGGCGACGGTGTACGGAAAGACGGAGGCGTAAATAATCTGCAACCAAAAAAACAAAAAAACCGTCAGTCTTCGCGATCTCTGAAATCGTCCAAATTCCCTCTTCCCCGCCCTTCCCCCCTCTCCCCTCCCGAAACACCGATTCTTTCTCCGGCTCCGAGTCCGGTTGTGCCCCCGATGTTCCCGTCCCGCTCTCCACCAATTTTTCCCTCCCAACGTTGCCCTTTCCTTGGCCTTTCCCCCCAATCCCCCTGCCTTCACACGTTCCATCCGGATGGGTGGGCTCGAACCTTCAACATCCGAACATTATCCTCCGGCTTCTCGTTCTTCATGACCAACGTCCGATCGAAATTGCTCGCGGAATCGAACAGCGACAACTTTGACAGCACTGTATCCAGCACGACCATGACTGCGAGCGCCAGCCACGCCACGATGACGATGGCATCGGCCAGCTTGTAGTGGGGATCGGTGGTCGGCACCGAGAAGCGGACGTATATGCGCAGAAGGACAAAGATGAGCGACAGGGCGATTAGCGCCCACTCGATGATGATTGGTGTCCATCCATTAAGCATTTCGGTGGCGACCGCTCTACCGTTCCATGGAGGTTTGTGGTTGTTGTCCTGACACCAGAGTCGAGGGACCGCGTGAGTCGGCGATGATGAACGGACGAGTGCGGGCGTGGTGGTTGAAGGTCGGTTTTTCGTTTTGCTATCGCATGTCTCCGCTTCATGGGCGGGGGTCGTCGTCGTCGTTGGTTCAGCAGGATCAAGGAGGAAGGAAAAGGAAGAAGGGAAAGAAGAGGAGGGAGGAGGAGGAGGAGGAGATGGAAGGATGAGGCGAGCGAACAGAGACAGAGACAGACGAAGAAAGGGAAGTGAGAGCCCCCCCCCCCCCCCCCCCCCCCCCGCTCCCCTCCTTTCCCATCCAGGCAAACTAGCCGCGAGGAATAAGCCATCTGTATCAATAATCATCGCAACCCATGCATGGCGTGAGAAGCAGGAAGGGAAGGTGTGCGAGTGGGTTCTGCTAGAGGCTTTTCGGGGCCATGCAGTGAGCGGACTTCTCTTACTCCATACGGTAGCTCGTTAGCTACCAGGCCCTGTCGAGTTGGTTCCAGCATCTGAACGAGCACGAACAGGCTGAAGAAATTCGTGAGCGCAGGTTAGATGGACGGTTTAGAGTAGGAGCTGTGGGTAGGGTACTCACCTATAGTACAGTTAGATATTCGAACTCTGTTTTTTTTTTGTTGATTATTTTTTGATACCTCATTTCTCGGTAGCAGGTAGTTGTAGGTGTGTAGCAGGCACGCATCAGACACACACACGGAACGATCATGGAAGGATTCCTCAGGTCTTGGGGGGAGGGGGTGTTTCCCAGGATGGGCCTGCAGAGTTTCCAATGGTTAGTGTTGGAAGGGCGTCAGGCACACTCGCCCTCCCCCACACGGTAAGTTCACTTTGGCTGATACATGATGGAGCACGTAGTTAGGTATGTCATATGTAGGTAGATGGATACATATTACAAAACTGACTCCACCGCAGAGGCAAGAAAGAAAGGGATTTGTGAGATGTGATGTGCACCGGGGGGAAATGCCCACGGAGTTCCGCCGTCAAGCAGGCCGTTTATGCAGCACAGCTGGGGAATGCCTGTCGTCGCCGGTAGCGCGAGAAATGATTCGTTCCAACTTCACCCCCCTTATGAAGCCAGCTTCAAGCAGTTAGGAGCTTCTCCCGAATTCCGTTATCATGCGTTTGCCTCGCTTCCGGAAATTTGTTCCTCTCCTTCCACGCAGCCCACGCCTTCCACACGTGATGTTGTCCCGACCAATCGAAACCGGGCTGGCTGGCTGGAGGGAAGAGGGATGAGGGCTAAGCTCTTGCCAGGCGATGGGGCGAGCAGAGCTCTTGCCGGTGGTGTTCTGATTGGCTGCAGAGGTAGACGAGTGCGGAGAGATGAGTGCGGAGAGATGAGCAGTTGCGGAGAGTGAAGACGAGTGCGTAGAGCAGAGACGACTGCCTAGAGACCGGAGCGTAGAGTAGAGAAGAATGCTCAGAGACGACCGCCTACACAGAGACGAGTGCATTGCTTAGGGCCGGCGCCTACCGTCGAGACTCGAGATGGGATGTGCGGGGATGATCGAAGGAAGCTCGAGTCTCGACAAGTTCCAGCAGATGGAAGTGGCAATTACCCGGCCCCGCCGACGGTGACGCCACCACATCTCGGACGAGAAGGACAGGCACTACAGGCAGTAGTTATCCGCTTTCGTTCCAGTCCAACGCCCCGGCTTTCCCAAACCCCCCGTTCTCGGGCACACCCGAGACAGGCTTTATGGAGTGTGGAGACACTTACGTGAGTGGATTCCCTTCGGGCGATCGTGGTGGTAACGGTGGTGGTGGGCCGGCCGGCCGGCGCCGAGGCTGCGAAGCGATGCCATGCGAAGCGATGCGATGCGAAGGGAGAGAGAGAGAGAGAGAGAGAGAGACGCGACGCACGCTTCCCGCTTCGTGCCTCCAAATCCGCTTGACATACATACGAGATATCTCTCCTGCCAGCCCAGTAGGCCCCACCCCACCGCACCGAGGTGCAGCGGATAGCCATGAAGGCTAGGCTAACAATGGGCACTGCCTGCCTGGCTGCCTGCTGCCTTACCCTAGAGACTGAGAGAGAAGATATAGTTAGCATCGTCCCTGGATGCTCGATGATTCTGTCTTTCTTTCGTTCGGGGCGGCCGTGAACGGGAGGGAGGGGGGAGGGATGGAACGTAATCTACGAGTATGATGTGTAGACTACTACTATATGTGCATACCGTACAGCAAGTGGTGGGTTAGGGGTGGTCACTTGTGAGGGGGCGGAGAGCAGAGACCGATACTGGTCAGGGCGATCGGCCGGTGAACGTTCCGCATCGCTTGGGAGTCTGGGGCATGCTGATGCCCGTGTTCGATGTGATTGGATCTCAACGGCTTGGATTCCGTGGGGGAGCGTGAAGGTATGTAGAGTACTCTACGCTGCATATCTACAGTGCTCTACGGTGCTCGAGCCGACATCGTATCGTTTGACCTGCGCGCGTGCGTCAGTTCTGGTCGCGGGTAGCGGTTAGGGTTGGTTGGCTGGTTCTGGACGCTGCAGAATCCACATATGTACCGTAACTATATCTCGCGATCGTGAAACAGCGACATGTATGCCATCTCCGTCGTACCGTGCCGTTCGATGCATAGGTCGATATACTAGCAGTAGTATTGTCGGATAAGCACGCACGCTTTCTCGCTCTTGATGCTATGTAGAGAAGGTAGGTGGGTATGTATGTCTAGATTCTACAGCGCTCGTCCATCCCCCGTCCGAATATCCCCATCCCTCCATTCGCCTTCGCGGTTCGCCCCCCTTCCCGCCGCTAGAACAACTTCAAGCCAGGATCATCATAACATCTCTTCTTAAGGGTGCCTAGAGCCCTCGTAGAGCACCTATATCACAGCAAGTAAGCACCAACTCCATCACCAACTACGCCTACATGCTCTCCAGTTTCCCAACGCGTCCGATCCCGCATCCCGCAACGGCGGGTTCCGCATGCCGAGTCAGTCTCGAGTCGAAACGTCTCGGCTGTTTCATGACGATTAGCACCGATCAGAGCACAGGACCAGGTAAGCATGTATGTAGAATCCAAATAAGCATGTAGGTAGTGCGTGTAGAAGCCCCGTTCTCTGCCAGCGGCGTTCGTTGCATGCATCTTAGATCGGTATGCATGCAAAGAAAACGTGCAAGTAAGAAGCAAGCGTGCGATGGGACGGACGGACGGGCGGGCGGGCGGACGGGCGGACTCTAGAGTAGTAACGATTCGATCGGGGAGCGAGTCGGCGCTGGAGGTGGATTTGTATGTGGAGATGGAGAGATATCCGGAGCGGACAAGTAGGCGTGCGTGCGCTGCGCGGGGGGGTGAACGGATTTTGCAGCGAAATATGACCATCGTAGAGACTCTCAACTCTAAAAGTCTACAGGTGTGTAAGCAACGAAAATATCGACAAGGTGCATCCATCCCGACTACTCTACGGCGGCGATACGATACCAACGAGCTTACCCCCGAAACTCCGTCATTCCCAACTTCCCGGCACCGGCATCTTCACCACTTCCCCGGCGCCATATAAGCCTTGGGTTTTAACTAAGGGCGGCGACAGGAAACGGTCTCGACTGTTGATATGGAATACTCAGGAATCTTCGCGAAGCTGCTGGGATGGATGAAAACAATGAGATCTCGGGATAAGTCGACGGCTCCGAAACTCCGAGTCGCATCTTCTCTCGCATGTTAACGTGGCTTTTCCATAGTCATCACCATTATGCCGCAAAGTCTAGATTCTAGGTCTGAAGAATTCACCGCCTCGATAGGTACATACCTCCTATGTGTGAATGGACGGAGGCGAGGGGAAAAGATCATCCGCCCCCCCCCCCCCCCCCCCCCCCCCCCCCCGGCGCCGGTGTAAACGCGCGAAATAAACTTAACGGTCGGTAAGGGTACGAAGGCACACGCATACTATATAGTGTCATAATGAGAGCACTCACATGGTACGGTAGGTATGGGAGGCAGGTACCGTGCATAGGTCTGTAGGTCTGACGTCCCTAAGTAGGTACCGTATTCTCGGCTGCGGGATTTTGGTCACTGGTCACTGGTGAGCATTGGTGAGCACTGAGACGGTGAAACTAAACCGGGAAAGAGAAGAATCACGCCACGTTCGTGCGATTTCCATGGCCAGATCGATTGGTGGGCTAGATAACTAATCGTTTATTGTGGCGGGATAGAGAGTGAGAGCGAGAAATCATGATTGAACAGGGACTGATCATGTACGTATGATACAAGAATAGTAGATAGGTACATAGGGTACACCCCCCTATCTTTTGATCACTGAGTCTACCTGTCCGCAGACTATCCTGATCACTGAATCCACATGTCCGCGATGTATCCAGTGACGAACGCAAACACGGATTTATGGAGCACATCGACGATTTGCTCTGCGACGGGCCAGGTCCTACGGCGTGTACTTTAGTAAGTACATACTCACCTATACCACCTCGACGATATATATCAAGAGGAGAAGGAGATACATACCAAGGCAGCGCCCCAACACCCGTCCAATTCTCCAGCGTCTGGTCGATTGCCAACCTTCAAATTCCATCACGTGTCAGCCCCCCCACCCTCCACCATCAGAAAAACAACCTCACCTCAACCCCGTAAACATAAAATCCGCAAACGGCCCCCTAACGCCATAGAGCGCCATAACGCCTCTGATGCCGCCCGCAATAGCACCCTGACCGTAGTGCATAGCCATATTCCAATTCCACATGCTATCGGGCGACGGATCGATGCCGAGCAGCCGTACGAGTGTCCAGCCGGGGACGTACGAGTTCGCACGGTTCGTGATCAGCGACTGCTCCGTCTTCTCGGACGCCGTCATGGCGAATACGCCGATGACGCCCGCCGTGCAGCCGTATAGGAACGCCGTGCCGGCGGAGATCCGCGGCAGGGGCCGCGTGGGTAAAGTGGTGCGGCGAGAGGACATAGTCTTGCGCTCGTGATATTGTACACTTGGGCTCTTTGTGCAGTTAGTCTGTGTGTATGATGATGGTGATGATGATGTTGAAATGAGATGTAGAGCGCGGAAAAGGTGGGTTGATATGGACTGTGAGCGATGACGTAGCACTGATGTCGAGAAAGGTGTACGCGATGGTTACGTAGCTGTATGAGCAGTCTCGCTCTCTAACGGCACACGCCCATCTCATTGAGAATGCCCGAAACACATGTCCGAATCAGTTACCTACATCGCCGTGAATACGAATCGAGTTCGAATCGCAGGAATCTAAACGGGCTCACGGACTGTCACTCGATAGGTATGTTGGACGCAGTGGAGACGTCCATCAAATTCGGCGCTGTGGTGGTAATAGCCTGGTAAGGCCGATCGCAAATATGATGTACCTATGGTGTTCGAATTACAGAGATTTAAACGTTCTCCGGATTGTCACTCGCTACGCACAATGGACACAGTGAAGATGTCCCATCAGATTCGGCGCTGTGGTCACCGTAGTTTAGCAAGCCCGTATGCGAACAATAAATTGCTGTTCTCTTTCTCTCTCTCTCTCTTTCTCTTTCGCTCTTTAATTCCACGGTGGAGTTTGAGGTCGCCACCGTCGAGATGGGCCGTATGCGATGATGCATCCATTTCCACCGTTCCCCACTCGATCTCTATATTTCTATTCCGTCTATTGTCGCATACCTACGGCCTTTACCGACCACATATGCTCTTGTTAGCTGGTCCAAGCCAACGCCGAAGTTCGCCGTGACCACGAGTGACAACCCATGGTCACGTCATAGCAGATAGCTAAGAGACACGATGGTCGATGGACAACCGTAGATTTTTAGGGATGTGTCGGTTTAAGCTCAACCTCGAGACAACCGGGCTTGAAGCTTGATTGTGTGTAGTTTATTTGACTATACACGTACCTGGTACTCGAGTAGATACCTTGGTATCTACATCTGTGAATCATCAGTTGGCAGACAGGCGCGTCGGACGTGGTACGAACGATGTACCCTGTCGGCCAGGCCGCATTTGGCCCCCGCGCGTCCCCCCGCACGCGCAATCAACAAAACCCGACGCAAACATTGCACCCCCTCACCAACCGCAATTCCCGTGCTCCTCCTCACGCTTCACCCAGATGCATACACATGACCCCCTCTCACCCCTCCCGCGACCCTTCACGGTGATCATCCTCGGCAGCAACCTCTCGTCGCTATCACTGGCCCTGTCTTTAACCCGTAAAAACATCGCGTTCACTCTTCTCGCCCGCTCACCGGGGCCCTTGCCCATCGCCGACGACGACACCCCGGTAGTTCTGCACCCGCACGCCGTCGCGATCCTTACGCAGCTAGGAGTCTGGGGCGCCTTACAAGCGCGACACACCCCGCTGTCGGGTGGATGGTGGAGCGCCGTCGAGAACTCGTTCGCACTCCCAGTCCCCTCCTCATAGTTATTGCACGTATACACCCAGCTGACCCACGTAAAAGTCTCGGCTGCCCGTTTACTCTCCTCCCGCGCCGCCACCTGCTCGAAACACTCTTCGCGCTGCTCCCCGCCCCGTCAATACATGCCGACACGAAGGCGGTCGATATACGCGCCGACGCGCAGGGCGTCACCGTCATTACCGCGGGCATGGAAATGTTCTGTGGCGATATCGTGGTCGACACCGAGGGCCTCGCGGCGGCGTTCCCGGTGCAGAGAGGCGAGTTTACGTGGATTACGGGGGATACGCCGGTGGATGATGCGGATCCGATGGAGGCCGAGGGGAAGCCAGGGATGACGGTCAAATCGTGGCAGGGCGGGGTGGAAGTGGCGATAAGGATGGAAGGGAGAAGTTACTGGTGGTCGTTGCTGCGCGGGGCGTCGGGTCAGGACGTTTCATCACATCTCCGTCTCGATGCCGATAGCACGCTGTCTACGCTCTGGCTCACACGCGCCTCCTCGCCCAAGATCTCAGAGGTCGAAATCGGCATCTCCCCGCCGGGCCACTGGTATAGCGCGCGTACCCTGCAGCTCGCCGATGGGCTGTACAAGCTTGCACCAGCGGCCCTCCTTACCGCATCGCTGGAGCTGGAGGGGGTGGCGGCACTTACGAACGCGATTGTCGCGGCAGGTGAGGATTACACTTTGGCTTTCAGCACGTTCGAGAAGGCGATGAGGCCGCGCGCCGAGATGTGTGCGTGGGTTTCTACACTTGCTACGCGTGTGGCGGTAAGGAGGGCGTGGTGGCATGGTGTGCTGGCGAGGAGGCTGCCGGTGTGGGTCTATTGTGAACTGGCTATACGGTCTATACTATTGGATAGCTCGGAATTTCCCGTGCGGGGGAAATTCATCAGGGCTAGACGGGTTGGAGGGGTGGCGGGGAGAGTAGGTGATATAGGGCTGAGAACGAAGAGGGTACTTCAGATGGAGGAGGTCATGGCGGCGGTGCGGTGTGCGGTAACTGATATCGAAAGTAAGCCACTGGCAAGGTGGGGCGTAAGGTTAATTGGTGGCGTGGCCATGGTGATGCTAGGGATGCGCTGGGTGAAACGTGTGGATTTTGGGTGGCTACTCGGGAGGGCAGTGGCTATGTCGGTGGTGGCCGGAAGGAGGAGGTATTAAGTGGATACGTCGTGGAGGATTACGAATCATAGGATACAAATGAAAGCGTACAAACCCTCAGGTCCCCAAACGCCCATTTGTTTTGAATCTTCATCTTCCTCCGTTCTGCTCCTGGGATCAACGTTGGAGTTAAATCTTTGCTATTCATGTAGCTCGGGGGCGAGGGAATGAGATGGACGTGTGCGAGCTTACTGCTTGCAAGCTCGGTTGAATGGAGACATCAATGGTGATGGCAGTTGGATGGAGAGCTTTCATGACTTCACATAGTATCACTAGGTAGTTCGCCAGTTACCCATCGGCCTCCGCAACTCTCCGGTCACGTGGATCTCTTCTGCTCGAGTTGCGCACCGTAAGAAGAACGCAAGAAGTTGGGTACATAATGTTTATAACCCAGGGGGTCTAAATACTCTACTTGTTGACCGGAATCCAGATGGTCTCGAGTGCCCTGCTTTTGCCCAAAAGTCTAATACCTATGGACTTTTGGTATGTAGTTAGGTGACGTTGCTTGATCCATGCTACACACCCGTCCCCGCACTCCATCCATCCCCGCACTCCAACCATCCCCGCACTCCAAGTCTCGAACCATCTCTCCTCGTTACTTACGCCGGCACCCGGCACCCAGTACAAGGCCACATCCTCGCCACAGTACCCTCAATCCCACACTACTACTGCAATACCATCAGTTTTGTGTAGATAGACCTGACCGGGACCGGGCTCGCAGATAGGCATCCGCTTAGACGTCGATAAGACAATGTGCTCAGCTACAGTACCGGTGCCGGCCCGCAAGGCGTGAGTGAGGCTGTTTGAGATGGTCCGCTTCAGCGAGGGAAACCCTCGCGCCAAACCCGGACAGGATTCATCGCTGCCACTAGTTCACACCTCACTTCAAGTTTAGTTTCATCCAACACCGAGTTTTGCTTTGAGAATCAGAATGCCATTTGAATCCACAGACGGTACATACCTCGTATGATAGGTAGCAAACAAACTCGTACACAGAATCCCGCTCGCCACGCCACAAACGCAAGTCCACCCCCATTTCATAAGGTACATACATGGTACATATTCCAAAGGAAGAAAGCCTAGAAGTAAAGGAAAGGAAAGGAAAGGAAAGGAAAACGAGAATAAAATGAAATAAGCCCCCTATAATCTATAATTACACCTAAATGTCCTGCCAATATGCGCGCACCCCACTTAATATGAAAAAAAACAAAAGAAGCCAACCGGTATAACGAATTATTACAAAGAAAGGAAGAGAAATGGGGGGTAGATGGTAGATCATAGCTCGACCAAATCGCGCATATCGAAATCCGGCGGACTCCGCGAGTACTTGACGTGACCCCTCGAGTCGAGTCCCGCGTACTCGTTACTGATCCACACCTTATCCGACAACTTCATCGTCCGTATGATCTCATCATCGCTGACACCCAAGTCGTCCCGCGGAATCCAAATAACCGGTCGCTTCGCCCTGATAGCCGGATGCTGGAAGGCACGCGCAACCAGGTGATCCCGCTCCTCGGGTGTGAGATCCTCAATTTCGTCCGCAATGTTCTGGAATAGCTCCATAGCGGGCTTGTCGCCCATGAGACTACCGTCGCCTGCCGCCTCGGGGTCGCGGCGTGTCGGTGGGTTGGTCATAGGCTTGAGCTCAATCTCGCCGTTCTCGGCTCGCTCGCGTGCCTCAAGGAGTTGGTTGAGGTCCTCGCCTTCGCGTTCCTGCCGTCCGAGAAGGTGCTTTTTCCTCTTCGCGTCTTGTTCGCGAGCGAACTCCGCATCGCGGATGGCGGCGTCGTCTTCGAGTGTGATGGGCAGGTAGGTGAGAAGTGGTCCGAATGCTTGGTTTAACATGTACTGAAAGATGACGGTGAAGATGGTGGCGATGATCATGATTATGCCGTGCGGGGCGCAGGCCACGCGGTCCTGGGCGTCCCGGACAAGGAAGAAGAGACCGATCAGGCAGACTTCCATGACGTAGATGCCAGTGAAAAGCTGGTTGATGGCCCGCGGGAACAGGAGACCACCGGTATCGAAGCGGAAGTTGACGACGAACAGCAGGTTGTAGCGGTAGACGATCCAGAAGAGCGAGAAGGTGATCATGTTGAAGAGCAAGATCAAGGGTGAGATCACCGAGTAGACAATACCGATACAAGCGAGATTGGTGTACACGGGAAAGAAAGTTCCCCACTTGATCTCCATGAGGTGGGTTGCGCGGTTGAACTTGTCGCGCGCGGTGGAATCCACAATTGGCGCCAGGACGAAGTTGATTATCAGCGTGGCAATCTGCAGGAGAGCAGCTCCACTGACAGAGAACGCCTGCAGGAGGAGATACGAGAAGAAAAAGTTGGAGGCCTTTGGCAGGTTGCGCGCAAGAATTTCAGGGGCAGCGAATGGCTGCTCCGAGATCTGCTCGATGACGGTCGTGATACCCGACGAGATACTGACAACGAGGAAGACCTGGATGAAGAGGAAGGCAAAGTACATTCCCTGGACGGACCGCTCGATCGCCATTCCCGTATGACATCCTTGAATCCGGGCAAATAGTCGCAAGATGAGTGGGAGCACTGCCATCAGAATGGCCAAAAGTACTGGGGGCAGAACACCGGAAATCAGACCCAAGACGGAGTCGGGTAGGTCCTCGAGCCACTCCAACCATTTGAACGTGTCGGTCAAATAGTTGACTTGAGAGATCAAACCGACGGCAGCAACGGGAAAAGCCCAGCCAAGGATCAACCCTCCGGTTGCAACCGTGATGAGACCGCTGCGGATGTACCGCTCCCACCATTGCATCTTCATGTTGCCCCAGATGACGTCGTTAGGGGAAACCTCGATATGGCGGGGACACATGTGCTGCGGAACATGATGGGACACGGCCTGACAAGCCATGTGTGCCGCCACCTGCTGGTTGAACTGTACGAACGCCGAATTCATCAGGGGATATTTCTCGGGCGTCTCCTGGTCCTTCTCAATCTCCAAGTTCAAGCGAGCCAACTCTTTTCGACAGTGGTAAATGGTGTCAACTTTTTTACCAATCAGCGGGAACGCAGGCAACCAAGACAGCAGGGGAAGCCGCATGGTGGGACGGTCCTTCTCGGTGATGTATTTCTTCCACACGGGTTCCTCACCCCAGCTGTCATCGACATAGCGGGGGTCGTAAGCATCGGGATACTCCTCCTTCGCTTTAGGCTTGAAAACGGTCTGTAGTGCCTCCGCGAAAACGTGGGAAGTACGTGGCGACGTTGGTGTTTGATGGCTCAGAGGGATCTCGTCGCTCTCTCCCTTGGAGGGGTCCTTCTTGGGCCACAATCGCATGCCACGATGTTTGCGAGATTCGGGTTTGGTCGGTGCCGACGGAGCCCTGCTCAAACGTTCGTCCTCGCGACTAGGAGTCCTTTCGAGTACCGTTGGAGTGCCCTCCGGCCCGATCAATGTCGAGCCACGCTTCCTGCTGCCACGGGACGACCACCGGCGGTCAGCCACACTCGGGCGTTGAGCAGAGGCGTCAGTCGACCACTGGCGGTCAGTCACACTCGGGCGTTGGGCAGATGTGTCATTCTCGTCTGCCGGCGCAAATCCTTCCGGCTCCGAAAAGTGCCGATCAACGCCACCAGTGATTTTCTTAACACCCCCTGTGACCACTCCCACACCACTCATCACGCCCCGGGCAAACCCACGACCGACGCCCTCAACGACATCACCGACATCCAAGCCGGACTTCTTCTTCGTCTTCTCCCTCTCGTCCTGAGTACGATTGCGGAGCAGGGTCGGGATCTGGTGAGGATTTCCGGAGGAGAGACCGGGTCCGGTCACAAGCTTTTCGGCGGTATCCTCGGATCGGTCCTTGTCGGTAACAGCGCTGGGATCCTTCTTCGCTGCTAGGGCGAGCTGCTTGATGTTCTTCTTCTTACAGAGCACGATCAGTTCCGTTTCTGCCTTTTCCAACATCTTGGCCAAATCGTCTCGTTCGTTGACCTTTTCCTCCAGATCATCGTAATCCCTGCGGCACGTCAGCATCTCAACCACCACCACCAAGCTCGAACGGCACCGCGTACCTGTTGATCCAGACGTTCCTGATACCACCGGGGAAGACGTCGTAAAGATCCACGAGTTTCTGCACTGTCAACCAGCTCATCGGTATCGCGCTAACCAACACCGTGGTCGCACTGGCCTTGAGGCGGTGCTGAGGACTCGTCAGGTAGGCCTGTCGCATGCGCACGTACTTCCTCATCTCGCTGTAGAACATGTAGCAAAAGACGCAAATCAGAGTCAGGGCGAGCAGGAGATGCGCCCAATAGCGCTGTGTGTTTGCCTCCGAAATGTTTGACCACGCCAGTCGATCCAGTCCTTGGACATCTTCGCCTCCCTTTCCGCCCATGTAGTTGATGGGTAACAGGATAGGTAGGATCACGAGTGCTATCGTGGCAAAGATCTTGAGGAGCATGAGGAGGTAGCGGAGGAAGAAATAGGCATCAAGACCAGATTTCGAGATGAAGTCACTTGTTGCAGTTTCGAACACCGGTGCGAAGAAATTGAAAAACCCTTGCGCGGGTTTTGGTGTTCTCCGTCTATCACCCCCACCGAAGTCAGCATTGGCATCAACACGACTCTCACCTCTCACCCACAGGTTTAGGGTAGGAATGTTCCCACGCACTTATCAGGCACCAGGTACGTTCGCGGTTCGTAGATGCGATGCAGCTTTTTCCGCAGCATCACGAATAAGATAACTTCAACGCCAAAGACTATCGCTGCCACTGCCAACGACGCAAGGAAAGTTTCGAGGGACACGCCCTCCTGTTGCTGAGCCGAGCCATTCTGCTCCCCTATTAATTCGCTCGCCGGTGTTACTGTCGCACTCGCGGACGTCGCGGAGGCGGAGGCCGAGGAGGAGGCTGTTATGGAGAGGGCTGTCGATGCTGCTGACGAGAAGGCGCTCGACACCACCGATGCGAGACTGCCGGAGGGTTGTGCGGATGCTGGCGCGGATGTGTCGGACATTGGAGCGCGGCGGGGGTTCGCGGCGACGCGGATTCTCCAAACACGGCGTTCTCTATCGTGACGCGAGAAGAAGAAGATGTAGTTGTCGACTGGATGCAGATTGATTCGTGGTAGGGTTTCACTGGGTCACTTGAACGGACTGTGGAATTCTTTTTCAGGGAGCAAGGAGATATATGGGAGTTCGAGAACGATAAGCCGTAGCGCGGGCGGTAGCGTGAGAACGGGTTCGAGGTAGAGGTGGTAGCTTTCGCGGGGCAACTAACTGGAAGCAGCATTAGCGGGCTGGCTGGCGGGGAGAATAGGAGGGGCGAGGGGGAGGAGGAGGAGGGAGGGGGTCTATTCGCACGCTCTAGTGGAGTTTATGGCTGACGGATTCGCGGTCACGGTGATGATGGTTGAAGGATAGAATAGAATTGGCAGCATCCGGCGGAAGGACGGAAGACAAAGGGACGAGGATTGAAGAAGAAAGCCAAAAGCTAAAGGATGAGGGAATGCAGATCGCGGTTTGACTTGGAATGAGGGTTAGTTAGCGACAGGCCAGATGCTGCTGTTCTATGATGGCGATCGGTCGAGACCGGTCCCGCCGTTGTCGTCGAAGCAAGGCATGAAAGGAAAGCATTTCTAGAGGTAGAGTGCATGGCATGCAGGTATGACGCGTTGGCTTAAGGCATGGGATAGAGTTGTGCGAGAGTGGCTTGTCCCAGGGCAAGGGGTCAGAGTGAGCGGCGAGTGGCTAAGCTCCGTGGCTGGGCTGGACGAGGTGGGGCTCTGATTGGCTGGCAATAAAAGGTGACATCACCCATGTGAAACGTTGGAGCGGAAGTGCGGAAGCCAAGGAACAAGTGTCGTGGCTAAAAGCCTGGCGCGCGGTTGGCTGGGCAAGGGCAGGGGCCCGTCCGAGAGCGAGAGTGCAGAGTGAGGAGAGAGAAAGACGACTGACGGGTATCGAACGGGATGTCTTGATCCATCCGGAGATCTACGGCAGTCTGCAATTATCAAGATGATCTGATGTGGTTCTACCTTATAACAGCGCTCTCGATGTACATCTACATAGGTACATGCTTAATCTCCTTAGGAACAACGGCCGTGCACGGCAGACGCAGGGACTGCAGCAGCACTGCTTGGATTGCCTTGCGCTGAGATGCGCGCCCCTCCAACGGCATACCGACTCGTAGGAGCCTCGAGAGCCCGTCCGCGGAAATGGGGCTGCGTACGCGTCCGGCACGATGAGTCGGTCTCGGCATGGAATCCGATCGCTGGGAGATTTGGCTGCCCATCATTCGGTGCCGGCACTTCCCGTCGTGGAACATGACGATGCGGCGTGGCGCGGTGGGAGGCTGTCACGTGGTGTCTTGGCGTCCCGGACTCGCGGCGGTCGCTTGAGCTCGGAGCTTGTCGGATGGGGTCGGAAGGATGGACAATGGAAATGGACATCGTTGCGTGCAATAATCTCACAACGAGAATGAGCACGAGACCACATGAACCAGACGCGCGGATTCCTTTGTCAGTACTATGAGGCATGAAGCTCCTGACATGGTTCACGAACGCCGTGATGAATAAACGCATAACAGTGTCGCTCGCCGTGGCAAGGCGCGAGTAGATGGGCCCAAGGTGGGTGCTTTACATGCAGGCGTCCAGCGCCAATCCGCACCATCGATCTGCAGAGTACATTGGGGCTTGAGGTCCTTCGCGTAGACTTCCGCTCAATCAAAGGTTGAAGCCTCCGACAGGCGACGCGCCAGAGATCATCGCATATGATGTGGCTCAGCAGCTTCCTGGCGCTTGGCTTCCGCTGCCCAGCAAGCGAGCTATGTCGCATGTGCCGGTGACATGGGCTTTAACTTGAGCATGCGCAGTTTTCTTCTCGTCGGTTGTGAGGATCCGCGGACGTTTCTCTTTAGAGTACCCACCGCCATCCTTAACACTCCCAGGTACCGAACAATCGCGCAGAGCCGTGGCTCGCGTGCCCGACAACCTCGAAGGGACGTTGAAGTACGGTACTCCACTCTATGTACCTATGATAACTCTCTCCATGCTGATCCCAATCGCATCGCTTCACATCCTCGATGCGGGGTTCGCATCCGACATCTAACTATTCCTGCTAGTCTTCGCGATCGCTCCCCAGGTAGTACCGGTAGTAAAAGTTCATCAGACGTGGCTTGGATCGATTTCCATGACGGGAGCCTTCCTTGGTACCAGGTAAGTGAGTACATACTACCTATCTGCGATCGATCTTGCCGACAGAAAGCTGACTCTTTGGAAGAGATTCCTTCCGCAGCCGCGTCGAATTCCCGCCGCCGCCGCCGCGTCGCAGTGAGGTTTATTTCGCCAGGCGTCGCAGTGAGGTTTATTTCGCCAGGCGTCGCAGTGAGGTTTATTTCGCCAGGCGTCGCACCCGGATGCCGTCTCCGCTTCCGCTCGTCTACCATCCCCATTCTCAGCGGCCGGCCGGAACCACCTTCTTCTCCATCGCATGCATTCCTAACCATGAATTTCTGGTGGAAGCGCAGGATCGATTACAGACAAGATTCCTCTGAGCTCTTCCACGTCTTTAACCGCTGATCGTGACGTGACACCTGCTTGCAAGGCTAACGAACTACTACCAGCCAGGGATGGCGCATGGATGACGTACCGAATCTCGGCCTGCCAGGCTTCCAGACTGTCTGGCGGCAGCAAGAAGAGGGAAAACTTGAAGTTAATGACCGCGAGGAAAGCGTGGAAGAACAGGGCCATGGGAGGGGCAAATAAAGAGTGATCCTCCCCCTCTCCACAGCTTTCAGGCATCATCAACTACCAAATATATCCGACATTCACCGACCGACCGGCCGGCCGCAATCGTTACACGAACCGACCAATCAACCAACCAACCGCACAATACAACAACAATAACAACAAACAATGCCACTCCTAAACCGCGGCATTTCCCTGCCCATCCGCCTGCTGGCCTCTCTCATCGCTCTCTACGTTCTCGGTGTATCAGCATACCACATCCACCAGCGGCGCCCCAACATCTCCTCGACCCTTTATGCGGTAACCGTCATTTCCGGTGTCGGCGCGATATGGGCGATTTTTAGTGCGATGGTGATATGCTGCATCAAGCGACCGTCGCTGCTCATGCCCACAGCCCTGTTGGATCTGATATTCATGGGAGGTTTTGTCGCGATTGCCGTGCTGCTCCGCAGGGATGCACGGACAACTTGCGGAAGCAGCAAGCTCTGTAAGGTTGATAAGACTGCCTT